AAAATCTATTAATTTATAGAGGTATTAATTTATCGATAAATTAATAATTATTAATTTATAGAGAGATATTCCTAATTTGGAAAATATTTTTTAAAAATATTTAAAAATAAGATTTAATCATGATAATTAGTATTTTATATATTCAATTACAAATAAAATAATAATAATTATGTATTAAAATAGAATGCTAACTATTTTTCATATAGTAAAATATTAGAAATAAAATCTAACAAAAACTAATGTATCTATATATGCATATATTTTGAAAATTTTACTTAATTATTAATTTATAATATTGATGGGACCATATATTTACAAAGGATTTTCAAAAAAATTATTATCTTATTATTTTATCGAAATATGTCTAAAATTACACTGGTCCCAACTTGGGACCGGATAAATTTATTAATTTATAGAGATTATTAATTTATCGAGTATTAATTTATAGAGGTTTTACTGTATTGTGAAGATTGATATCTTGGCAGTTTAGTGTTATTTCTATAATAATCAAGTAACATTAATGATCGTAATTGAACCATATTTATGACCGTAATTTTATAAACAATTAATGAAAATTTTTGGCTATGGATCTAACCCGAATCCATTTACATATCCGTTTATCTAAGATCCAATTTAAAATTTCGGGTCATTTTCTTAATTTAACCCGACCCGGAAAATAATTTTGTACTTCTCTTTTACTAATATAGGGATTACTTGATTCATTTCAGAAATATTAAGATTTTTAAAAAAAAATATATACAAAGTCTTAATAAAAGATAAAGATACAGAGGAGAAGAAGACAGAACAGAGTGATCCTGTTCCTAGTTAGAGTAGAAACAAACAAATACTGAAATTATTACCAGTTTGTTCTTTATTACTTGCCACACAAGTGAAGATTCTTTTGTAAGGGTCTGAAATTTAAAGCCGTAAACCCAAAAACACAGAGATTCGACCTCTTGGACTTAAACACGACCTGATTCGTTGTAGTTCTAAAGCCTGGAACGCTGCAAGAATCTGAGGAGCTACCGATCAAGCTTGCCTGACAAGAAGCCATTAGAGAATCTTCTGCGCAAGCAACGCCTTCTAAAGATGTTATGTCTAGCTTGTAGAGTCCAAGCTCGTTTGTGGTTCGATTTGCAGAGAACGTTATCATCTCTCTAGTTCTCGATGAAGCTGAATTGAATTTGCAGGCTATTCTCACTTCCACACCTGTTGGTTCAGTTAAACAAAAAGTTAGAAACGTGTCAACTTCAAATCTAACAATTTTAGAAATGCTGATTAGAATCTCTTACCAGGAATGAAGTAGCTGTGTTTGGAGAAACTGTTGTTGGAGCAGACGTCGCAGTAAACAAGACCTGTCACAGTAATCTTTGCATTTGGTTTGGGTGAAGAATGTTTCAGAGACAGAGAGTTTAAGGACAGAAATTGCAGAAGTAACAGAAGCATTATCAGTTTCTTTTCCATGTCCACAAGCTTCAGCAACTTTTTGTTTTGGTCTTTGGATAAAAACACTTGTTTACAGATGAGGTTTCCTTTTAATTTATGTGGTTGATATGGAAGAAACAGACAAAGAATGGGCCAAGAGGTTAAAGACAAAAGAACAACACAGTAACTCCACCATTCAAACAAAGCTTCAAGCTTGTCTATTTCTATAAAACTCAAGACTCCTGTGGATGAAGAGATGAGAGACCATTTAAAGGAAAAGTAGAGAAACTGAGAGAATGGTTGGTTGGTTGGTTTGGTTTTTACATTTATTGAGCTCTCGAGCTCTCTATTTCAAGGGCTTTTGTTCTACGGATTTGGCTAAAACTGGAAAATAGAAGGGAGAAGGTAAACTACTAGTGTGTATATAATGTATGGACCACTGAAACTAAAGTGTAACCATCATCAATTCATCATTATAAGCACCAAGAAAGTGCTCAGAGGAAATGGCTTTAGATATCAATACAAGAAGAAGCCAAACTGCGTTATTTTCCCGGTTAAGTCCCGGTTTTGGCCCAGTTCTGTTATAGAATTTCAGGTGTTTACCCATACAAGATAAGCTAACATTATATATAGACCTTTTGTTCTTCTCAGTAAAAGAACAGCAGCATAAGAATTTCAGGTTTAAATCTACAAGATCAGCATTACAAGTTTATCAGTTGGAACTTGGAAACGCAATATGGGCTTTGAGCTTAAACAAGGCCCATTAAGCGTAGCGTATAGTTGTTCTTCATATAGGATTATAGTATAATTTTTGTTTTTATCATCAATTCTTGTAATGCTTCAAGGTGACTCCAACAAAACAACTCGTTGGATACCATCTGTTGCTTGTCAATCATTTCTACATTTTCAACTTTATTTTTCTTGAGCAAACAAAAAATACATTAGTTTACCTTTCACAAATTATTTCTAGTTTAACATACATACTAAAATTTTAACTCCGTTTTTTTTTTTTTGACTTTTTGGTAAGCTAAATTCTCCAACTATCAAAATTTTAGATGTTAAATTCGCTGTAAAACAAATGTTTAAAACTTAATTTTCCCTTAACGAATCTCTTTTATGAATGACAAGGTCGAGTAGTCAAGCTAGGAAACAGACCACTAGAAAAACGCCACGTCAGGTTATTTCACAGTTCGCTTTTTGGCTTACAAAAAAGTGTTTTATTAGCTGAACTAAAACGACGGTGACAGACTGACATTAGCTATTAGCTAACAGTCGATTTTTTAAATATTTATTTATTGCACAGTCTGAGAAAAAAGAGAAGCAAAGGGGAAAAAAATATGTAAAGTGGAGGAAGGAAGAAGAAGAAGAAGTAGAAGAAGAAGCCAAGAGCAAATCTAACTTCTCTGACTACTCATTTTCATGTCGGAGACTTTCCGGAAACTAAAGAATCTCTTCAACGGAGACTGAAAAAAAAAGCTTTCTCTTCTTTTTTTTTTCCGTTCGTTATCTTCGTTTTAGTGTTTTCCCCTTTGCTTACTTTTGAAGAAATCAAGAGAAAGAGATAGAGAGAGTGAGAGAGTGAAAGAGAGAGAGAGAGAGATGTATGTAGTGACGCCTCCTCAAAGATCCGGTTTGGGATCCGACTGTGATTTACGGGTTTACCAAACATGGAAAGGAAGCAATGTGAGTTTTACCTTTTATGTGAAAAGCTTTAGGTTTGAATTTCTAACTTGTGTGTTTATGCTTGAGAGCTAATTCGTGTTTATTGTTTCTTCTATTGTGTTGAAATTTCTCTGTTCATGGGCTCTGATTAGTCTATTCCAATCTTGTATAGCTTAAAAATTGGGACTTGGGTTTGTTTTAGAAGGTTCGCTTTTAGGGTATTTGTCTGTTTAACAAACCAAGCTTTTGATGTCATTGTTGGCAAAAGTCTTGAAGTTCTATGTTTTAGGTCATTACACTGAAAAAATGAAATCTTTAGGTTTAAACTAGAACTTGGGGGCATTATCTGACTTTGATTGAGGTTGTTATTTGGCTTTTAATGTCAAAAAATCTGATCTTTAAATTCGACCAAATGATCATATATAGTCTAGTAGTAAGGTGGACTGGAACATCTTGAAGGTTATTGCTCAAAGCCGTCTACTAAAGTGTTGTAATAAAACTCTTTTATTTTGTCTCATTTCTGCAGATATTTTGTCTTCAAGGAAGGTTTATCTTCGGGCCAGACGTAAGGTCACTTGGTTTAACCATAAGTCTCATTGTGGTCCCTGTTACAATTTTCTGCATCTTCGTCGGTAGCAAACTAATGGAGGACTTCGCTGATAGCTGGGGAGTATCTATAGTCTTTGTTGCTGTTGTCTTCACCATTTATGTGAGTATCAAAAGTTTTAACTTTGCATTGTAAAACGTTCTGTGACTGGCTCATTTATAACGATTAATGCTTCCTTCAGGACTTAATTCTTCTGATGCTTACATCTGGGAGGGATCCAGGGATCATCCCAAGAAATTCTCATCCTCCTGAGCCAGAAGTCCTTGATGGCAACACGGGATCAGGGACAAGCCAAACTCCAAGATTGCCTCGTGTAAAGGAAGTAGAAGTTAATGGAAAAGTATTCAAGGTCAAATACTGTGATACTTGCATGCTCTACAGACCGCCTCGCTGCTCACATTGTTCGATTTGCAACAACTGTGTAGAAAGGTTTGACCATCACTGTCCTTGGGTTGGTCAATGTATTGCTCAAGTAAGTTTCTCAGTTTTTCGTTTTCCTGTCCTTTAGTTTCTAACATTAGTCTATATAATTTATCTCATGCTCATTGGGATTTTTGCAGAGGAACTATCGATTCTTCTTCATGTTTGTCTTCTCCACGACTCTTCTCTGTGTATATGTGTTCGCCTTTTGTTGTGTCTATATAAGGAAGATCAAAGAATCCGAAGACATTACCATCTTGAAAGCAATGCTCAAAACTCCAGCTTCCATTGCTCTGATAATCTACACATCCATATGTACGTTCTTTGTTGGAGGCTTAACATGTTTCCATCTCTATCTCATCAGCACAAATCAGGTACCTAATACTTTGCCACTTTCTGAAAAACCTATTACATTCTCTATGCGTGTTTAATCGTTTGAGCTTCCTTTATTCTGTAGACTACATATGAGAACTTCAGATACAGTTATGATCGGCATAGCAACCCACATAACAAAGGAGTTGTTGATAACTTTAAAGAAATCTTTTTTTCTTTAATACCTCCTTCAAAGAACAACTTCAGGGCTATGGTACTGAGGGAAAATCCAATGCCGTCGAGATCAGTTGTTGGCGGTTTTATGAGTCCAAACATGGGAAAAGCCAATGATGATATTGAAATGGGGAGGAAGGGTGTTTGGGCAATGGCTGAACATGGTGATGGCAAAGATGATAATAACAATGAACGGTTTCACGTTAACGACAACGAGTTAAACGAGTTATCACCAGACATGAGGACCATAGTGGATGGTGGTGAACAAAGCGATATTCGAAACAATCACCCGAGGAGCTCAAACTGGGAAATGTCGCCAGAAGTTATGGCCTTATCAGCAAGAAGAACTTAGAAACAGAGAAAAATGAGAGTTGTTGTCAAATGTTTGATTCATTGATGTATTGTGTGTTTACACGGAAATCAATTGTGAATTTGGTGTGACTTTTCAGATGTCATGAGTGATTTACTGATGTTAGTTGTTCTAGTATTGTTCAGACTTCAGACAGTTAAATCTTCTTGAATCATTGTGTGTTAAGTGTAATCTATGACTTTTAACAGTACTATTTTCACAGTATGAGAAAACAAAATGAATACAGACGATTTCCATACTGTACTTTGTATATGATACAATTGCTGAAACTGAATTTTCAGACAAGTGGACCAGAAGACCAGACAACTCTTATTATAGTGTTCATCGAAGCACGGTTCTGCAATAAATGCAAAAGAGAATCATAATGGCTTCTTTCTTCTTCTAAGTTCTAAATTAATTGCCTCAGTGAATTCTGATCCCATAAGGATTTTGATCTTTAAATCTCTTCAACCAAAAAGAATTGGCTTGTAATGTTTTGATAATAGATTACAAGCCAACATTTTTGGTCTAAGCAAACATTGAACAAAGACAAAACAGAGTGAAACAGAATCAACAAATTGGTCAAATCAAATATTAATAGACTAAAAATCATTTTTCACAAACATTTATGAAAAATAACTGTTTTTAACTGAGAGTGAAGGTAACTGGCCAGTCAAACACTGTGACCGTATACAGAGATAATAAAGAGAGTCAATAGGATTGCTCATAAGTGTAATTTGTATGCACATGTTATAAATTATATAAAAAGACGAACCATATTTCAATTGAAATGTCACTATTACTGTTTTAGTATCCTCTACTCCTCTCTATTTAGAACCTTACCATGTGAGTGAAGAGTTCAAAAACCTCTGCAAACACTCTCTTTTTTTTTTTTAATCTCTTCTCTCTCTCTCTCTCATTAAATCTTACTTTCAAACACTAAATAGCCAAACTCAGGTACCTTATTTCAACAGGTAGGTTTTTTCCTTTGTTTTCTCTTAGACATACCAAAAGAGGTTTGTGCTTTCTGGAGTTGACTTTGGGTTTGATTTGGTGTAATTTACAGGAAGAACAAAATGTATAAGAATCAACTTCAAGAGCTTGCACAGAGAAGCTGTTTCAACTTACCATCATATACTTGCATAAGAGAAGGGCCAGATCATGCTCCAAGATTCAAAGCTTCTGTTAACTTCAATGGTGAGATATTTGAGAGCCCCACTTACTGTTCTACTCTCAGACAAGCTGAGCATGCAGCAGCTGAAGTTTCTCTTAATGTCCTTTCCTCTAGAGTTCCTTCAAAATCCTTAACTGCTAAGATTCTTGTAAGTTCTTTATATTTTCTCCTGGGTTTTAATCATACACAGAAACTGCAAAAAAAAAAAAGTGGTAGCATCTTATATATTCATGTCACTCTATATTCAAGGATGAGACAGGGATATACAAGAACCTGCTTCAAGAGACAGCACATAGAGCTGGTCTTGATCTACCTATGTACACAAGTGTGAGATCAGGATCTTGTCACTACACAGGTTTCTCTTGCACTGTGGAACTTGCTGGGATGAGGTTTACAGGAGAATCAGCAAAGACAAAGAAACAAGCTGAGAAAAACGCAGCAATTGCAGCTTGGTCCTCTTTGAAGAAAAGTAGTTAAAACTCTCTTCCAAGTTGTATCCATGAACACCAAAAGGCTTCTCACTATTCTAACTAAATCCATCCTTTACTCTGCTGTGTAGTGTCAAGCTTGGATTCTCAAGATGAAGAGAAAGAACAAGAAGCAGTTGCAAGAGTACTCTCAAGATTTAAACCCAAAGAAGTAAGAAGAAGAGAGACAAGAAACCAATGGAGAAGAAGAACAAGTCATCAAGATACAAACAAGGATTTGTTGACTGAGAGATTGAGATGGATCCATTTGTTAACCAATGAGCCATCTTCACCATCATCAACAACAACAACACAGAATCAACACAAAATTCCAAGTTTCATCTCTCTAATCCCCCCACCACCACAACCTAAATCCTCCAAAATTTTACCATTTTTAACAAACACCCAAGACAAATCATCACAAGAAGCTAAGCCAGAGAAAGAGATGATCTTCACAAAGTCGTTTCCTTTACCAATGGATGATCATAAGGCCACACTCAATGAATCATCAAACATCTTCAGCAAGCAAACGCCCTTTTCCAACAACGGCAAATACAGTTTCGTCGGAGGTTGTAGCATAAACTCTAATAGACTAGCTCCAGCAGTTCATATGAGATCAGTGATCCCAGTATTTTCAGCTCCACCATCAAAACCGAACCCATCATCAATTCATGATTCCACATCCATAAACTCTTGTTCTGTTCCAAATACGGCGGGATTGAGAGGCCAAGAGAAGAAGAAGAGTTCAAGCTGCGAAATGATCAAACTTGGTATAGAATCGAGAGTTTCAGATCAATCCCATGATTAGTTAGCTAATAATTTTGATTAACGGGTTAATCTGAAATAATATATTTCCTTGTTAAGTGTTGTTCAGTTGTGTCACATACTCCATAATAGACCAGAAGAATACGGTTCCGTTTCTTGGTTGTGTTCTTTGAATTTTTCTGGTCCGACATGAAATTTAAATGCTTGCGAATTGCACAGAGAACGAAAACACAAAGATAGAGAAAGAAAGAGCATTAAATTGGAGAAGAAGAAGAAGAAGAGAAATGTGAGTTTGCAGGTGAGGAAGAAAACAATTAATTGGGTGAGTTTTTGTCCTCCTCCATTAATGCGCCGAATGCTCTGCTCTGCTCTGCTTCCCACTCTTCATCATTAATGGTTTTTGCTCTGTAACGTCGGTTCCAATATATATTTAAAACAATGGTTTAATTAGTATCTCGAAAGTATAAATTCATTTTGGACCATCTCTATTTTTTCTAAACGATCCAGTGGACTCGCGACTCAATCCTTTGGGCTGGTAAATGGCCCATATATGTTTTTCTCGTGGGCCGTAACAAACCGTAACATAAATCTAAAGTGACCTACCAAACCAAACCATATTACCTACCCGGACAACTCAAACCAGCCACTTGTTTTAGTTAATAATAATATTTTTTCCAGTTAAGGAAAGAATGACGTGGATCTGAGTAGCAGAAAGGTCACATGTGGTTGGATCTGATCTGACCCACGAACCTACCATTTATCCACTTTCCTCGTTATCTTGACAGATATATCCTGCCTTGTTACACGTCAGATTTTCAATATTTTTATTTCATTTCCAAAAATATGGTTAACAATTTAATTTTAGGTCTGAACTTGCAAACCAAGCTTAACAGATCTTGTATATTAATAGTAAGATTATGATATTAAACTATAATCTTTGTAAAAAAAATTCCGAATTTAATCACATTTAAAATATCCTTACTTACCATAATGACATACTCAAAGAAAAATGAGTATTTGACTTGCAAATCACGGTTAAAATAACTACTGGAGAAATAAATTAAAAAATACTTTTACACGTAAGGTTTTCGTGGATCCAGTACATCATCAATGACATTGATTCAATGTAGTCTTTTATTTTAATTTTAAAAAACTACTGCCTACGAGTCTAATTGCTTCAAATTTGACCAACTCATAAAAGTTCAAACCATTTATAAAACGTGTAAAGCATATTTGCATTTGAATATAAATTACGTATTCAGTTTGTAACTGCTTTTTAATTTAGGTTAGTTAAAAATAAAAATAATTATATAGTTTAATTTTCTTGTCCTATTTCTCTGTTGTTCCGGTCTGAATTTTGTATTTTTTTTTTTCTATTTAAGCAGGAATCTTTTTGAATAAACCCAAGAATATTTTCACTATGTTTAGAAAAGAACAAAAAAACCAAAATTTTCATAATTAGAACGGGACAGTGACTAAGCCGTGCAAGAGATGAGCTTATCTCCAATGAGTCATTGACACGTGTATTTAATGAGAACCGTACTCTTTTGTGTCTCATACCAGATCCCATAAAAGGCGGGAAAGAAACCATCAAGAAAGGCACATTGCTGACGTGTAAACGAATATTCGAAAACGCAGATCCAGCTCCGTTTCTTCCCCCAGCTCATTTTTTTCTAACTATTATAAATACTCTGCACAAAAAATCACAATTCTTCACACAAATATTTTTCGAAATCCCTAATTTACCCTTCTCTCTCTCTCTCTCTCTCTCTGTCTCTTTGCTCGTGAGAATGGCTCTTAGAACTGTGCTCGTCTCCGACGTCCCTAGCCTCCCTGACTCTGTTTACGGATTATCCGAAGGTATGTTTTTTTCTCTCTGTTCTCTAGCGATAGAGCTATGTCGTCGTTGATGTTTTGTATTGTTCTGTTTCTCATGGTCTTGTTTTATTTATTTATTACAGGTTTGGAATTGAGCAAACCGAAACCGTTTAGGCTACCGGGTTTTTCGGTGATCGGACATAGAGGACTCGGTATGAATGTGTTGCAATCGTCTGATCAGAGAACGAGAGGTGTTAAGGAAAACTCGATTCTCTCATTCAATTCCGCCGCCAAGCATCCCATCGATTTCATTGAGTTCGATGTTCAGGTTGGTACTTCGATCTTAATAGTCAACTATGATTTGATGATCAGAGGGGTTTTGTTCGATTAGGGGTTTATGTTTTTTTGTGGAACAAGATGCTGATTTCGATATTTTTTTTGTTCGTTGGGGTTTGTGGAAGAAGATGCTAAATATAGTTTCGTAGAAATTGATATGAAAAACAAAATAAGAACAAGAAGATTTGAAGAGAAAGAGAGATGGCCAAAAAGGAAAAAAACGACAAAGCTTTGTGTGGTTTTTCTTTTGTAGGTGACAAAAGATGATTGCCCTGTCATTTTCCATGATGACTTTATCTACTCTGAAGAAAATGTGAGTCTTCTTCATTGCTTCTTCTTAGATCTTTGTATTTTGTTTCCCTGGATCTTGGTTTTGATGAGATCTGGTGTTTTGATTCAGGGTATTGTTAATGAGAGTAGGGTGACGGATCTGAGTCTGTCTGAGTTTCTCCTTCATGGACCTCAGAAGGAAACTGAGAAAGTTGGGAAGACCTTGATGAGGAAATCCAAAGAAGGGAAGGTTTTGAAATGGGACGTTGACTTAGATGATTCCCTTTGCACGTTGCAAGAAGCTTTCGAACAAGTTGAACAAACTCTGGGGTTCAATATTGAGTTGAAATTCGATGATCATACCGTCTATGGACGAGAGTTTCTTGTCCATGTCTTGAGAGCAGTTCTGCAGGTATGCACAATACAAGATTTCTTATTCCTCCTTTTTTTTTTTCATGTTGGAGTAGAACCATTTTTCAAATATGCCAAGTTTCTGATAATGTGTCACCAAAGTCAACTCTTAACGTAAATGAAAATGGTCTCAACAATGTTTTTGATCTGTTTAGCATAAACGAGAGGGTTTTGTCCAAATCCCTTTTTGTATCAATGCTAGTTACCTAAAACTGCTAGTCCAACGTGTATATTGATCGATCAAGACTTGAACTTGTCATATTAGGACATCATAAGCTTTATAAACTTAGAGACTTTTTGTGTTGCCCTTGGAATTATCTTTGCTATTAAAAAGCTTTTGAACTTCTTCTGTTTTCTTTTTCAATTCTGTGACAAAACTACAGGTGGTCTCTGATTATGCTAAAGACAGACCAGTGATCTTCTCAAGTTTCCAACCAGATGCAGCAAAACTTGTTAAGGAACTGCAGAGCACTTACCCTGTATGTTCCATTCTCTTTTTTTAATAAATGCCAAAAATATAACTTCACTTAGTTAGCTATAAAGCACTCAAGATTTGAGCCAAGAATGAATGTGGATTGTCCTTATTTAACAATGTTTTGTTATCTGAACTGAAACCAGGTTTTCTTTTTGACTGATGCGGGAAATGAGATTCACAAGGACGAGAGAAGAAACACACTCGAAGAAGCCATTAAAGTTTGCGTGGAAGGAGGTCTTCAAGGCATTGTTTCAGAGGTAAAAGGAGTGTTCAGAAACCCAGCAGCCATTGCCAAGATCAAAGAATCTAACCTCTCTCTCCTCACATATGGCAAACTCAAGTAAAGCTTCTTCACTTTTCTTCTGATGTCCAAAGCCCCTAAGTCTGTTTTCTTATTGCTGTTGGATCCAATCATCGATTAGATTCTAATCTTATTTCAAATATTGTGTTGCAGCAATGTGGGAGAGGCAGTGTACATGCAATACGTGATGGGGATTGATGGAGTGATTGTAGATTTTGTTGAGGAGATTATAGAATCCACGACACTCATGATGATAAGACCACCACCACTATCATCATCATCACCATTACCATCACCTTCCAAGGATGATAATGGCGCCATTACTAGACCTGAGTTTTCACAGAAGGAGATTGCTTTTCTTCTCAAGCTTCTCTCTCAGTTAATACAAAATTGATGATCATCATCTTGTGCTTTTTCTTTTTCTTTTCTCATAAGTTTCTTTTTAGGGCTCTTAATTTCTTTGTGATTTTTTTTTTCAAAATTTTTTTGTTGATTTTTTTTATTATTACTATGGGTATATTGCCCAATATAGTTGAATCTGTAAATAATTATGTAATTTTATTTCTTTTCACAAGGATTAACTTTTACAAAAGAAAAATCAACTACTATTTATCATTCAATTTTTTAAAATATATACTTGATATATCTATTTTCTATCAATCTTTTATGGTCGAACAATGTTTTTACATCATTTGGAGTTTACACTTGCAGTGTTCAAAACAAAGTCAAGATTATTCTTAATTATAATCCCACAATTAAACTAATTGAAGCATTTGTTTTGTTCCAAACTTTAAAGGATGCTTGAAGTTCCAATATTGAAACTACAACTCATGCTCTCCTCTGCCTTAACTATGAAGAAAACGAAAAAAAAAGACATTCGTTTTCTCTTCAGTATCAAATTCAAGAATCCAATTCCAGTAGCCACAACAGAAAAGTCTCTTTAATAATAATACACTAACCTAAAATTAAAAACTAGTTTCACGTCGATCGCTAAATAATAAAATCTTCGTTCAATTCATTTTAATGTTTTCCATACATGCTTTACCTACACGTTTTCTACTACAATTCTTTTTGCCACTCAAAATTCTAATCCAAGTTGAGTTATATTGACAGTAGTACTAGTCCAATCAAACTTTTAACTTGTTCACTAAATTGGATATTAATATGAATTGGAAAAGAAAGAAAAAAAATCAAACTAAGTTTATGTTTTAGTATGGAAGATTCTAAAAATAATAATCAAATAATAGATAGAAATTAACGTTTAAAATATATTTAAGAACATTATAAATTTTTGGATTTTTTTGGTTGAGCTAGCTTTACTTAATTTTTGAGTTTATACATTCTTGTTATATATCATTTTGTTATGACCGCTAAATAACAAAATATTCGTTCAATTCATTTTAATGTTTTTCCATACATGTTTTACTTAAACGTTTTCTACTACGATTATACTTACCACTCAAGATTCGAATCCAAGTTTGGTTATATTACAGTTTATATCAACTATGGATTTTTAGTATAGTACAATCAAATTTTGATTTGTTCACTAATATAATTTTGATATTAATTTGAATTGGAAAAAAAAAACTCAAACTAAGTTTATATTTAGTATGGAAGATTCTAAAACAAAAACATATAATATATATATAAATTAATGTTTAAAATATATTTACGAACATTATATATTATGGCAAATTAGCATGAGCTAACTTTACTTAATTTTTGAGTTTGTATATTCTTGTTATATATCATTTTGTTAAAAACTATATAATATGTCAATATAATTGTAATGTTAATTTGAAACAATAAATGGAATAATAATATAGCAAAAACTGTATTATGGAAATATTCCATTCTAATTTAGTAATAAAGTAAAAATCTCAGAATATAAAATAATGTAGCTTTTACTCATTCAGTAGTAAAATTAGCATACGATCATGCATGCGTGGCGTGGTGTTTATCTTCTTATTCCATTTTTATTTTTAAAAAGGAAAAATGAAATCCTAGTCGGACTAGGAAACGCAATGTTCGGACACTGTATATATATATGCACGATTTAATCACATGTCTTCGGAACACTTATCCAATTAGACAGCTTCGTCTAACCTAAGCAAATACCAAAAAAACCAAACAAACAGCCTTCAGATAGAACCTACCTACACACACGCTTTGCGGATCTCATGATCGTCGCAAACCTGGCCGACGATATTTTATTTTCTTTTTTTTTTAGTTTACTTTTTTTGCTCGCAATGGGGCGTGTAACATACAGCGACCTGCCAATAGGGATGAGGTTTCGTCCCTCAGATTTGGAGATGGCAGTTTACTTTTTGTTAAAGAAAGTTTTAGGACATCATATGAAAGCTCGTACTGTTCCTCAAGAGTGTCATGATATCTTCTCTACACATCCTCGTGACTTCCCAGGTCAGACTTCTGAATTTTGTGTATCCAATATCTGTTTTCTTGAAAGCTTTGTGTTTTGTGAATATGCTAAACTGAGTTTTCTCTGTTTTGTTTGTCAGATAATGATCAAGAGGAAGATGAACATTGGTACTTCTACTGCTTAAAAACTAAAAATAAATTTGCTACAAAATCTTATAATCTTTGGATACCAACAGGAGAAGAAACTGAAGTGTTGGATCCTAAAAAGAATGACGAATTAGTCGGTATAAAGCGTTCATTTGCTTTCATCGAAAACGAAGATGAAGAAGAGGAAAAATCCGAAAATAACAGTTTGCCTGATGAAGAAGAAGAACCTCCAAGATACAATTGGTTCTTGGATGAAATTAGTCTCCCATTGACAGTTGTAGATACTCAGTGGACCTTGTGTCACGTCTTTTGCAAGAATACCAAACCTGAGTTTGTAAGTTTGCCTGTAATGGAATCCCAATCCGAATCTGAATCCCAATCCAAATCGGAGTCCGAGTCCGATCAATCCGAAGAAAAAAAAGAAAGTGTTGATAAGCCTGCAGAGACATTAGACATTGGTAAAGAAAAAGATGAAACTGTTCTTACTCCACCTCCTCCTTCACCTTAGGCTTTTCTTCATCACATGGTGCTTGTGTTTGGTGGTTCTACTTCCAACACAAGTTCTTGAACGAACGTTTTGCTGGCCTTTTTCTAATACTTATTGATTAGATTCAATCTTTAAAGACAAGAGGGAGTTTTGATTTGTTTGTCGAATAATTTTTAATTACAAGAAAAATGAACATATACCTTTATATTACAAGAAAAATGAAGACAGAATCACATCAATGTATGGTATCAATGTATCATCAGAGTATTAGATTCTCTGAATTACCTTTTTATTATTACCTCTAGTTGCATCACACCTAAGTACAGTTTTGTCTGTGGTTTGGTTTGAAAGATGACTGACACTCACTTGGTAGCCCTGGGCAAAATATTCGTTAGATTCGCCTCGCTTCGATTCCAAAAATTCAAATATCTATAAGATATTGTAGCGAAACAAATATGAAAAATGTAGCATTCGTAAAAACCGAAGCGAATAACATATATTGATTTTTTAATGTCGAATATCCGCTTCGTTTCGTATATTTATATATATATATATAAATATAAATCATTATATAATATATATAATATGTTTATTTATATATTTAGGGTTATATTTAATAGGTCTATTATTCAAATTATTATATTTTGGCCCGTTGGACTATTTGCTAAATGTTGGTTTTAAGCAAATAAAACTTTATTAGAAAAATCAATGTTCGAAATAAAATGTTCGAATCCTATAGACGGTGGTTAAATTTTCTTCTTATTTTGAAAACATGTCAAACAAAAACCTCTAATATCTCATAATTTTCACTTTATGTTTATGTACTATATATTTTTAGTTTCAAAAGAAAATTAGATGGGTCGAAGCGAAACAAAACGAAGCGAATAATTCGCTAATAATACGAAAAATATTCGAATATTCGAAGTTACGAATACTCGAAAATTTACAAATCAAAACAAATAGCAAAATCAACTATTCGGTCGAGATGAACCGAATCACAAATATTACAAATTTTCTGAATATTTGCTCCGTGCCCAGGGCTATCACTTGATCGCTGATGGCGCATGTTAACAATCTCCTCGCTTATTTTGCTAAATTGGGCTCATACCCATCCAAAGGAGCAAATTAGAAAACTAAATGAATTGAGAGTCGTAATCAAACGATCTGATCCAATAATTGCTAAAGATATGATTCGTCCAATTTGAAATTAGAATCCAAAAATAAAATCAAAATCAAAATTAAGGGAAAGAGATGTTTGAGTTTGACCATTTTAAAAACGTCCGGTCAAACTATATTTTTTTCCGGCTGTGTCATCATAAATCTTTGACTTTTTGACTTTTTCCTCCCTCTCTAACTCTCAGCATCTCTTTTTAAGATATCGCCACGTGTTGAATCTCTTATCTGAACCGTTCATCTAATCAACACGACGCGTGAGATTTTATCATTTTCTCTCTCTCTCACACAATCTTTGGAGTCTCTCTCGTCTCCGTCTTTCTGTTGTTTCTTTCTCCGATCTGTTTCTTTCTTTGACCAGAAGAAAAAAAAAACAAACAAACTTTGTTTTAGCTTTTTCTTCTTCTTCCTTCCTTCCTTCCTTTATTCAATGTCGTTGAACACATCTCTCGATACTTGACAACATCTCTCACTCCTTCGTCTCTCTCTGTGTTTAGACTCACAAATTTTGCGGTAGCTTCGTGATTAGGGTTTTTGTTTTGTTCTCTCGGGAGATATGATGAAAGCTTCGTTTGGAAGGTTAAGGAGATTCGCATTGCCTAAGGCTGATGCGATTGATATTGGAGAGCTTTTTCCCTCTGCTCAGGTTGAAGCTCTTTCTCGTGCCGCTAAGGTAATTTATCTCTCTCTCTCTCTCTCTCTCTCTTTTTCACTGATTCTCACAAATTTTGTTCTCAGAGATTTAGGTTTTTTTTTCCGGAATCGTGGGATTTTTTTAAGTAGGGTTTTGGTGTTCTTCGTACTCCGATCGGGCTTTTGTGACTACTCCTGATTGAAACTTTTTGAGGATTTACATTTATAGAAACTTTGTTTATTAATAGAAACTTCTATAGACTTTCTTATGGAGGAATTTGGAATTGGCTTTTATAGTAGTTTTTGGTAAGAGGAACTAAGAAACATTTTTAGTCATTTAGTTATGAATTTAGTGGTTCGGTGATGTTTTATAGCCTAAGTTATTTGTTGTTTTGTTGTTTTCAGGATATGCAAGACATGAGAGAAGGTTATGATAGATTACTTGAGGTAGCTGCTGCAATGGCTAATAGCGCATATGGTAAATAAGTATTCAATTTTGTAGTGATCTCCACTTTTTTTCTAGCTTCTTGTGTGAATTTGGATGCGTGAATGTTATGTGTACGGTTGCTTCATATGAGTTTTTGGGGCTTGCAATACCTGTGAGCTCTATTGGATTGAATTAACTTCCATTCCACTCATTGATGTTTTCTATTAGATAATCATCATGCGATATATTCATTTCCTAGTGTCTTCAGCATTCCCATTTAAGTAATTTTAGCTAACCTTGTGAGAAACATTTGTATGTTTTAGAAACATTTGTAAGTAATTCAAATTTTGTGTTCATTCTGATTTATAATTGAATATTAGTATATTGTTAGACTTAATCATTATTCTTTTGCTTACGTTTGGTATTATCAGAGTTCTCTGAATCATTGGGGGAAATGGGTTCATGCTTGGCGCAAATCGCCCCTCATAATGATCAAGAAACTGGTAAGCTTTTGAAGATTCAACTATCGTGGAAGTTTTTCTGTACCTGTTTCCATGCGGTAACATTGTTTCTTATGCAGGTGGAGTTCTGCTAATGTTAGGTAAAGTTCAGTTTGAGCTTCAGAAACACGTCGACACTTATGTAAGTTGTATGTTGCAACCTTGTACTTTTCATGAAGCAAATATTTACAGTTATAAACAAAACTGAGGAAGCTTTTGTTTCACTTTTTTTTTTTTTTTTCCTTTAGCGTTCTCAAATATTCAAGACCATTACACGACCATCAGAGTCACTTCTCAGTGAACTTAGAACCGTCGAGGTATGTCCTAGCTTTAGTCTTTTGAAGTCAGTTTATGTGAAAGCCAAAAAAATTATCAGTTCAACCTTATAAGATCGCTTTTTTCTCATATTTTCTTGTCTTTCCCGCTCAGGATATGAAGCAACAATGTGAAGAAAAGAGGTGAGTTATATTCTGAAATGTAGTTTTTTTTGTTTTTCTTGGTTTTGGTTTCATACAGTCATGCCTTAACCTCTGAGTCTTTCTTACAGAGACGTCGTTAAGCACATGATTATGGAGCATGTGAAAGACAAGGTACAAATTAAAGGCAGTAAAGGGGAAAGACTTATTCGTCGCCAATTAGAGACTGCCCGCGATGAGCTACAAGATGAGGCAACTTTGTGCATTTTCCGATTGAAATCTCTTAAGGAAGGACAAGCTCGAAGTCTCCTCACACAAGCTGCCCGCCATCACACTGCGCAGGTACCATATGAATAAGATTACTATTTTCTATAAGAAACCAATCTGCAAATGCTCAATCAGTGTCTCTTGTGCTTTCTTATATTCGCATAGATGCATATGTTCTTTTCTGGTCTAAAATCGCTGGAGGCAGTAGAGCAACAAGTCAGAATTGCTGCAGAGAGACAACACATCGACTATGAGCTATCTGATCATGGGAACGAAATGGAATGTAGTGAGGATAGTGATGATGACGATGACCGACTTGTTAACAGAGATGGAGAACTAAGTTTTGACTACATAACAAGTGAGCAGAGAGTAGAAGTTATATCTACACCACATGGAGTAAATAAGGTAATTTAAATTTTAAAATGTATCTGAAATTGGGAAAGAGAAACTTTACCCATTAAAAATACAGAATCTCAATACTGCCATTTCCATATAGATGGATGACACAGATCTCTCGTTTCAACGTCCTTCACCTACAGGATCAGCAGCAGTATGTTATTTTCTTGAACTTAAAATCAAATTTACATTTTTAATGTATTTAGGATTTGAGAACTCTCAGTTGTATGAAAATTGCATGGTTGTGATTCTGTGTTGAAGTTATATTCACTGATGCAGGTAAATGCACATCATAGAGAAGAGCACCCAATTTCATACCGAGATCGCAGAACAAGCAGCCATTCAGCACCATTGTTTCCGGAAAAGAAATCTGATTTAGCAGATAGATTGAATAGACATATTACTCCATCTGCAAATGCTTACATATTACCAACTCCGGTAGATTCAAAGTCCTCATCAATCTTCACGAAACCAGTCGCCCAAACAAGCCACAGTGCAAACTTATGGCATTCATCACCGCTAGAACCGATAAAGACCGCTCACAAAGATTTGGAAAATAACCTCTATTCCCGTCTTCCTCGTCCTTCAGAACACGCATTTTCTGGACCGCTTAAACCATCCTCGACCCGTCTTCCAGTTCCAGTTCCGGCTCAGGCTCATTCATCTTCTCCAAGGATGTCTCCTACCGCTTCACCTCCGCTTGCTTCTTCTCCACGGATCAACGAACTCCATGAGCTTCCAAGACCACCAGGTCAATTTGCACCACCACGACGCTCGAAATCTCCTGTTCTGGTTGGTCATTCGGCGCCATTAACAGCCTGGAACCAAGAAAGAAGCAATGTAGCTGTGTCAACCAACATTGTAGCATCACCACTTCCGGTTCCACCACTTGTGGTACCGAGAAGCTTCTCTATACCTTCTAGAAACGAGAGAGCCATGGGTCAGCAGCCCTTGCCCGAGAGGAACCAACACAGAGTAGCCTCCCCACCGCCTCTGCCGCTAACTCCAGCGTCTCTGATGAATCTCAGATCTCTGTCTCGGTCTAGAGTCGGGGAAGTTGCTCATAGCGGACTAATTAGAGGTAACGGAAACAAAACTAACTAACTTGCTCTTTCTGTAACTTAACTTAAACAATCAGTGATTTTAAGACATTTTGTTTGTTGATATTATTAATCGCAGGAGTAAAACTGACAGAACACTGACGCTGTAACGTCGCGTTTGATCAAAACGTTAGTTGTAGAAAGAGACAGACCTACGAAGTAAATATAGAAGTCGATATTTTGTAATTCTTTAGTTGTTGAATGTCCTAATTTATTCTTAGGCTTCAGATTTCTTTTTTTTTTTTTCCTTTTTATTTCACTATGATACCATTGTCAACGTAAAAATTAGTTTTCACTTGATTCTGGAGAATATGATAAAATAGAGTTTTTAGGTGAAATGGCACCTTTTCCTACCAAGAAACAATACAAAATCCACCGATTTTTCTATTAAAATAAAGTAGACAGCAATTTTATTTGGGTGGAAAGTTTATTTAATTTTATTTCTAATTGTGGAATATTGTGTTATAAAAAAAGGAAAGTGAAAATGACAGTAAACATCATGATCAGAGTTCGGGCAGGGAAGGATGACAAATGCGTTTACCATCTCACGTGATAGACCCCACTCGACAACACGTGATAATGTAATGGCTGGAAAATTGGGCCTAACTTACTAGGCCCACTTAGGATAAATACCTAACTTTTTGTTCTCGCTCATTAATTCTTCGGTTTGATTTGAATTTTTGTAATTAAGAGCTTTAATTCTATTTTGACTGTATATAATTTGCATTAAAAACTAATTATTACGTATTAAATTTCAGTTTCGAGATGGTGATTATTGAGTTTGAGCTGCGCATGAGACTGAAATCAGTTGTTGGAAATTAAAAAAGAGAGAAATACGAAAATAACAAATTTTAATTTATTATTGCCGTTGTTTGGCGTTGGGAAAGAGGAGAAAAAAAAAACGATTATAATGCCCAAATAGTTGTAAATACAGAGTAATGAGTACGCTACAGTTTCCAGAAAATTAAAAATTAAAAAAAGAAAGGGAAAATAGAAAAAAGAAAAGAAAAGGGTAGAGAGCTATAGAAAATGGGTGATGCGATGATGTTGGGATTTGTTTATAAGCAAAAGAGACGACGACGAGAGAGAACAAGGAAGAGGTCTCCATCATCTTCATCATCTACATTCCTTTTTTTTTTTTTTTTAATCATTTCTTCTTCGTTTTGTATTCTTCTCCAATCCGCACGCTATTCACTGCTGTCGATTTTGAGGGATTGCGATTTTGGATTTGCGTTTCGAAACGTTTCTATCCGCAGATTCTGTGATTTATTTATTGCTTCATCGGTCCGTTTCATCATCGATTCTTCTGGTTTTCTTATTTTTTTTTTTGGTGTTGCTCTCATGATGATGATGCTGTGAGAATCTCTTCATTGTTTTGATTTTTGATCACACAAATTAATATGTAATCCTCTGGTTCATCTTTTACCATCCATGATTTGCACTTTTGTTAGGTGGTTTTGTGTTCGATCATTTCCATTACGATGTAAAACTTAAAAGAAACTGTTTTGCTTAGTGATGTTTGATTGAATCTTATACACTTAGAGCCTTTTTTGAAAATGATTTTGGTTTAAATGTTTGTATGTGCTATGTTAATTTGTGCATTTTTTGAAATTTGTGCATTATGATTCTTCATTGATTCTAAGCTTAAGAATGGTTCTGGTTTATATGATTATTGTTCCGTGATCATCATTATCATCATCTGTTTCCATCATTTGCTTACTTCTACAGCTTATGTTTTAGTGATTCAGCTCAAGAATCTGTTAGAATAGTTTTCGGATTAGAGCTGCATTGTGGTTGGATATGTTATTGATTCTTCTTCTCCCATTTTTTTTCTTCATTTCAGGAGGGTGTGACACCTATCAACTCTGATATATCTATCCTCAACATATATGTTGCTCCAGAGATCTGTCACATGTGTCTGATCTATTTTATTTGGATTGAATAGACACAGAGATACTCTGTCTTATTTTCAAGGATTTGGTAGGTAATTGGCTTTACTGTGACTAGGCTGGAGAAGGGGATTTTGGATAAGTTTTTATAGAGAAACTGGGGAGGCTGTAGAAGATCTCACAGGTATCCTGTAAGTGATAAGGTCCTTTGAGCATTGGCATGGGTCTGCCACACACTACTTCAAACGAGCAAGCAAATGAATGGTTGTCTGCTTCAAGTTGCAGCCTTTCTCAAAGTCTTCCTGTAAATGCCACTTCAGGTGATTTGGATGGTAATATAAGAGGGAATGAAGGAAACCTCTGCTTCTCTACTGGAGAATCTGATAGGAAAACCACATTGGAATCTTTGGAGTTCAGAGATGACTTATGGAGATTTCATGACGCTCCGGCTGTTACATCATTATCTGATCACGAACCGGCTTATGCCATGGACAAGGTTAACTTGAGTCGAACTGAAGTTAGAAGGATAGTTGGTTTTCAATCAAATGAATCTAGCTCACTGAGTAATGAATACACAAGTATCACTGGTAATCGCACTGGTGGATCTAATGAAGTAGATATTACCGGTGGATCGTTAGTCAGGAAAAGGGTAAGCTCTCCTCTGAATAAGCTTTTCCCTGAGAAATTTAGAGGTGAGTCGCTTGATATCAGCCGTGGCAACCAACAGGTTACTTCTTCTGGTCTTCATAATGGATTTCACATTCCTATTGCACAAGATCATAAAAAGGCCAATATCTCTGGGACATTATCTTTCTTTACCACTTCTACCTGCTCTGAATGGGGGAGTGACTCGTCACACAGGGGTAAAATTTCGTCTTCCGTTTTCACTGATGGTCCATTGCTCGACTCCAATGATCTGCAGCCCACAAAAGATATACCTTGCTTATATTCACCAGTACATAAAATATCTCAAGTACCCGCTAAGCCATTACCTTGCCATAAGAGTATATCTGTCTCTCCGCCACTTTCTCTGTCACCTCTTGGGCCAAGATTTTCCGAGAGAATGAAAGCTCTACAAGGGGGCCTAAATGGGAAGATTTTCGAAGATGGTGTTTATTTAAGGAATACTGGTGAAGAAGCAGAACTCAGGACTGGTTGTAGATCATTTGATGATACTAATGGTATCCAGAGAGCCTTTTCAATGGATAGAGCAATTGAATCAGTTCCTACATCTCCATGTAAAAGGTTTAGTAGAAGTCTGAGTGGGCGTCCCATTCAAAGGTCATTGGTTGGTTCGTTTGAAGAATCCCTCTTTTCAGGAAGATTGTCTGGGCAAACTAATCAGGTCTCGCTCTCACCAAAACCCATAAATTGCATAGAAGCTCAAGTCGAATCTATTTTGTTGTTAGAAACCCAAAAATATGAAGGCATTTAAATTTGATTCACTTACTCTCTTGTGTCTCTTTCTTTGTTGAAGATCGACGGTTTTCTCGCCATTCTTAGTATTGCTGGTGGAAACATTTCTCCAAAATCACAAAAGCTTCCATTCTCAGTAACAAGTGTTGGTGATGATTGCTTCTTACTATATTATTCCTCCATAGATCTTTCTGGAGGATCATTGCCAAACAAATTATGGGGTCAGAAATTGAAAACCAACCAAAACACTTCTGATGCTCAGACCATTAATAAACGGCTGCGGATCCCTATGAAGGGTCGGATTCAATTGGTACCCGCAGTAACCCTCTTGTGTCTTTGCCTTTTTATTTCAGAAAATTTCTCGTCATAATGTATAAATTAAGATAATTGATTAACAAATTTATGACAGGAGCTTTTCCGTTTTGCAGGTTCTGAGTAACCCTGAAAAGACACCTCTTCACACGTTCCTCTGTAACTATGATTTAACTGATATGCCACACGGCACAAAGGTAACTTCAAACCTTCCTCCCCGTTGCTTGAGTCATTTGATATCCCGTTGCTTGATTCGTTTGTTGCTTGCGTTTTCATTTTACATTTAATGTATACATATTTTCCAAATGAACCCTTAGCCTAGAAACAACACTACTACGAATTCAACCCTTACCTTAGAAGTGAGAATTCAGTTAGGTTATTGATATGGACATACCCTTATCAACAATGCTGTCCAATGTTTGATCAAATTCTTGTGTTATGATCAGACCTTCCTGCGCCAAAAGGTCACTCTGGCCTCCTCTGTCCCGACCAAAGCCAAAAACTCCATAGATGGAGACCAAACTATTGCAAATAAAGGTAGTGAAGGATCTAATCCAGTGGATGAATTTCATTCACCGAATGAGTGTAGGAACAAGAACTGTCGTGAGACGTACAGAGAAACAGGACAACGCTGTTCAAAGTCTGGAGTGTTACGTTACGCACTTCATCTGAAATTTATTTGCCCTTCACGCAAGAAAGCTTCAAAATCAGGTCAGAAGAAGAGCTTGGTTGCAGCAGATGAGAGAGAGAGGAGATTCTATTTGTATAACGACATGAGAGTTGTGTTTCCTCAACGCCACACGGATTCTGATGAAGGAAAGGTATGTTTAAAGAAATTTATACAAAGTCATTTGGTATAAAATAATAAGCTACTTGAACGTAAACGCAAAACGCTGACGTTGCTTTTTGAAACTGCAGTTAAATGTGGAGTATCATTACCCAGAAAATCCAAGATACTTCGACGTGTAATTCAATGCTTCTTTTTTTTTTGGTCGGCAATTCAATGCTTCTAATTTTAATTTTTTGTTAGAAGAAAATAAGTTGTAGATAGCCATATTTCAGAAATTTGCTGACCCACTTTGTATATAACCCAAAGTCGGTTTATAAAAACAAACCCACTTTGTTTTTGATAAATATGTGAATCTTCATTAAATGACAAATTTTCTAGAAGTTACAAAAGATTGTCCCCTCGTAAACTATAATAAGTATATATTAACTTATATTATAAATGTTGTAACTTACAATAACCCAAATCTACGTGTTTTAATCACACAGTTAAGTAAGATAACCCGTTAATAGAAATACAAAGTCTAGTTACTAAATTTTAATGATCCCGTAGATCAAAGGTTGGGATTTGGGAAGACAAGCCATGAGATAAGTAATAGAGCAACCTCGGCAAAATGTTTCTGTAAGGATCAATTTCTCTTTTCATCTTCAAATAGGTCATACAATTTTCTACCTCAGACTTGACCTGCAAGTAAACCTCATGAGCATTCTCTTTATCACTTAGCTCTTTCTTTCTACCTTTTGTTTCTATTGGTTTCCCAAAGTATACGTAAAACCGTCCCGGAATCTTGGGAATTATCCCAGGCACATGCAAATCTTGTTTTCCTAATTCTCCTTCTTCATCGTTCCTAACCATATAATATATAATCATCACTAGAATCAGAATCAAATGTTATATAAGGTTCATGAGATTATTTCTAACATACCTCAAGTTAACAGAGTCTTGTGTTATCTCTTCTATAAAATTCTTCAAGAAAGGGATCTTCATTTGATCATTGTAATCTAAAACCATCTGAGAATCATTCCATTGTACAAAGGAGTTAGTCCAAACCCGAATGAAACAAAAAGAGTTTTAAGTATATATTAAAACTAGAAACGGAACAGAGATTTTGCATTCTTAAACTAGTTTTAAGAATGCATTTGGTCATTGTAATCCATGACCAACGGTGAACCGTTTGCTCAAAGGAGTTACTCAAATACTGATTGAAACAAAAAGAGTTTTAAGAATGCAGGTGATGAATCTAGAACGGAAAAATAAATTTCTTACTTCAAAAACATCATCTTCTCCAACAACTCCAAAAGGAATGATTTTTGCTCCAAATTTAGATGCGATCCTTACAAACTCTGAATGTTCTGGCCAAAACAACTTGTATTCTTCACCCTGTACAATGAATCTTTAGATATAAAGCCTCAAAAAGTTAATACTGAAGGCAAATATGAAAATCATCATCACCTTTCTGTGCAAAGCTTCACGGACACCACCGGGATACAAAGCCACGTGAGCGTTTGAACGAAGTAGTTTGTAGAAATTCATACCCGAGACAGGAACTGCGCCTACTATCCTAAATAAGTCATACAACTGCACATCAGGGAGTTTTGAGCCAGTTGTTTTGGTAAACATCAATGGATGTGCCAGTCCTCGCAACAGAATGTTCCTTTCTTTCAAGAAATGAGCTGCTGTTGCATGCAACTCCATACCAAGCAACATGTGATTGCCAACATATAGAACCGGTCCCTCTGAAGGTATTCCTGCAAGCGATCTTACTACTGCACCATTGCTTAGAGTTGAGAGATAGACTGGGGAGGTAACAGCAGTTAGCAATCTGGACCAGAGAAATTAAAAAAAGAATACTACTTCAGTCTGTGCTTACGATAGCAGAAGCAGATATTCTATTCTAGCTAAGTAGTACTATACTAAAATATTTACACTAGATCTGTCAAGAAATCGTTTGATACAGCAATTAGAGAAGTGATAAAATCTATGGCACAGTTATTGATATTATAAGTGAGTCATTTACCTTTGGGATTCTTCATACTCTTTGAACTCAAATGGGCTAGGCGGAATGTAATCTGATATATAATCAAAAGATTTCCCATGGCGATAATAATACGCACGCTTGATGATACTCACCAGATCTACTCCATCCTCCTAACATGACATAAAATAGATCAATCGAGCTGTATGTTATTAAAGCAAAAATAATCTGAAAAAATGTATTGGCTATAAACTTGTAGAGTCTAGATTTACTAATAAATTAATTAAATAGGACTCACTGACACAAAAAAACTTCTTTCATCAGTACAAAGAGCTCCTTACCAAGAAGAGGAACTGTCCGCTATTCTCAAACTCACGAACTTCACATCTTGGCAATGCATGGAGTCTTTCAATGTCTTCCTTGTTCATTAACCATTGATCACGTCCACTGCAATAACACAGGCGTATTAAAGCTACAACTCAGTTTCTGATTAACTATATTCATTACAAATATGCAGATCACTGAAAGTTCCACTTAAATTGAGTAACGAAACAGAGAAGTTTAACTAGTATATCAACCTCAGGAGTATCAGTATTTGTGCGTTGAGTGTGTCCATCTGAGAATTAGCAGACGCTGAAGCAGACTTAAGCAATTGAAGCTTCCATAGAAGTGTGTCCTTGGGAAATATTCTGATCAGAGTCTGTAAATAATTTAATTCCGTGAGTTTTACTCATGTAGCGAATGATTATGGATAGTCAAATTGAAACAACAAGATAAAGAACAAAAAAATGCAAATTAGTACATTAGTAGTTAAACACTATGATCTGCAAAACAAACAATATGCATCTATCATTTGTTCTGCTAAAATAGAGTCTTACAGGCAGATTAGATGAAGTTGCAAATAATTCTCCTAATAGCCCTCTAGCCATCTGCGCGGCGTCAGTTTCATTGAGCATGGTCTCGAACATTTTTGTCAATGGAGAACCTATCAAATAAAAGTTAACAAAATACAGTTAGCCCTGACTTTAAAGCAAAACCTGACATCTTTGAGACAGAACTATATAAGGCACAGTCTTTGCATCTAATAATTGCTTTACATTGACAGACGTGAAAGATATACAAAGGGTTGAAACTTCACCTTGGTTCAGCCCAAAATTCTCTAATATCAAGCTGGGAAGTCCGTCAGGCAAAATTTCCAGTAAGCTTAATAAAGGTTGCAACATGATGCTGTTGAAACGTGTGACTGCATCAAACAGAGTGTATTTATAAGCACAATATACGATGTATACATTCCATGAGATCTACCTAGACAAATCCCCCAAAGAAAAAGAGTATAATCTGTGCACAAGCCAACAAAAAAATTAAAACTCTTTTAGCATGATTAAAGTTATGCGTTACCAACAACACATATATATCATAAAGTATGCGCTTTTCTCATGACACTTTTCTTAGCTTGCAACATTGTGGTTTCATAAAAAACACAATAAGGATCCCAATTAGCTCCAGAAAAAATGAGTAGTCTTGTTTTACCTGGATTAGCAAGAATCAAGACAAGATCAATGTCAGGGTTACTGGCTGCAACATCTAGAGCAAGAGAAGCTCCAATAGATTCTCCAACTAAATAAATGGGTCTATTTGGTAAACAGTAGTGCTCTGACCTAACTGTCTTCTCAATGAGCTTCACAAGATCTGAAAAGAAACAGTAAGAGTTTCACCCAGATAAGATAACGAAACGCTAATGAGACTTCGGATAATGCTGAAAAAGAAGCACCTCGAGCAGGAGTACGATCTTTCACTGGAAAGTGAAGACACCATATATCAAACATTCTATGATAAAAAAGATAATGAGATCAGAAACAAAAGTTATTCACTAGATATCTACTTTTCTTTTGAAATTGAAAATTTAAAACATTCATATCTTGCTCTGCACAAGAAGAGCCTATCTGAAGCTCTAAAGCAATAAGATCGAATCAAGTTTAAGCTCATATAGACTTACTGTCCAAGCCTCTTATGCTGGCGAATGAGCCCTAATCCAGTACCATCGATCCCTGCAATTTTGAAAAACTAGTTTTCACAATTCGATTTCAACCCAATCAGAATTAACGAAATCAATCAAGCTAACTATCGATTTGCGCCCTAAATCGGAGAGAACAGACCAGGTAAGTAGAGAAGAAGAGGAGATCCCGGAGCGCGTGCGCCACATTCCAACGGAGAGAACCACCGAGGCGGACCACCATCTCCGCCGTCTGGTCTAACAAAATCTCCAGCTTCCACAAAAAAATCCGTCAAGCTCTTCCGCTCCTCAGGCCGTTCCACCTCCGTGAACGAATACGGATTCTTAGCCGCCTTTAACCTCCCACCGAATCCGAGTTCCCGATTACCATACGCGACTGAGGTCAGTCGTTGGGTTGACTTCCAGTAACAAAAATCGAGATGGTAAGCTCTGGTCATAGCCGGGGAGGTGAATGCAGGAGAGAGCTTATCAGTGATACGAGCTGTAACTGTAGTAATGGCCATTGACGATCAGGAGAAAAAAGTTTGAAGAAAGTCTTTTTTTGTTGTTGTTGTTGTTGTTTAGCTTCTTCACTACTCTAATAGGTAGATCACGACTAGCTCGTGCACTCGAGAAAAACGATTAAAAATCAAATATTGCCACGTTGAACCTTTTTCAGTTTGAAAATTTTCAATACCAGTTTTGGCTCGGTTTAGATGAAAAGTTGCTTAAAATTTCGGTTTAGTTCATAACCAAATCTGGGTTAGTATCCCGGATCATTTTAATTTGGGTTTATTTCACTGAAGACCCTTAGAGTTGAGCAGTATCTACGAAAAAGACTGAGAACTAACTCAATATCTAAGAAAGACCCAAAACCTTGAACAACAGTACAAACACTTCATCCAGGAACCGAAGCTATAAAAATATACTAGTTTTATGATGGGTTCTGCTAGTGTTTATAAAACACTCCCCGAACTTACCCAACTTCCACATTTGAAAGCTATTCACTTTTAAAAGTTACAAAACAAACCCAAATTTGGGTTTTTTTTTTCTAGTTAATTACTTGAATCCCACACACATATAATTTAGTAGTCACACACATCTAGTAACTACTAAGTTGAGTGATTTTGGAGATCAAGGTTGGATGACAAACCATGAGATTTTAAGGATCACCTTCTCTTAGAGTTTCAAATAGTTCACGTACTCACTACCTCAGACTTGACGTGCAAGTAAACCACACGAGCTTAAACACAACAGAATCATTCATAGGGAAAACCTAAAAAAGAATATCATAACATTCCAAAATCAGAACTTTGTTATTCCTTCTTTTAAGTCAAGCAGAAAAGGCAGCGTTAACAAGCTTTGCATAGAAACTTTGATCTCTTATATAAGAAAAATATTATTATGGACTGATTGGTCTCTTCGGTTTTGTCTTCTATGTTGGAGATTTCTGAGAGGAGATATCATCCACTACTTGTGAGGATGTCAGTTGAGTAGTAAGGAACAAGATCTGTCTATCCCGAACTTAGCAATAGGACACAAAGTGAACTTGAGAATTTTTTTTTACCAATGATCGGCAGTGGAGCAGGAAACAGCTGTGGGCATAAGTAGGTAAGTCTGGTAGCGATTCTTGAACTTGCTATCAGAATCGGCAACTCCATATTCATCCTTTGATGACCAGAAATAATTTGTTGAGTCTAATGAAATCTCTTCATCCAGCTTTAATTTGGTTAGTATATATGACTAGTTGTTACAGATAACACAAAATTCAAACTGGCGAGGACGACCTGGATAATAACTATCCAAAGAATGTAGCTGAAAACAGTTTCTTGGCGTGAGAGACTACATTACAGGGATAAACTGTAATATCTCTGAGATCTTTACTGGTTCTAGCATGAGACATCTGGCCATTTCTTGGTTAAACTTTCCAATGATTTTAGGTAATTCACATACATATAGGACTGATGAAACCTAACAAAACTCTTCATTCTCCGGTTTTCAGAGAATGGCTGATATTTTAACAACTTTGTTATCCACAAGAAGTGGAACAATGTGATCCTTGTGTTTAGTTGAACCAGATTGAGAAGAGGGGCCAAAGCTACGTGTATGTTGCAACCTTTGGATTAAAACAAGTAAAAAGATTAGATGCATATATTTTGTTGAGCACAAGAATACAAGTAAGAAGAATCTCATGAGCAACTTAAAACAAGTAACTGAGTAAGATAAGTTGCAGCATGAATTTGTTGAACTGTGCATCAAACAGAGTGAATTATAAGCACAAGATAGGATCCATATATTCCATGAGATTTACTCACACAGATCAACTCTCCAAAAAGGAATATAATGTTTACACAAGCGGACACCATTACACTTACCAAAAAGAAGTCATAAGCCCTTTTACTTAACTGTTCAAAACGATGGCTTAAACAGAAGATAGCAATTACTAATTACCAACCTAAAACACCATAACATTCCAAAAGCAGAGCTATTTCCCTTTTTGAGTCAAGCAGAAAAGGCAGCGGTAACAAGCTTTGCATAGAAACTTTGTTTCTTGACACTCAATTGCATTTCCTCAGCAAGCAATGCCTTCCATTCATCGGTTAGCTCTTTCCTTTGCGTAGCTCCAAGATTTTTCAAGTTTCGAAGCAGCGACTTCTGTTGGTATTTACCAAAACTTTGAAATGATGCCGCCACCTCAAGTGCCTCTTGAAGAACATTCAAATCCTCAGACTTGTCTATCTCACCATCATCAATCGCTTTACTCACCCGAACCTGCTCCACACAAGGTACACGCTCCTTCAAAACCTTCAAAACAAGACAGGTTGATTACTACCAATTATTTTAGAAGACTAGTCCATATTTAGAGATGGTAGAACACACACAGAGAGACGCACCTTGCTCTGGTCCATCTTGTTCTCACTAAAAGCAGATTTGGTTTTGTTTTGACCCCATATGGCCCATGACAATCTAAAGATTTGTTTATCAAGAGCATTAGCAAAAGAAAGACTTCTTCCATCATTAGATCTCGTCTGATACTCTTCAAATCTCCACTTCAGCTTGAGAATCTTATTTTGTAGCTGTCTCTTTGAGAAATCTGATTCCATGGAACCTCTGATAAGATCGTAAACCCCACTCCAGTCAGATGAGTAGCTCAACTTCGTTTCATTTTGATACTTCACAATACCCTTTTCAACAACAACAATAAAAGAAAAAAAAGGTACGAGCTTTATTATTATTACATATTGAAAAAAGTAAGAGCTTTATAATTTAAGCGTAGAAACAACAAACCCTGAGAATGAGGAGCATGTCAGTCTCAGTCCAGTTCATCTTCGGAGCAGCAGCAACAGAAGATACCAACAATGTCTTCGTCTTCATCTTCTTTCTCTCCCCGATAGTAGCCTCCGTGCCGGAACATTCGTCGTCATCTTCATGATTCCTCGTGAGTGGTTGGGCATTGTGTCGGATTTCAAAGCAATCCGAACTCGAGTCCTCGCTGGAATCACTTCCTTCACCATGTCGCTTCATCATCGGTTAGTGATAGAAAGATCAAAACTTTGGTAAAGGTTAGAAATTTTAGAGGGATTTTGAAATAAACCCTAGAGTTCTTCTTCCGAGATTGAGAGTAAAAGAGCAACTGAGCAAACAAAACAAGCGTAGGGGGAGTGGAACTGGATATGTCTAGAGTCAAAAATAGCGTAAATGACTAAAATACCTTTTCTCACATTTTTGGGGTTTAAAATGAACAAAAAAAAAAGTCTGAGGTCTTATAAGTTTCAAATCAAGTTTACATCCTCTTTCTCGTTATTACAATATTTCAACCAACACCCTCTAAAGTTGAACAGCATCTAAAAACTCATCCCAAAGTTGTAATAACTCATACATCTTTCTACCTCAGACTTTACCTACAAGTAAACTTCATGAGCTCTCTCTTTATCCTTTAGCTCTTTCTCCTTCACATCTGAATTTGGATTTTGGCGTGGTCATTACAAACTCTGAATGTTACTGGCCAAACAACTTGCATATTTCATCAGCCTGCAGAAATGTGTCTTTAGTTATAAAGTCTCAAGAATTAACAAAAAAGCCAAATATTGGAAATACAATCATCACGTTGGCCTTTGAACAATGTACAGTTTATATAGCTAAGGCTAGCTATACAAATTTTTTTTAACTAGATCAATAGTCTTGATATCATCCATGACACACATATTTGATAAGTGAGTCATTTTACCTTTGTGATTCTTCATACTCTTTGAGCTCAAATAGGTAGATAGAGTGTAATCATAAACATCATCAAGCCAGTTCCCACTAGGATAAAAATAAGTACACTTGAGGCTATTTACCAGATCTACGCCATCCTCAGCAATGATATAAAATTCATCAATCTTAAAGTTTTTCTATTGGTTACAAACTAAGAGAAGTTGTCTTATAAACCAATTGACTTTACAAGATTAATTATAACAAATGCAGAAGATATTGTGAATCTAAAAATTGAAAGCTATGCGACTGTACATTATTTATAACAAATGCAGAAGATGTTATGAAAATTTTCTTGCAACAGGAGAAAGAGCACTTACCAAAAAGATGAACTGTCCATTATTCTCAATATTAAGGAATTTACAACTCAGCGATGCGCAATGGAGTCTTTCGGTGTCTTTCTTGTCCAAGAACCATTGATCACGTCCACTGTAATAACCATAGCTAAAACAATCCTTTACAAACAAAGATCGCTGAAATTCTAGTTATAATTAATAATGAAGCAGAGAAGTTCACAAGTTTGTTAACCTTAGACATATCATAGAGTGCACAAGCCAACCAAGAAAAAAAAACACACACCCCATTACACTGAAGAAAAGGAAGCCATAAAAATAGTAAATGTTCAAAAGATGGCTTAAACACACAACAAAAAACATTGATAGGAACAACCGAAACAGTCTAAAACATTCCAAAAACACAACTTTAATCCTTCTTGAGACTAAGCAGAGAATCCCAAGTTTAGAAGCATTGCAAAGAAATCTCGTTTCTTGATATCCAATTCCATGTCCGCAGCGAACAATGCCTTCCATCCGTCAGCCAACTCTTTCCTTCGATCAGCTCCAACATTTTTCAACTTACGAAACAGAACCTTCCGTAGATCTTCACTTAAACTCCGATATGATGCAGCAGCCTCAAGTGCGTTCTTTATAACACACAAATCATCCGCACCATCTTCTTCCTCAACATTATCTATCTTCGTATTCTCATTTCCCACCACACGCTCATTCTCAGCACAAGGCACATCCTCCTCCTTCAGCACAAGACACTATTAATGATCACTACATATAAGTAATGATAAAGTTCACACAATGTTTAGAGATGGAAATTGTGTATGAAACAAAACACACTCACCTTTATCTTGTCCTTGTTCTTCTCCTCATAAACCCATTCAGTTTCTTTTTCAACCCATATGAGCTTTGACAATCTGAACAGTTCTTTGTCTTCGGTGTTAGTAAAAGAGAGTCTTAATCCATCATTATCTTGGCTTCATTATCTTTAAACCTCTTCTTCAACTTCTTAACCTTACCCATTATCTGTGCCTTAGAGAAATCTGATCTCATGGACTCTCTTATGTAACCGTAAAAAGCATCCCAGTCCTGATTGTAGCAAGTTTCGGTTTCACTTTGATACTCCAAAATCCCCTGTTCCACACAACAAAAGGTATACACTTTATAACAACAAGGTAAAAAACAAAAGAAGACAGTAAACAGAGAAGTTATAGTTACGAACCGAGAGAATAAAGATCTCATCTTTTTTAGACCAAATCATCTTCGAAGAAGCAGAGGAGGAAGGTGGGAACAATGTGGCCGTCGTCTTCGGTAGCTTTCTCCTCCTGAGCATGGCCTCCCTACCGGAGATGTCCTCATCAAGTTCATGCTCCCTCGTGTGAGGAGACAAAAGCATTGGTCGGTTGCTGTTGTGTCTGATTTCAAAGCAACGCTGCGAGTTCGAAGAGTCTCTGGAATCACTTCCCTGATTAAATCGCTTCATTGTTTTAAAAAAAAAAAATCAAAAGACCAAATTTAGGAAAGTTTTAAAAACCCTAGTTTTTCTCCAAACTGAGAGAGGGAGTAGTAATAAGAAGAGCAAGCGTCGTTGGACTCCAGTGGACTCGACAATGCATTATAATAACGTTGGAATTTCAAGAGTCCACCAGTACTGTAGAATGACTCAAACACCCTTGTCTCACATTTAGGTTTCAAAATGTACCGAGGATAAATCTGGAAAGTTGCCAAGAGTTTTTAGTTCATGTCTTGATTGGTTAATGACACTAAAGATGCGTTCAGTTTTAATAAACCTCAAAGAGACAAAGATTATACAGTTTTCTTGTAATTCAATATCGATAAAAAGGACACAAACACATTTAACGTAAACGTTTTTAATGTGTTGTTGTAAGAATCCAAACTTGTCATGAGTTTTAACTTTTAACATACCACCCCAAACTTACTCAATCTCTACATTAGTAGCCATATGCTTTTTTGACATATTCAAATTGCACAAAGTTAATTAAGTCACAAATCCAGTAACTAAAATTTATTGATTTCAAAGATCAAAGGTTGGGATTTGAGAAGAGAAACCGTGTGCGAGGTGATAGAGCGACCTCGGCAAAATGTTTCTGTAAGGATCACTTTCTCTTTTGATCTTCAAATAGGTCATACATCTTTCCACCTCAGACTTGACCTGCAAGTAAACCTCATGAGCTCTCTCTTTATCCTTTAGCTCTTTCTCTCGACCTTTTGTCTCTATTGGTTTCCCAAAGTATATGTAAAACCGTCCCGGAATCTTGGGAATTACTCCAGGCATATGCAAATCTTGGTTTCCTACTTCTCCTTCTTCACCGTTCCTAAACATATACGTATTGTTATATAACAGTTTCATGTGATGGTTATCTCTGACAGAGAGAGAGTCGAAAACTAAATACCTCAAGTAAGTATAGTCTTCTGTTATCTCTTTTATAAGATTCTTCAGGAAAGGGATCTTCATTTGATCATTGTAATCAAAAACCACCTGAGAAATCATCCCATTTCTCAAAAACCAGTTGAAAGGAAAAAGGAGTTTTAAAAACTGCAACTACTGAAGCTAAAACGAAGAATAAGAAAGAGAATTTGCTTACTTCAAAGAGATCATCTTCTCCAACTACCCCAAAAGGAATGATTTTTGCTCCAAATTTAGACGCAGTTCTTACAAACTCTGAATTTTCTGGCCAAAATAACTTGTATACTTCACCCTGCAGAAAATGAATCTTTCAATGAAAAATGAAGGCCAAACATAAGATATACAATCATTACCTTTCTGTGCAAGGCTTCACGAACACCTCCAGGATACAAAACCACATGAGCTTTTGAACGTAGTAGTTTATATAAATTGATATTTGAGACAGGAACTGCGCCTATCATCCTAACTGAGTCGAACATCTGCATATCAGGAAGTTTTGAGCCAGTTTTTCTGGTAAACATCACTGGATGTGCCAGTCCTCGCAACGGAATGTTCCTTTCTTTCAAGAAATGAATTGCTGCTGGACGCAGTTCGGTTCCAAGCAACATATGATTGCCAACATACAGAATTGGTCCCTCTGAAGGTATTCCCGCAAGTGATCTTACTATTGTACCGTTGTCTAGAGTTGAAAGAAATACTGGGGACATAACAGCAGTTAGCAATCTGGACCAGAGAAATAATTACTTCAGTAGTTGCTTACAGTAGCAAAAGCAAATATTATATTCTAGCTAAGGAGTACTATACAAACTATTTTCACTACATCTAAGTCAAGAAAGCGTCTGACACAGCCATCATTTACCTTTGTGATTCTTCATACTCTTTAAGCTCGAATGGAGTGGGCGGAATGTAATCAGAAACGTAATCGAGCGATTTTCCACGCCGATAATAATAACTACACTTGATGATAGTCAACAGATCTAACCCATCCTCCTGATATGACATAAACATTAATCAATCTAAAAGTTTGCTGAGCCAAATTTTATGCAACAAGTTTTCTACTGGTTATAAACGGATACAAAGAAAAAATCTCTTACATCAGGACAAAGAGCATCTTACCAAAAATAGGAGTTGTCCGTTATTCTCATACTTACGGATTTCACATTTCGGCAATGTACAATGGAGTCTTTCAATGTCTTCCTTGTTCAGTAACCATTGATCACGTCCACTGCAATAGCCATACCCTTATTAAAGCTACAACTCAGCTGCCAGCTAAGACACTTTTATATGAATAAAAAGATCTCTGAACTTCTACTTATAGTCTTATACTTAATAATGAAGCAGAGAAGTTTAATGGTGTATGAACCTCAGAAGTATCAGTGTCTGGGCTTTGACTGAGTACATGTGAGAATTAGCAGATGCTGAAGCAGACTTAAGCAGTTGAAGCTTCCATAGAAGTGTGTCCTTGGGAAAAATCTTAAGCAGAGTCTGCAAATAATTGTTTTTTCGTGAGTTTATCACATGATAACAAAACGAAAAATAAACAAGATCACGTTACTAATCAAACACCACGATCTGCAAAGACGAAAGAATCGTGCATCACTTATTTGTTATCCTAAAATAAAGTGTTACAGTTAAGTTAACTGAAGTTGCAAAGAAGTTTCTTAATAGCCCTCCACCCATCTGTGCGGCATCAGTTTCATTCAGCATTGTCTCGAACATTGCCGCAAATGGATAACCTATAAAATCAAACACAATAAACCACAATTTTGAACCAAAAGCTGATACTAAAACCCATATTTGAGACAGTTTAGATCTATTCTCTGCATCTAATTTTTCTTTGATTGGAAGATATACAAGGAGTTTAAATTTCACCTTGTTCAAACCTAAAATACTCTTCAAGCAAACTGGGAACTCTGTCAGGAAAGATTTCCAGTAGACTCGATACAGATTGCAACGTGATGTTACTGAAACGTGTGACTGCGTCAAACAATATATATTATGAGCACAAGAAAAGACGCATACAGTTCATGAGATGTACAGAATCCAACAAAAGAGAAGCTCTTTCAATATGATGAGCGTTACGCATTACATATTTTTGAGCTAGCAACACTGTTGTATTTGTGTTCACATAAAATTGGCCTAAAAAAATCTAGAGAAAGACAGTAAGAAAAAAAATTCTCTTTTACCTGGATTAGCCAGAATCAAGACAAGATCGATATCAGGGTTACTGGCTGCAACATCCAGAGCAAGAGAAGCTCCAATAGATTCTCCAACTATATAAATAGGTCTATTTGGTAAACGGAAGAACTCTGACCTAACTGTCCTCTCAATAAGCTTCACAATGTCTGAAGACGACAGAACACAACAGAAATAGTTTCATCCGCATAAGATTTTGGTTATAAACTCTTAACGAGACAACAGAAAATGCTGAAAATGCAACCACCTCGAGCAGGAGTACGATCACTGACTGGAAAATGAAGACACCATATATCAAATACCCTATGATCAAAACAGAAGATAATGAAATCAGAAACAAGACTTCACCTTTTTAATACTTAGATTAATTGACTGAGTTCAAACTATACTTACTCTCCAAGCATCCTATGCTGACGAATAAGCCCTAATCCAGTACCATCGATCCCTGCAATTTCGATTTCTAAGTTTCGTTAACTTGAAAAGACTTCATTTTTGCCAAATATATAGAGTCCTATTTCCCCAATCAAACAATCGAAATCGAAAGAACAGACCAGGTAAGTAGAGAAGCAGAGGAGACTCTGGAGCACGTGCGCCACATTCTAACGGAGAGAACCACCGAGGCGGACCACCATCTCCGCCGTCTGAATTGACGAACCCTCTAACTTCCACCCAAAAATCGTTCAAACTCTTCCTCTCCTCGGGCCGTGCCGCCTCCGTGTACGAATACGGATTCACCGTCGCCGTCACCCTCCCACCGTTCCGGAGACGTCTATGGAATCGGAGTTTCGGGTTCGTAACCCGGTCATAGGTCAGCCGTCGGGTTGAATTCCGGTAGAAAAAATCAGTGGGAAAGAATCCATCGGCGATACAGAGTGAGGGAGCCGCCATGGATGGATAGAAGAACGGTTTCGTGTTTCAACTTCTTCATCGTCTTCAAGAGGTAGAGATAGAACGAACACAAGAAGCTCGTGTACACGAGAAAACAGCGATGAGTGCTCCGCCATTTCTAATTCTGTTTGAAATTTATTTGTTTGAGACTCCAATTTGCCAAAACCGAGTTAGATGGTTCAATTGGAATTTGGCTCGGTTTTAAAAGAAAACAAGCCTAAAATTCAATTCAGATGGTTCGGTTTAGTACAAAGTTCAAACCGTGTATATGTTGGTATAGTACTTTTTCTCCCACAAATTACATTTTTCAATAAATTTAGTGACTTCTTTTTAATTATATTTTTGAAAAGTGGTATTTTGAAATTCTCCCCAAATTCATTTAGATAAATTGCATTTAGTAATAATGATTTTAATGAAACAAAATCAATTTTTTTTCATTTGAAAAATGAGAAATTAGTTGAATGTTTTCTTCAAAATGTTAGTTCAGAACGAGAAACAGTTTTTGTCAATCTTGATGGATCATAATAGTTTTAAAACATATATGATTTCAAGATAATAATAATAGTGCAAAAGGATATAGTTGATGTGAACCTAAATTTTTTTTCAAAATGAGGACGTGTTAAAGGAGGTAGTTCATGTTAATTAGAAAAAATAAAAATAAACATACTCCATTTAAGAAATTTGTGAACAAAAGAAAATGATATGGAACGTTCGATTTGCATATTAACCAATGATGACTTTATCCTATCGAAAATGCTCTCGCACAAAACTATCAAAGATTACAATGCATTAAATTAATTAAACGTGAATGACCAACAACTTTTGCACTACCTTTGTGCATGTTTTACCTTAAAAACTAAAAAGTATGTCAAAAACCTAGATCATATAAGTTAAATTTATGGTAAATTATAAAATCAAAACAAAAACAAAATATCTACTATGTAAACTCATATTTCAACAATAGGAATAAAATAAATAATACTACCCAAAACCAGTGTGTCCGTGACACATCTTTATTTCAGTTGTACTGGAATCTGGAATTATAGGAACAGTTAAACTGGAATCTTTCTAAGAATGAAGCATTGTACTACCATGACTAACATGTGATTTTCTTTTATAATACTAAAATAATTTGGACACTCTTACACGTATTTTATTGTATTTTAATATAATGTTTCACAAATTGTATTAAAAAGTTATATGCTGTTATGTTAGATGGTAGTTTCAAAATTATCATGACAATTGACAACAAAATAAAATTTTAATAGGTTTTAAAATTGAAATGACTTTTTTTCCTTTACATAAATATTGACTCAAAGAAAAAACTACATTTACATGATATAACCAATATGATGATCCTTTTTAGGCCGCAACAATACAAAATATGAAATTTAAGGACCTATTGTTCAACATGCAAATTTTGCATTTATAAAGAACACTTGTACTAGAATTGATGCAATTACCTAAGACGGACCAATACATAATCCATTTACCTATTTTTAATATTACTACTCTTAATGTCGTCTGAGATGCGTCAAATATCGATACTACACATCTTATAAATTTTACCATAAATTTTGGCACATAATAAAGTAGAGTTTAGGAATTGAAAGTGATTAATGGGATGGCTTAACAATATAATAGTATATTTGGGTTGGGCCTAGTATCATTTGGGTCCATTTTAGAAATTAATATGATTTAATCGGGGCATAGTATCGGATAATGGTTTAATATTCTTAGCCTATTTTAAAAGGCCCATTAGTTAGAGCTCACGAAGTCTACATAAAAAAAGAACTGGAACGATTCGATTGAACCTTGCGGCAGAACCGACCGGTTATAGAAGAAAACCGAAGAGGTGTAGTTGGATCAGAAAATGGGGTAAAAGGTGCTTCACGTGGGCACATTGGGTTGTCGCTCATGTGAGCACTACTTGATTTGCTTCTAATCATTACACTTATTTATACTTTTCCCCTAATAATAGTTTTTATTATTTTCTCACTACACATCATTAGATTTCTTGGTAAAAAGAAACATTTGACAAAAAAAAAAAAAAAAGAATACACATTTAGATCCTTCATTATAAAAACAAAATAAAAACACTACTAAATCTAAATGATATGATCTAAACCGGAAAAAAGATTGTTGAAGAAGACAAAATTAATTAACTTTTTACTTTTACTTTTGTTTTAGTTTATGATATATTACAGAAAACCATAAACTAAAGAGACATTATAGTATTGTATACAAAGAGTAGATGAGGAGTGAAATTTATATGACGTAATTAAGAGTAATACATTTGTTGTGTACCAAGTTCTTTATTTATAAATTCGGTCTTCGACCAAGAAAAAAAAAGTTCTTTATTTGTATGTTTATTCATTTTATAATCACATGAGGATTAAAGCTTTAAAAAACAAAGGAAAAATGTCACTTTTATTTTCACATGCTAAAAGATTTAATTAAAGGAGTGAACAGAAGTTATATTTAGATGAATTTATACTTATCTTTTTCACAAGATATCAACCAATATATATGATTGCCTTCCTATATTTCCTTTTTTTCCCACTATACATGTTTTCTTTTTCTATTTATCCATTTTATCTTTCTATATATGTAGCATTTGATATTTCAAAACCATATTTAAAATTTTATATGATAACTTTAAAATTTTTACTTATTCATAAGGCATATTACTCGAAACGAAAGCAAAATGACAGATAAACACAATAATTATATCATTTTATATATGTTAAATTGTTTGATATACCAAACAATAGACTCTAATTAATGATCAAATAAAGACTACTATAATCTAATATTGGTGGTTTAATGCCAATGACTTCTTAGCCACTCTATTGGCTTCTTGTGGAAAAGAGATTCGAAATCGTGTTTTATATATCTGTGGACTACTGAGTCCAAACATTCTGATTGGTGGCACTAGAATTTTGAGATAACCTATTTAGACTGGATTAAGATATGTATAATATAATTATGGCTCTAGCTGGTGTGATCAATGCAATCAATATAAATATGATTGATTCGATTATTAGGTTAGAGTAGTGCAATCAAGATTGCTAAATGATATAGCTAGTATATATAACTATAACTAATCTAATTTTCTACTAAACTTTTAAGCTGCTAAAGACTAATCTTTGTTGTTCTTGGATTTGTTTTTTATTTTTATTCCCTTAACGTTGAATTGAAATTTATAACATATTTTATTTTTTAATAAGAAAATACGATAATAAGGTATGCTTGAAAATAAACAAAAAAGGTATGCTTGAAAATAAGAAACTAAAATGAGCACTCAATAAACAAACTAAGGCCATCCTCAATTGTACTTGGAGTGGTGTAACTTAAGTTAATTGTTTCTTGCTTTATCAATAACATGCACTTAATTGGGTTCATAAGACAAATAACGAATACCAAACATTTCAACCTTCCCCTACCACAGATACTTGTGTCTGTGTTACTTTTTGATACATTAAAATGCTTATACATAAGATACCAAAACCCACCCCCAAAAAAATGTTAAGATGAGTGTTTCACAAATTTGGTATACTGTGTTTGATTGTTTGGATTAATGCTCATAGAATCTTAAAACAAAATTGAACATTTATGGTAACAGTTGGTGTGTCATGTCAATGAAGCTTTCTATATAAAGTTGGTAGCTGTCAGATTAAAGCATATATACATATACATATGGATAGCTATAGTGAAATCTATATCGAAGCAGTTAGGTATCTGACGTTAGGGCAGCTTACGTGACTTCATTTATGATCTATCTCTTTGTTAAACTCTCTGATCTATTATGACTTCAAATTATAAGTATAAATACTACTCCAGTTATCACTTAATGTGTTCAAATAAGTGTACTTACACTCGAACTAATAGATAGGAGTTTAGTCTCCGGATGATCCAATACAACGATCAACAAAGTGATCTGATAAGAGAATAAGTTAATTAAAAACAACAATGATGCTACAAAAAAAAAACCAAACATGTTGATTTATTTATTTTTAGCTCTAGATGATATATTTATACATGAATAAATACAAGAAAATTTATTAGATAAAAAAAGATAGTACATTTTTTTTTGTCACATATTAGCTACATACATTTAAGCATTCACTCAAATTAAAACCAAACCAATTTTTTAGAAAAGTTATAAAATACGGACGAGCGATAGACTATAGTTTATGAACTGTTTTTGTATAGTAATTAGTGGGAATCCTTTACTTATCATAAGTCCACCTAAATTAGGTGACATATTCTCCTTTGTTTTATTTATTTATTTATTTATATAAATTAAATCAATTTCATTTGTTTTTTGTTTTCTTTAAAGAAACTACCAATTCATTTGTTATATACTAGTATCAAATAATAAATAAGAATTTGGGAATTAGCAGACAAAATTGACCTTAAATTTAACTTTTTTTTCTTACAAATTAAAATTCTCGATCTCCGATATGAATTTCTTCTAATAACCAGCAGGTCCACCACAGACACAGAGGACACCTTTGGTAGTATCTCATCCAAAGGCCTTTCACTGAATTATTATTATTTTTGTTTGTTATATTAAATTGATTTTGTAGAATAAGCTACCAAGAAATATACAGCTAACTTATATACCCCACAAGTATTTGGAATGTACAACGAAAAGACAAAGTAATAACTATAGAGTTTTGATGTCACACAGCTTAATAACATATTCGCATGTTCCATGTCCACTCCAACCTATGATGGCATTTATATAAAATCTATCAAATAAATTGTTTTTTTTTCGAAAAGAGAAAAAAAAAAACAGACTGTCAATAATTAAATTTGTGGTTTAAACATAATTTTATGAGGTAATTTTAATTAGTGATGATGATTAAATCCAGATGGTGTTTAGTAAAAATAACGTAATTACATTGAAACCAACGTTAAAGTTGACTATTTCCTTGTAAGAAATAAAAAAAATGACCGTTGCCTATTTTATCGTACCGTCATCGAGACCAACGACCATGCATACATTTAAGAAACTGACTATATTACCCCTACAAGCACGAGTTACGAGAGAGATGATATATCACAGAAGCTGGAGGGTAAACTCGTCATTACATTCTTGATTGGTCACTGTTCCCTCCACCCAAAACATGCATCCTTTTCAATATTAAAAAACTCACAACTTATTAAAATAAATAAATAAAGCTTATTTTTCCACTATAAAATAAAATAAAAATTTGTGGTGCGTACTTTATAATTTTAAGCCGAATTATACAAAAAGATATTGTTTCCAAATCTGTCGGTACAATTTTTTAATACATACAGTATCTTTTTTAATTTTCCTCTATATCTAAAATATGTTGAAATTACAAATTTATACAGTTTTATGACGAATTTAAAACAATGGCTGAAATCATAACACAACTAAATGGTCACTTAATCGAGAAAAGGATTCAAAATTTAATACATTGTACAAAATAAATACTTCGTTTTGACTTTTGGAGTTTATACATTAAAAACCTAAAACCTATTCTATTGCTAGAAAAATAGATTCGGGGTACCAACTAGAGCAGCCTATGATTCAATAAATCCCAAAATTAATTAATGTAATTTGATAACCTAATTTAGTTTGTTTTCCCTGAATTGTTAAACTAATTTAGTGATGTTAATTGTTAAACTAATTACATTATATTCTTCGGTTTGGTGATACAACAAAACTACTAATTACTGAATAACAAAATAAAAATAAAAATAAAAGTATCGTCGTCTCTCATGAGAATTGAGATCTACTTTTCATTTTTTTTTGTCCCATTTATATAAAAAATCAACTGGTGGGAGCTAACGCTCGCGTCTTCTTCCTCTTGACGTAATCGGGAATTGAACTCGTTTCTCTATTCACTGAGTCGACTCGTATTTGGCAGTTACGGTGTCTTTCAGTCTTTGTGGTGTGGTGTAATGATCAACGCTCTACATTGGACTGAAGAAGATGAAGGGAGTAATGGCTGGTTTTTAGCGACAATGGCCGGAGCTCCGGTGATGGTTACTGTTTAAGTAAAGCGGCGATCGAATACTTAGACGGTGGAGGAGAGATGTTTAAGTCAGCGAGATGGCGGAATGAGAAGAGCAACAAAATCAAAATCGTTTTCAAGTTGCAGTTTCATGCTACTCAGGTAAATTTTCACTCTTCTCCTCCTCCGATATATATGTTTTTTTCCAGTGAATTTTGGTTTCGTTTTCTCTCTTTCTCGTACTCGAGAGAGCAGATTTTCTCGGGAAAATGTTGCTAAGATTTTCGAATTTTCCAGAAATTTGGGGAAATTTTTTTATAGTCAAATCTGACATCTGATATGACCAGTGTAAACAGTGAATTACAAAATAAGAAAACTGTGAGAATTCAAATTTTGAAATTTAGATCTTGGATATGTGAGAGTGAGATCATCATGTTCTTGTTCATCATTGTGTGATTTTGATTTTTTTTTATTTTTTTTTTGGTTAATCAGGTGACACAGTTGAAGGCAGAGGGATTAACGATCTCTATAGTTCCCGGAGATGTTGGGAAATCGACTGGGAAGGCAGAGAAGGCTACGGTACTCGACGGACATTGTCGGTGGGAATCTCCGGTGTTCGAGGCGGTTAAGTTTCTTCAGGATGTGAAGACTGGGAAGGTTAATCAGAGAATCTATTACTTTATTGTATCTACTACGGTGAGGAAACAATTAAACTTAATTCTGAGTTTTTGAAAGTGATCTCTGAGATTACTTTCTTGAAGATGTTGCTAGTTTTGTTTTTGCAGGGATCTACAAAATCTGGTGTTTTGGGAGAGACTTCGATTGATTTTGCTGATTACGTTGAAGCAGTTAAGACTTGCAATGTTTCTCTTCCTCTCCAGAATTCAAATTCGAAAGCAATGTTGCACGTTAGCTCTCTTTCTCTGTCTCTCTTTCTTTGCATTAATGTTTGTCATGAGATGTTACAGTGTTTGCATCCAAAGAAAAGCTCACATGATTCTTACTTCTTTGTCTTTTTGAACTTTGATACTGAGCTTTGAAATGGTTTTTGTTTTTCATTATCAGGTATCAATACAAAGGCAGCAAGAAAATGCAGATCCGCAAAGGTATATATAGGAAACTGGACTCTGCTATTATGAGTTTTCTTTTAGTCAATTCCTTTTTAGGTTCTTATTGGGAGTCTCTGTTTTGTTTGTGGGTTTTTGCAGAGTGGTGAAAGAAATCGATAGCTTGGTGAAAAGGTCACGGAGTCAAGATTTGAAATCTCATTTAAGTATTGATGCAGATGAAAGCCATAAAAGTGATTCACAAGAGGTACCTAACTCATGTTCTATTATCGCTTATCCATATTCTTGATTTCTAAAGTCGTTGGTGTATATTTAGAAGTTTTAATATTCTATTTGTCTTCTGCTCTCCTAGGAAGGTTCATTTGGTAAAGCTTCCCGGATTGCTGAATTGAGGCGTCGAGCATCGATTGAATCTGATACTACGTTGTCAAGCTTTGACAGTGGGTCTGAATTGGATACACTGGGAGAGATTGGAAGCAGAGGTGATCACATTCAGAAAAACCAGTCTAATATGCATCACCTTTCGGTTACAAATATATACGAAGAGCCTCATATATCAGAATCCGAGTGGTCTGGAAGTTCTGATCAGGGAATCAGTACTGATGGCTCCATGAATAGTTCAAATGATACAATCCCGAGAGAGATCACAAGGACTTCCTCAAACGAAGATGTAGATAAGCTTAAAACCGAACTTGTTGCTCTGGCAAGGCGAGCAGATCTTTCGGAACTAGAGCTACAAAGCCTGCGGAAACAGATTGTTAAAGAGACCAAAAGGAGTCAGGATCTCCTGAGGGAAGTAACTAGCCTGAAGCAGGAGAGGGATTTTCTGAAGGCTGATAATGAGAGTATTAAAGCATCTGATAAGCGAAAGGAAGAGGCAAAAATTAGGAACCAGTTGCAGCTTGAAGGAAGGGATCCACATGTTCTTTTAGAAGAAACCCGAGAAGAACTGGATTATGAGAAGGATCTGAACTCCAATCTACAGTTACAGCTTCAGAAGACAAAGGAATCAAACACCGAGTTGCTGCTTGCTGTGCAAGATCTAGAAGCAATGGTGGGGAAAAGAAGTAAGAAAACAGCTGATCTTCCTAGACCAAGAACCTGCGAGAGGAATACCGAAGAACCGAGGAGAAGGTCCTGCACAAGTGAGACAGATGACGACGAGGATCAGAAGGCACTAGACGAGCTTGTGAAGGGGCACATGGATGCAAAAGAATCACACGTCCTGGAGCGAAGGATCACTGACCTATACAATGAGATAGAGATCTATAAACGAGACAGAGAGGATCTTGAGATACAGGTGGAGCAGCTTTCTCTGGATTATGAGATACTTAAGCAGGAAAATCACGATATCTCATACAAGCTAGAGCAAAGCCAAGTGCAAGAACAGTTGAAGATGCAATATGAATGTTCATCTTCTCTTGTAAACGTGAATGAGCTTGAAAATCATGTGGAGAGCCTAGAAGCCAAGCTCAAGAAGCAGTACGAAGAGTTCTCTGAGTCCCTGTGCCGCATCAAAGAACTTGAAACGCAGATCGAGGGAATGGAAGAAGAATTAGAAAAACAAGCTCAGATCTTTGAGGGAGATATTGAAGCTGTCACACGTGCTAAAGTGGAGCAAGAGCAAAGAGCTATCGAAGCCGAAGAAGTCCTGAGGAAGACGAGGTGCAAAAATGCTACTGTAGCCGGCAAAATACAGGACGAGTTCAAGAGAATCTCTGAACAGATGTCTCTTACGTTAGCAGCAAATGAGAAGGTGACTATGAAAGCGATGACCGAAACTCGCGAACTGCGCATGCAGAAGCGTAAGCTAGAAGAACTTCTCATGAATGCTAACGATGAACTCCAAGCAAATAACGCTGAGTGTGAAGCAAAGCTCAACGAGCTCTCAGGAAAGACAGATCTTAAAACGAAGGAGTTGGAGAGAATGTTAGTGGATCTAGAGAATAAAAAGAGGCAAAAAGAAGATGCTAATGCAGATTTGACACAGGAGATCACAAGGCTAAAGGATGAGATTGAGATCTTGAGACTTGAAGTGGAAGAGACAAGAAAATCAAGTATGGTAACCGAGGCATCTTTGTCAGAGGAGTTGCAGCGAACCAAAGACGAAAAAGAAGCAGTCATTACCATTTTAAAATCACAACTAGAGGCCACAATAGCGCAATGTGATAATCTAAAGCATTCTGTATCCAACAATGAATCAGAGATTGAGAATCACAGAAGGCAAGTTGTACAAGTGAGAAGCGAGCTGAGGAGTAAAGAAGAAGAAATGAAAAATCTAAAGAACAGAGACGCAGCAGCTGACAACATAACAAATACAGAACAAAGAAGCAACGAAGATAGATTAAAACAGCTTGAGGTAATGCATCTAACACTAGATCATTCACTATTTGGCTAATTGTTTGATATTGATGCCAATTTTTGGTTATCCAGGAACAAATAAAACTAAAGGAAAACGCTTTGGAAGTCTCTTCAAAGATGTTCATCGACAAGGAAAAGGAATTGAAGAACAAGATCGAAGAGTTGCAGACTAAACTCAACGAACGAAGTCAAAATAGCCAAGAGGTAAAAGAATTAACCTTTTACAATTTAGATATACTTTCCTACAACCTCAAACATCATAACACTTCTCTGGTTTTATGAACAGACTGGTGAAACTTTGCAAGGTCCACAAGCGATTGCTATGCAAAACAATGAAGTATTGCCATTGCCATTGAACAAGAGGTATGTTCATGAATCAATATAAACAAACAAAACACCGATGATTTCTGATCGATTCTTGCTTTTACAGTGACAATCTTCAAGATTTGGTAAATGAAGTAGCGTTGCTAAGAGAACAAAATGGATTGATGGAGATGGAATTGAAGGAGATGCAAGAGAGATATTCAGAGATAAGTCTAAAATTTGCAGAAGTTGAAGGTGAGAGACAACAACTTGTTATGACTGTACGTTATCTCAAAAATGCCAAGAAGAAGTAAAACCGAAGAACCAAATGGTGTGCACTGTACAAATTTCTCTTATTTTTCATTATAAATATTTTTTTGTTTTTTTTGTTTTTCACATATATATAGTTTCTCCTTTAATATATATAATTCTTCTGAGAGAAAAGTGAGTTTTGAGTTTTGACTACTTTTTTTGGTGTATTTATCTACTGTTTGTAATAGATATCATGAATATATAATTATTTATGTTAGTTTGCATATCTAAATCTTGACCAAAAATAAAAGTTTTATCTAGAATTCACTATTTCAATATTTTAAATTGTTACTTTCTACCACTCCAACTACCATAGAGTGTTACACAATCGTTACGATTTAAATAGATTCAAAGTATGCTAACTAGTGTAATTGTTACAACAGATTAATCAACCTTATCAAGCTTCTAATCTACAACAAATGTAACAGATGAACATGAAAGAACAACTAAACAGCTTTGTAATCGAGCATCTAAATTAAATAGTGTTACCTCCCTCTCTTTCTTTAAAGCAAGGTAGGATACTTAGCGTCAAAAAACTCTCTGAGGCTTTTAGCAACTTTGTGACCACCCATGAGTTCTGCTAATGTCTCCACAGGCATAGACGCGAGCTCAGCCAAACTCTTACATTTCTCCATAATCGATCTGTAATTCGCGTCTGAAACTCCAGGAAGCCTTCTCAGAAACTCTACCGCTGATGTGTTATAGTTTTCAGCTCTGTTTCACATCATGAGGCAAATTTCAATATCACCAATGTAAAATAAACAAAACTGACTTTGCAGTTTAAGAAAGAGAGCTTTTTACCTGATGTCATTTTCTATGATACCTTCTTCTGAAGGCACACCAACTCTTATTGCTCGGCTCTCATCTGGCTCGTCTTGGTTGGATTTTAAGGTAGTGAAGATTTCTGCGGTTGCATGTAGACTTCGAGACCATAATATCCTTAGCCGAGGAAAATGCAGAACTAGTAACGATAGTTTTGATATGATGTTATATGGAGCCACGTCATCTGATATATCACTCGCAGACTGCAAGAAAAAAAATAACAAGATCAAAACTCAATAAAAAACAGAATTTACACATAAGACAGATAAGAGAAAAAGAAAGTGTTTTGACTGTGAAGCTTGGACTGTGAGAGGTTACCTGAAAGGAGAAGCTTTTGTCTTGAGAGAACTCAATGAGAAGAACCGGTATTCTGTAATAACGGGACATCATTTCGACTTGGTGGAATAAACGACCTGATGTGAAGCTCTGGAAAAGATCTTGAATGCTCTTTCTCTCCACGCAGATTGAAGGAGATAGGATATAGTCACCCACCTCTAGTGTAACTGGTATTATCTTCATGCCTTTTTGGTGAAGAACATTTGGTAGGCTGCTCATGAATTCCCTCATGTCAACTATTACCTGATAAAAAACCCATTGACTTTTCACATAAAAGGCTTTCCGGATAGTGGAGATCAAATCAGTACTGAGATATGAACCTGTGTCTCTTTCTCCAATTCCTTTCTTCCGCCTGCTTTTCTGGTTAATGAGTTTTGAGTACTTGACGCTGGAAACTCTGTAGATGAATTCGACCCCAAGCAGATCCCATCCTAATTCCAAGTTTATAGCACAGGATGGATGAGATGAAACCAGGAACGAAAAAATGGAATCCGAGGAAAACAAGAGGATGGTCTGATTCAATTTAATATAAACTTGTTTTAGCAGCGCAAGTGCGCTACCAGGCGCTGCTACCATTAATTGAGTTGTTCTAACTTACTTTCATACGGGAAAAAAACTCACACAGATTTCGTTTCAATTGAAATGTTGGGGTTTGAGTTTCAAACCTGATCAACGGGAATCATCATCGAAGACTTTTGCCTGATCAATGATTCAAAGGCTCCATTTTCCCGACGTATGCTTGCTTCAAACTTCTGCACTTCTGTGGACTCATCATAGAAAAGAAAATAAATTTTCAGCTTTCTTAGAGGGTTCTCTGCTTTGTAGACCTCAAGTTCTCTGACAAAACCCATGTCAGGATGGTAGACAATGATCACAGAGGGTTTCAAGATATCTAGTATAGGTTGATCGCTTTCTAAAGCATAAAAATGCACAGGCGGTATCTTTTTAGCATCACTGGGGTGAGCAGCATTGGCTTCTTGGGGGACTGATGTGCTAGCCTCACTAGCTTTTTCTTCATTCTCTAGGCCTGTTAAGATTTCAGGTTTACTATTCACCGTTTTCTTATTGCAACTTCTTATGGATCTTCTGAGACTTGTTGAATCCTTTTTAGCTTTTCCTTTGGTACATGGAGCCTTATCAACATGAGGCTCTGGGTTGTTATTTCCAGAAGCCATATCTGTTGTCTTTCTTAGCTTGCGAATAGAAGAAGCAGCAGCCATAAGAGCCTCATGCTCTTGTCTGCCAACACTGCTACCTTCCGAGTTCTGTATTGTAGTTACCGGAACAACTCCATCAAGAATCCCAAAACCCTTGGGAGTCTTTTGTTTCTTCTTTTGTGGTGTCTGCATACTGCGGAGCTCAATTTTGCTCAGCAGGTACATTTCCCATTCTTCCCGCATTACCTGCAAAAGTGTAGGTAACATGAGAAGATTTGTGTGGCAGACAAATTATGAAATTGGATGTTAGCTTCTAAAATTATGGTTAGTAGTGACAGGGTTCGTTTCAGTTGTAAATGAATGATGTAAAATCTCTTTATCTAACTGGACCTTCTGTGGATTGTTTGTGATACAATCTTCAAGCTGCATGCAGGACCGTTCATCTTTGCAAGCGACAAGAACGATTCCATTGTTATCACTGTTGTCTTCCTCAGAATAAGCCTGCTTTTGTCTTTCTTCTTGTGTCTCTTCTAAAATCTCCTGTATTAATCACAGACACACCATTAAGATTAATGCGATTTCGTACAGCTATTCCATGAAAACATGTTTGTCAGTCATAGAGATGTCAAACTCAAAAAGAACCGATATGGTCACAAGCTAAATTAACTTCCATCACTAAATCAACAGTAACAGAAAAACAGCATTGAAACTGAAACTCACTCAGTCACTCACACGTAAGACTTTCCATTTTGGTGCCTCTTCCAGAACTTCTTCAATAAAAACGCCACTAGCCATATTTGTTGCCGCTTCCCCACCCACTAATTCATATCCAATTGTCAGGAATTTTTAAAAAATACTTATAACACACAAGTCACTGGATACAAGATACAACCACTGAAGATCAAGAATTTGTTACCTGCTTCTACAGAGTCATTTTCTCCCTTGGACTTTCTCTTCTTACCACTTTTATTCGTAACATGTTCTTTTGACTTCACATCACTAGCCTTCACGAGACGATACACTCGTTTCTTTGCAAAATCAAATATTTTATAGCTGGACTCTGCAAATAACCAAACAGACCGATAGCTCTCTGATACCCTTAGTGTATCCAAGAACTTGAGAAAACTCACAGCATCATACCTATACAAAAATCCATAAACGTAACAGCAAACTGCTGTTAGAAACTGCCAAGAAACCCAACTTGAAGCTACAATTGGAAAAAAGGAGAATTTCTCACTGTTCCCAAACGAAAAAGACTTTGCATAAGTAGGGAAGACATAGAGCTATATTACCTAACAAGATAGTCAAGCAGCTTCCTTAAAGTCTTCAAATCAGAAACAAGCTGTTTAGTTCTTTTCCCCAGAGTATGCCAAATTGGGTCAAGCTGCCTCCTCACAATCTCATCAAAGGACTTAAACAACCCACTCTCTACAGTCAAATCATCCACATCAACCTTGTTAGTCTTCTTCATCTCCTTGAGGCAAGCGTCCATAACTTCAATGATTGCTTTTTGTATTCCTACCATATAGTTCGACATAGAAACTCTAATATCCACAACCTCAGGCGGTTCTCTCTCCAATTCCTGAGACACATCCAACTGAAACCTGATCCACAAATTCACAACTATGGCTTAATGATCCAAAAACCAACATCGTATTCTCAACCAATTTGAAGTTCAAAATTACAAAACCTTGGCCATAGATGGAGTCTTCGGAGGCAGAGAGCACGCATGGTGCGTTCAGTCTTGGCGAAACCGGAGACCATAGCCTGCGGTTTATCAGAAAAGGCGCGTACATAAGCGGAGCCATTTAGGGATTTAACAATTCGCACAATGAACGCTTCAGTGGAAGTTTCCGAAAGCGAATGAGCATTGAGAATGAAGATTCCAGCAAGCGAAGAAACAGGAATCCTCTGAGTCAACAGATCGACGATGAGAATCCGCGGCGTGATGAAGAAAGGGCTGCCGGAGGAGTAAAGCGAGTAACGCTGATTCGCCGGAAGGTCAGCGGTAATCTCCGTCGGAGTAGGAGAGTCAAGAGATGAGATATAATGGATAATTCTGGATTTGAGGGATTGAGCGGCGGGGGAGAGGAGGAGAAGTAGAGTTCCTTGGGAAGGAGAGTGAAGGATGAGGAGAGAAGCGATTAATTTAGCGAGGGAGAGACCAGAAGAGAGGATCACTAGTCCGCCATTAGACTCCTCGAGAAGGTCCGATATAATCTGTTGGTGAAATTTCAGCGCCATTGCGAAGAACACGACGCAAAATCGGAGAAACAGAAGGGGACGACGATATATAATTTATTTTGGTCGCAAAACGTTTCAAAATTCAAAACGGTGTCGTTTTAAAAGTCAATTGCAAATAATTTTAGTTTACTACCAACAATTATTGATTTATCATTAATCGAGACAGAAACTAATTTTTAAAGCTTAAATGTCCCTTATTTTTCACAAAACCATGTCAAATAGTTGGCTAAATAAAATTGATTTTCCTACGATTTGTGGTAAATTGATTTTTTTTTTCTGTCTCGACCTCTCCATTAGCTATATAAAATGCTTGAATTTTTGATATTTGAATATATTAGCATGAGTATTTTTCTCAGCTCATTTTAGTTTTATGTTAATTACATTACAAATTTCATAATGTTGGTGTGTTGACGAGTTTTAGATGTTGCAGAGATACTTACTTGGAGATTAAAGAGAGAGTTTGAAGACCATCAAAGTAGTAGTTTGAAGTTTATGTTCATGTGTAGGTTGGATTGTAAAACTCAATAAACAAATGGAGAGGTAAACTTATGTATGGTCAATAAAATAAAGTAGCGATATAAACGCATTGTGTACTAAAGTAAAAATTAAAACTATTTAAGCTTTTAATATTATAGACTGCAAAAACGTGTTGTGGTTGAAAAATATACAAAAATGTAATCCATAACAATGCATAAACTTTGAACTTAAGTTTTCTGTAAGTAGCTATGAAGTTTGGTATATAAAAAGAGGGGCAAATCACTAAGTTTAAATTCACAACATGCTAAGAAAACAAAACATAGAATCACATTATATATATATATATATATATATATATATATAAAGAAAAAAAAAAATTAGAACACAACATAAAAAAAAAAGACAATTGTAAGGAAAAAACAATTAAAAAAGAAGCAAAACAAATGACTAAATAAAGGAAATTAAAAATTAAAAATTCAAATTTAAAACATTAGAAGCAAAGTAAGAATGAGTGTAATCGTATTTTCATCGAAAAAATAATATTGACCTCGTAAAAAATAAGATCAGAAATTGATTGATCCTAGAAATGATTTTTTTGTTTTGTTTTACTTTTACTCAATCTAAGATTATAAAGATCTTTACCATATGATTATTGTCGAGGTTGGTCAAATATAGGAATGATCATGTGGCTGATTCCATAATTTTACAATGTTTCATTGATTTTGACCGTAGGGAAAGCTAGCAGATGGGGTGGATGTTGCCATCAAAAGGCATAGAAAATACATACTAACAAATGGTATTTGCTTGGATTATATCCACACTTTTTTCACTTGTTGCCATCAACAACAGTTGGAACATATATAGTAAGCCCATCATGTGATATGATTATTTCAAATGCTGAACAATTATACGTTTATGTTTATGTATGAAAATAGTGTCGTATTAATTCATGAAAAAAGTATTTTGCAATAATAATTTCAGCAGTTTTATGTCACCGGAATATAATAGACTCATTGGCAAAGATATCATATATATATTTATAGCTTTGAAATGGTGCTATTGGAAATCGTATTTCTTTCTTTAAATCTACATACCCCTTGCGAATTTTGTTAATTAATTAAAATTGGAATCATCATGTGGTCTATGATCTCTTGTTCTACATAAACTAGAAACCAAATACATTTTTGTTCTTATATTTCTTTTTCCCTATCAAAAATTAAGACCACATCTTGAGACCGCATGAACTGATATTAAAGATTTTTTTTGAATTTCTATGTTTTGCTTGTTATTGTCTTTTCCAATTTATTCTAGAATATATGTTATTAATTTTGTATTTAATATATTAATTAACTACATAATTAATAACAGTATTTATAATTTACAGTATGAAATAATAATTAAAAAAAAACTTTATTTGGGTATAAACTATAAATGTATTAAATTTAAACGAATGATTTGCAAATAGAAAAGCTTTCAAATTAAAATAGAAAGATGAATTGAAAGTCTTGAAATATAGACACAAAAATGGAGTCTAAGGAAAGCAATACTTTCCTTCATTATTACCCAAGTAAGAGCATACCATTTGAACTTATTTGACTTGTATAGATTTGTTGACTTAAATACATGAGAACATCATGCAGCAATGATCATCCTTGTTGGCTTGTTGCATCATTTAAAAGGGAACAAAAGAATGACACATGTCTTATTTGTGTGTGTGAAGTGGCATGCCTTTAGCATCATCCACCGGTTACAGAAATCAGACTGGTTCTGCTTGCTACCTTTGATGATATAACTCATTCTATCACTATCTTTAAGGACCCTCTACTGTTCAATGATTTTTAAATTTTGTCACTTACAAATTGTAGTCTACCAATTCACTAAGAAGTCCCATTTGCCTTCTGCACATTCTTTACGAAGTTTCTTTTTTATCAATACAGTGTCTGAAGTAGACACAAGTCATCCTTCACTTCCACAAACGAATTAACCTCACAGCTTCATCAAATCCTCCTCGCTTCACAAAGACCATGTCAAACAGTTGGGCGATTTTATGGCAGCCCATGAGGCATCGCAATGGAACCACAAAAGCTGCATCCAAATCCTTTTTTCCTAGAGCAACCCAGAGTGAAAGATACAAATGTGAAATAATCAGGAGTCAGCCTCACCTGCATCAATTTACACAGGTTTTGTAAGATACACGAGGTTGTATGTGACATCATAAACTGCTCAACACTATGATATGGTGTCACCTAATTACAGAACCCCATCTTCTTTCATTTTCTTGAACAACACATGAGCTTCAAGCTTCAACCCTTCCCTAAACAATCCCGATATCATTGTAGTGTACGTTACAACATTAGGCTTCACTCCTTTGGAAGGGAGGCTCCAAAATAAATTAACAGCATCTTTCACTTTACCAGCCTTGCACATCCCTTGAATAATGATTGTATATGTAATAATACCAATATCCATCTCTCTCTTTTTCATATCCTCTAATATCATCAACGCTTTCTCTAGCTTCCCGTTATAACATAGACCATGTAACAAAACGTTGTAAGTCCTAATATTGGGAGGCACACCATCTCTTTCTCTCTTTTGCATATCCTCAAATATCATCAACGCTTTCTTTAGCTTCCCATTATAACATAGACAATGTAACAAAACATTGTAGGTCCTAATATTGGGAGGCACGCCACGAGAAACCATATGACTAAAAATCTCTTGGGCGACAAAAGGTTTGCCCACTTGACCAAAACCTTGGATAAGAGTAGTGTAAGTGACTGTGTTCCCAGCCAATCCTTTTTGGGACATCTCGTAAAAGATTTTCATAGCATCCTCTACTTTCTTACACTTGCAAAACCCATTTATGAGAGAAGTATAAGCTACTACGTCTGGAAAACAACCCTTGGTTTCCATCCAATAAAACATTTGTTTGGCCTCATCTATGCGACCATCCATGCAGAGCCCATTGATCAACGAAGTGTAAGTAATAATATTAGGAACAATAGACATTTGAATCATCTCATTGTACAATTCTTTAGCATCCAAAAGCTTTCCTTCTTTCACAAACGCATCGATCAATGCATTGAAAGTGATTACATCAGGGTTGATTTTCCTCTCCATCATACCCCTCAGCAACGGAGCAGCATCTCTCCATCTACCAGAATGACAAAGACCGTTTACAAGAGAAGTGTAAGCAACAACATCCGGTCTAATCCCATTGTTTTCCATTTGGTTGAAAAGGTTCCACGCGTTATCCACATGTCCGTTTTTGCAAAGACTATCAATGATTGTTGTATACATTGCAACATCAGGTTTAATCCCGTTCTCAACCATCTGATTCACCATAGACATGGCCTCCTCAATTCTATTCCCGAGACAGAACCCATTAACAAGAGAGGTATACGTGACAACGTCAGGCTCAAAACCAAGTTTCATCATCTTCCCAAGAAATGAAGAAGCATGAAAAGGCTGAGAAGAATGGCAGAAACAATTCATCAAAAGATTGCAAGTATAGAGATCATGTGAAACTCCCATCACCCGCAGATGATCGCAGAGACTGATCACAGCATCAAACTTCTTCATTTTCGCAATAGCAGTTAATAATCTAGTGAAATCGATGATAGAAGGAAGAGGACGAGACTCAACCATGTGAGCGAACAGATCGAGAGCTTCATTAAACTGAAGAGAGTGAAGACCATTTCTCAAAATCTCTCGGTAAGTACAAAAAGCTCGTCGAACCCAGAAACTAAGACCTAAAAGGCGGCTAAAGGAGAGAGCTTTCCCAGAATTACCTTTCGCAAGACGATGTCGGTGAAGATGAAGAAACCTCATCGCCATTAATGCAAATCCCAGAAGGAAACGATTGGGTTCGTTCCAAATCGAAATCTACATCCACAGAGTGGATTGAGAGAGATCGAGAAGGTTCCTAATTTTCGAAGTTACGGATTTGTGAATTTGAGAAATGAACCAAAGAAGCGGCGAAGGAAGAAGAAGGCTGTTATTTTGACTTTTTTTGGGGTAAGATCGTTGACTTCACGTTATTATGATTTGATTGATAAGATCCGAGCCAAAAGGATCACTCAAATGGGTAAAAAGCCCAATTGTTTTTTTTATGTTAAAGCATGAAAGCAAATGTTTTCAGAGCCAAAGGCCCATATTAGAAGCCCAAAATACAAAAAGCATTAAAAGTACGAAACCCAATTAAAAAGGAACTAGAAGTTGGAACAGAAAAGTTGTAACTGAACCAGAATATCGGTTGGGGAAGTGGGAAAAACAAAAACAAAAAGCCCAATTATTTGTAAGAAAATATTTATTTGGATATCCACTATCCAAAAATCTATAATTTTGAATTCTACGTTAAGGTAATTACATTAGTTTCTTTTCTTTTCCATATATGTATTTAAATGAAATTTCCCAATTTTACCAAAAAAAATTATGTTCATTCTTTATTTTTCTATATAAATGATGTTATCAACCGCAACGAATGAATATAACTAACCGTATATACAACACTTGGAAATATCGTAATAATTATTTTTTGGTAGCAATTCCAAACTCCAAGTAAAAATATTAAACATTTGGTTATTGACTAAATTAAATGGTTTCCACAATTACAACATACATCTAAAACAGTAAAGACTTAAAAGTAACTAATACTCCTTATGTTTCATAAATTCACACAAGTTAAAAAAGCTTTAAATTATACATATTTGCCCTTATTTAATGAATGATTCATAATTTAATTTCATTGAAATGAGCTTTAGGTTTATGGTAAATTTGGAAATGTAGTGTAAAAATTACATTGGAATTGTATAATGACATTCTTTGTGAAACAAAATATTTTCTCTAGAATAACACTCTTTGTGAAACAGAGGGAGTACTAACTATTTTGTGACAAATAGGTAATAATTAGTCGGGTAATTTGTCTTAGTATTATTGTTGTATCATAATTCAGGTTCAACACTGCATATGTATATATATATATATATATATATATATATTAATAGATAGTGACATTTAAAATATTTAAAAATAAGAAAAGAAATCTAGAGTAGTTATAGTAGGGCCTTTTTAAATATTCTAATCCTAGTTTCCTATATTAAATTAATTGATAAAGTTTAAGAAAAGGTGCCATAATAATAATAAATGATATAAAGGAATTAAAGAAGAAAATTAGAAGAAAATAATACTTGTAGTTTGTGTGAACCTTTCCTATTTTTTTTACAAACAAATAATACTTGTAATAGTAGTTTGTTTTGCAAATCTGATAGCAAACTTTATTTTCGAAATTAATCTCACACGTTTGTGCGAATCCGAATCTAGTTGATTGTAACCAAATATATGCTATATATGAAGAATATAATCATTTCTGAAATTCATAAGTGAAATTAATGCTATATAGAAATTCTTTACAAACTAATGATCTAAAAATCAAATTTAATTATTATTTATATGATCTATTAATTCATATGTAAAAATTAAAAAAAAAAATTGAAATGACGACATAGCAACAAACAACACTATCAATACAAGTATACAACTAACATATATTTTATTTTTATCTAGCACATACAATATATAACTAGTTGTCATGTAATAATACTCCATCTGTTTTATAAAGAGTGTCATTTTGACACATTTCACACAAATTAAAAAAAAATATGAAAATATACATATACTATGTCCCTATCTAATAAATGGTTAATGGTTTAATTAACTATAGATTAAGGTAAAAATTGGATATCTTATGTAAAAGATGCATTGGAAATGTAGAATGACACTCTTTGTGTAATTTTTTTTTTCCTAAAATAGCACTCTTTGTGAAATAGAAGGAGTATATTTTTTGTCTTCCTTTCACATTAAAAGCAGATAAATGCATGTCCATACATTTGTCCTTGCATACAAATACACATTACAATTAAACCAATTTATATATTTTTGGCTTCCAATTAATATACATTTATGTATATATGAACATGCATTAGATGGGAAAAAAATCAGTATAAAACAATCTCATTACATAAAGTAAACTAGGATCTATTGCTAAATTTAAACTAATAAGCTTAATTAAGTCAAAGTTATAAGGGACAAAAATATTTTTAAAATAAAAGTGTTATTCTTCTTTTCTAAAGACAAAAAAAGTTAAAGCACTAATTTCTTCGTCTCCATTTAGAAAAAGGGAACCTGTCTTTGAATCCAAGTCTCTCTCTCTTTCTCTCTCCTTTGTCACCATCTCTGTGTTACACTTACTAATAAGAAACTGAAACTTCATTTTCCTCTCATGGGTTTTGGCTAAATTCCCGGATTATTAATTAAAGCATCCTCCTTTTTTTGTTAAAAAATCTTGCTTTGCTCATTAAGCTCTTAATTTTCTCCTGCTAAGTTATTTGGGTTTTTTTTGTGATGATTACTAAGTGGGAAACTCTGGGGTTTTGCTTCTTTTGCTGAGCTAGAATTTGAAGAAATCTTTGGGAAATTTAGAAAAAAATGAGACTTTATTTATCTTCAACTATGCAGCTTTCTCTTGTGAGTCTTGTGTTAGGGTTCCTCTTCGTTTCCTGTGACGCGTTTGCCTCTAAGGAAGGTATTTTGATTTCCTCGATGTATTGTGTTTTTTTTTTTTATTCACCAATTTTGGATGCTGTGAAAGTTTAGCTTTTTAGCCTCTACATGAATGTCAACAGACACTCATTGTGTTAATCTAGCTCTGTAACTGATCATAAGAAGTATTTGTTTTGTTGTTGTTCCTTGTATTTAGTTGAAGCTCTTAGGAGATTCAAGGAAGCTATGTATAAGGACCCTTTGCTAGTTTTGTCTGATTGGGATGTCCCCAGTTCCAGTCCTTGTGATTGGAACGGCATTTTGTGCTCTCCATCTAAGGATCATATTGTAAAGATGTAAGAAACTTTATTCTCTTCCTATCTGTAGAATTAGATATTTTTATGGATGTTAAGACTCTAGTATTCTGATAGTTTGATATCTGTTTGCAGAAATATATCGAATACGTCGATGAGAGGGTTTCTTGTGCCAGAACTTGGTCAGATAACCTACTTGCGAGAACTGTATGGTTTCAGTTTTTATTTACAATACCTGAAAATATATAAGTTTGATGATGAATAGTGTTTGGAAAATTCTTAGATGGCCTTTTTGTGTGTGTTGAATGCTTCTTTAGGATCCTGCATGGGAACATTCTAATGGGGACAATACCAAAAGAGATAGGAAATTTGAAGAAACTCAAGATCTTAGACCTGGGAAACAATCATTTGACAGGACACATTCCAGCAGAGATAGGGAAATTGTCAAGCATTAGGACAATGTAAGAAAAGCTTTAAGCTTTTTTGTCACGATCCATTCACACTTGCAAGTTCTGAGATGACCATTTTTGTGTTTGTTTTTTACACTACAGAAACCTTCAGTCCAATGGTTTGATAGGAAAGTTACCTTCAGAGATTGGAAACTTGAAGTACCTTAAAGAACTTCTTATTGACAGGAATAGGCTTCAAGGAAGTATTCCTATTTCCACAAAAACTTCAAAGATGTGAGTTTAGCCAATAGCCCAGGGAAGCATAAAATGGACTCTTATTCTCTGTGATTGAAATGTTAATCTATTGTATCTTCTTTTTGGTTTGTCTGAATTAGCAGGTATGCTACAAAGCCAAGTGCAAACATCACAGGTTTGTGTGCGTCTTCCCCATTGAAAGTGGCAGATTTCTCTTACAACTTTTTCGAGGGAAGTATTCCAAGATGCTTGGATTACCTTCCAAGGTATTTCTTATAAGACCCTTTTGTCTATCTTGCCTGCATTTTTTCATTTAACAATATCCCTTCGTCTTGTTGAAAATCATTGTAGAACGAGCTTTCAAGGAAACTGCATGAAAACCAAGAAAGTTAGGCAGCGGCCATCTGCAGAATGTGGTTTGTAGAATAAGATTTTCACTTTATGCCGATAATCGTTTTCTATATATTTTTTCATTGGACTATTTCAATTGGCTAGCTCACTTAACTGCAAGTGTGGCCAAGAAGAAGCATCGAGCATCGACACCTATGTGGCTTCGGAATTTTGAGATAGTCACGGGATCATCGGTTGGTTTACTCTTTCTAGTTGTAATGCTCGCTGCATTTAGCTTGTGCAACATAAAACGCTCTCTCATTGTTCCCTGGAAGAAATCTACAAGTGAAAAGGAAAAGTTCACCGTCTACGTCGGTTAGTTACTTTTGGATGTTCTAAGATCAATACAAAAGCCTGAAAGAGCTTCCAGAGATGAAAAAATTAATGTGAACAAGTTTTCTTACAGATTCCGAAATGCTTAAGGATGTTTCAAGATTCACAAGACAAGAGCTAGAAGTGGCGTGTGAAGACTTCAGCAACATCATTGATTCTTGTGCAGAGAGTCAGATTTACAAAGGAACAATCAAAGCCGGGACTGAGATCGCGGTGATCTCTCTCTGCGTTAAAGAAGAAGATTGGACCGGATATCTTGAGCTTAATTTCCAGAGAGAGGTTCTTCTTCTTATGTTTGTTTATCACCAAGTCACTTACAAGAAAACATTAGTATAAGCCTGACCTTTTTTTTGTACCATTCTTTGTTTCAGGTTGCGAATTTGGCTAGATTAAACCATGAGAATGTAGGGAAATTACTAGGATACTGTAAAGAGAGCACACCGTTTACAAGAATGCTTGTTTTTGAGTATGCATCAAATGGGACACTATACGACCATCTCCACTGTAAATCAAACTTCTTTAGAGCTCTGTCTTTGGTAATTCTCACAACAGTAAAGATAACTTATGAAAAATTTAAAATGCAGATGGGGAAGGGAGTTTAGTATCGTGGGCAAAGCGCATGAAAATCGTTATAGGCATCGCACGTGGTCTCAAGTACCTTCATACTGAACTAGATCCTCCATTTACAGTCTCTGAGTTGAGCTCAACTGCAGTGTATCTCACTGAATATTTTACTCCCAAAGTAAATTGATCCTCTTATTTCGATGCAGTTAGTTAAGCTTCGCGCTATCTCTACACTCATTTTAATCCTCTTTTTTCTATGCAGCTGCTTGATTTCGAATGCTGGAAGACAATACAGGTAAGATCAGAAAAAAACCTGAGGAATATCAGTTGTGAAGGAGATATATGTGTACTTCCCAGTGCAATGGAGCACCGAGATCTGGATTTACAAGGGAATATTTATTCATTCGGCATACTTTTGCTGGAAATTGTTAGCGGAAGACCTTCTTATTGCCAAGAGAGAGGTTGCTTGGTAGAATGGGTAAGAATAGCTTTTCTCTATGCTTAAAGCTGAGTAATTATAGCAAGTCTCTCTTTCCTATAAGTGTATACACTCATTTAAAAGCCAAGGACCCAATGCTCTTCTAGGTGCATTACCTTTTTTATCTCATTTTAAAAAATGGCGAAAGTTTCAATCTTTGCTACAATGCAAACCAATTGGTTACCATTGTTATAGTCAACGAGGGTGTAGAATTGGTTCCGGGGTTGCAAAGTATTGACCTTTACTCCGGGATAAAAAAATGAGAATACTTGTGGATGCTGAGATTCTGATTCGAACTCTTAAATTTTGCAGGCAAGGGAAAAATACCTTACTGCACCAGATGTGATGACTAGCTTGGTGGATCCTGAGCTCAAGCATTTCAACCAGAAAGAGCTTGAGGCGGTATGTGAAGTGGCAAGCCAATGTCTGAACTTGGACCAGAAGGAAAAAGACGAGGAGAAGCTTTCTTATTCGATTCAGGCGCTTTGTGAGACACTAGAGAGTAGAATCACTGTGTCCATTTCTGCAGAATTCAAATCATCTTCTTTGGCATGGGCGGAGCTCGCGCTGGCCTCGCCTTCTAACGATGACGAAGATGAAAGGAGTAAATAATTTGGTTTTGTAGTTGAGTAATGACATTGACATTAACTTGTTCAGACATTTGATGCTCTTTTGCATTGTTGTTCCTAAAGCCAGATCACTTCTCTTTGTTTGTAAATAGCTTACAGGGAGAATTTGATAGTAGAGGCCACTCCTTGGATAAGTAATCAAGTTATAGGTTACGATCGTTCTATTGTTAAGACTGAAGGGATAATCTTGTACTAAGGTCTTGAAGAACTGAATTTGTGTAGAGCCAAAAAAAAATGACACAGTTTGGGTAAAGAGATAACAGATATCAGACGAACTATTTCTGTAACCAAATATAAGTTATTAACTCACCTTTTCAAACTAGTTTTGGACTTGAAGCCAACAATCAAAACAAATAAGTAAAAGAAAAACAGAGACAAAATCATAGGCATTTCTTTGAAGTAAAGGAGATGCTTGCTATGTCGGGAGAAACATATATCAGTGCATAGAACGAGAGTAATGGTTGTCATTAGGGTTTCTTTTCTGGCTGAAAACCGCCATAGCTTTTCTCACAGGAGGTTGCAATGGCGCCTTTTTATCACTATGATGGTTCAAGAACACATCGTCTGATACGAAGTACTCATCACCCTGGAAACAGCAACATAATTACCATAAGGTTTCTTTTGATCAAAGTTACATATTTGACTTTGAGATAGAAGACAGGAAAGAGACTAACCGGTTTGCTTGCTTTCTTCTTGGTCCTAGGGTGGAGAAACTTTTGAGGGAGTTGATCTTCCCGTAGAACCAGATTCTTGGTGATTGACTCTCTTCCTCCTTTAGGCATTGGTATCGAATACTGCACAGCAAAACAAGAAGATGTGTATCAGGAGAAGCTTTTATCTGTGTATGCAAAGGTAATTGGTTTTATAGATTTATCATTATGAAATTTAAGGTATCATAAAATTTTGTTTTCCAGATATTGATTTAATTGCAGATTCTGAAGGAAACTACGGTTTCTGCTTAAAAGCTTACTTCAAATAACGAGACAAGACTCTTCACTAATACAAGGAATTTTTTTGGTGTTTCGGTTAGCTTCTACTCATTAGAAGTACTTACTTTGGTCCCTCGAAGTATAATACGTGGTTTACGGGCAGCTATGATGGTGCCATTCTGGCCTATTGTAACTGCTACCTTGCGTAGAGTGCCGCCATTCCCACACTTGGGACAAAAGATTCTTCCAATTTCAGGAGTTACTGTGTAGCAAGCATGGCATTTCAAGATCCACCTGAAGATGCAAATGCAATAAAAGGTTAGGTATGCATCTCTCTCAACTAACAAGCATGCTGAGGGAAAAGTGTCACATTTGAACAAAGATAAGAGACGAGGAAGTTCTCTGATTCATAAAGTGTACCTGTGCAGTTGGCGAATTTGCATTCCTCCAGGTGCAAGTAAACGCAAACCCATTTGAAGAATAACATTTTGCATTGCAAAATCACCAGTTATGCAGGCCACACTAGACTCAGACAAGGCTCTCACCGACCAACTCTGCTCACTGCTACCATCATCTGCAATTGACGATGCCTCAAAGGTATCCCCAGCCTCACTAGCAACCTCTAACTCTTGATTTGCAACATCGATCTCCTCAGCTTCGACTTCAATATCATTATCCATATCATCCTCACCACTGATCAAATTTGATTCAGCATTCGTCTCTTCAGTCCCTTCTTGGTGAGCCCTTAATGAATCTTCCTCCAATCTCATATCTTTTAGGATGGACGATAGATCCTCACCATTCTCTCCACTATCTTTTGCATGGCTTTCATTGGCGTCTTTAGACATTTGATTCGACTGCTGATCAGCTGTGTCCTCAATCATGTGCCGAGCTTTGTCAGCTTCTTGATCTTGCTGAATTTCTTGTTCAGCCAAGGCATTGTAATGTTCCCACTTTGCCTTTCTTCTAAGAAACTTAGAGTGGGTACTTCTACTAACTGCAGGTCTCCAATCACTGGCATCATCATCATCATAATGCCCCTGGGATGCATCAATTCCCTCCACAACCATCTTACCCTCAAGCTTAACCTCTGTTTTCTTGGGTGGGTATCGCCTATGCTTCTTCACACCTTCCTGATCATCCTCTTCATGATTCTCAGTATGAGAGACAACAGAACCTACCTCAGAAACAGTGTCTGAAGCGATAATATTCATGTTAAGGTCTTTCAACGGAAGGATTTTGGAGTTAGCGTTGGATTTTTCCTCAGTCTCGTTTTCAAGTGCCTCCCACTCCTCCAGGTTAGCCACATTGGAGCCCCAACCAGGTAAATCCTTCTCAGGTAACCTCTTTACTCTAACAGTTTGAATAGGTGGAGGAACATCTCTAAGATTTTTGGTGCCATGAACCTGAGCCTCAAGCGTGTATGACAAAGCAATCAACTTGAGATCAACATCAGACAGAGTTTGCAAATCACCAGTAGCTCTTGCAAATTTAATAACTGGAAAAACAACAAAAACAATCAACGTCAGAGATACAATACAATCTTTCTCCAACACAACATTTAAGCATTAGCAAGAATCACAAACCTACTTAGATACAAATTTCACATAACGAGCTCAAAAACTAAGGCACAAGAATCACAAAACTAACATATGTTACCTTTACTGAGAGATTCAGGAGAAGGTTCCATTGTATCAATAGTGAAAGGAATAAAAGCGAGACGACGGCGAGAAGCAGGGTCACGAATCTCAGAGAGTACTTCAGGGACGGTTACGAATTTATCGGCGAAGTTCGTTAAGCTCTGGCCTCCTTCAATGACGGCGTTAGCATCAACAACCGCCAAAGATATCCCTTTTGTGGATTTGCAATTTCCGACCATCCCAAGAATGGCTGCCGGAGCTCCGTCGTTAACCGGAGGCTTCGAAGGTGGATCTTTCTTCACAATAGAACTCCACATCGATGTTGGATTCGGATCCATGGTTCGTTTTTTCGTTACTTGCCGCTTCAAATGTGGAGGTTTAACGAGAAGAGGACTGAGGAGGGTAGTGAAACGGAGAAGAAGAAGAGAAGAATCAAAAAACCTAGGTCAGAGTAAAGACGTCGCCGTTTTATTCACTTGTTGTAAATGGGCCTTTATATCGTCGTAAAGGCCCAACCAATTGGGTAGAATTTGAAGAATAGTGAATTTGGTGGAGAGACTCTATAAAGAACAGTTGTGTCTTCCACACTACACTACACAACACCAAAAGTTATTTTCGGTGGGGTTTACTGTTTATGCATTGGTAAACGGTAAATCCAGATCTTTGTATTCTTGTTCTTGATTCTTGCTTCGAACTTAGACCAATCTTGCTTTCACATCCCTGTTCTGCTTTCTTTTTCCAAGGTTTCTTTGTCGTTCTTGACTCAGAATCAAAGAGTAGAGTGATCAATTGAACCTAATTGTCCCCTTTCTGATCTACCTATAGATAAATTAAGCACATCTGTAACATTGTTTTTTTCTGCATGTTTATGCTATTGCATAGATGTTCATCTTTTATCGAAATGCTGAAAATTTCCCAACGGAAATTTTAAAATTTTGTCCCTTTTCGTTTCGTATATTGTGTGTGCTTAGTTACTCTCGGATGTTATCTGATCTTGTTATGAGACTTGGACATAACTTGTGTTTGGTTTGTAGGCGGAAGAAAGTATATGAGACTGACTTTATGGGTTCTAGAGATTTCATCAGCAGTTTGCCGGATGAGGTTCTTGGCAAAAATATCCTGTCTTTACTTCCGACAAAACTCGTTGTTTCCACATCTGTTCTGTCCAAGAGGTGGAGGAATATGTTCCTTTTTGTAGACAACTTTGACTTGGAAGACCCAACATCTCTCAGAAACGATGGCTTCTCTGATTTCATGGAGAAAACAGTGGCTGTGCTAAACAATTGTCCCATCAAGAAACTCACTCTGAATTGCCACTATGAACAATCTAGTGTTAACCGTTGGATTTTCCGTGCCCTCGGACGCGGCTGCTTGGAACTAATCTTGCAATGCCGATATGGTCATTCTCTGAATATAAGGATCTTCAGGAGAAACACATTGGTTAAACTCACACTATCTAGTAATCGAACTGTTCTTGAAGAGTATGTTCCACTTCATGAGGGCAGAGTGTTTTTCCCAGCGCTCAAGACACTTTCTCTCGGTGCAGTTGTGGCTGATCGAGCTCTGTATAATTGGTTCATCTCTGGATGTCCTGTGCTCGAGGAGTTATTCATACGTGATGTTGGTGATGGTGATGACCAGCCAACTTGGACGATGTCTGTGTTTAGTGCTTCCCTCAAGCGACTCACGATTTTCTTCGACTTTCCTCATAACATAGAACCTTATAAAGACGATGTTGAGATCCAGACACCTAAACTTGAGTTTCTTGACTACTCTGCCCTTCTCTCCGATGATTTTGAAGTTGATTACCTCGATTCGCTTGCCGAAGCTAGACTGGATCTTCGATTGTGGGAGTTAAATACCACAACTCAGTTGGGTGATGTTGCAAATTTGGTTGCCGCGATAAGAAATGTCAAGACCCTTCACCTCTCTTCCGGTTCTCTTGAGGTCTCTAAGTCTTAAGCTAGTTACCATTGTCTCATTTCTATATCAATCTGCTTTCTGATTGTGATTATAATTTATAAATCAGGCGTTTTACTACTGTTGTGATACCATGCTGGTCTTCGACAGACTCCATCATCTATCTATTGAGAGCGACGAGGAAAACGGTTGGCAGGGATTGCCTCGTCTGCTTTTGAAATCTCCAAATCTACAAACTCTACTTATAAAGGTATATCAAAGCTTTTGGCAAATTGGGGCACACAATATTTTTTTTTGCACATTCAAATAGTTTGCTATGCTTTCAGGGTCTTGTGCACAAAGTTACTAATAGATGTGGAAACGTATGCGCTTGCACTAACAAGCCTAAGAAAAATTTCTCGTACAAACGTTATATAGATAGAAGTCCTTCTGATGAAATGGAGGGAATGTGTTGTTTATCGACATGTCGAGTCAAAGTGCTAGAGATTTTAGGCTATGGAGGAAGTTCTAGAGAGATGAAACAAATGTGGCATTTCTTGGGAAAATTGAAATATCTTGAAACTGTGAAAATTGGTGTTGAAGAAGACACTAACAACATTGGGTTATTGCGCGACAATCTAATGGCTCTTAATAGAGCTTCAGCAAACAAGTGCAACATCCAGTTCATCTGATTTCTCTCTCTGCTCTGGCTGTGATGGTATTTTGGACAAGACTAAAAACAACTTAAATATGGGTTGTTGTTTAATTATATATTTTGCGTAATTTTTTGGTTTAGTGAACTTTGATCCACGATGAATTCAGTTGTAATTGTTTTCATAAGTGTTTAACTGTAATTTGTCATTTGTAGAATCTTCATTGTAACACCCTCTTTTTTGAAAAACCTTCATGAGGTGATGTACCAAATCAACGTTTGATCTCTACCTATCCGGGAAGATGTTGAAAATGGTCAGCTAAGTAAAATTCAGTTTGAGCCACAAATTGTATAAGAAATCGTAGAACAAAGTGTGGTTTTATTACATTATTACATTATTCAATGATCCATTGACCCCTGAAGCCGGCTTGGATAAGTTTTGTTCTTACATCTTAGATTGAATACCTGGTTTAGATACGGCTCCCAGCTCTCTCTGTTTCTGAAATCTATCTTTGGCTCTGAAAAGAACCTCATGGACCTCATCAAAGTGAGGCATTGTCGCCTTTCTCGTATTATCAATCCATTCTTCAACTTTCTTATGAGGGCTGAGCAATCTAAGACGATCTTTGTCATCCAAAACCTACAAAGTTGCATAAATTCTACAATCAAACGTCAAAACAGAGATAAGGAAGCAACTTCATGCTCTACACTGTTTGATATGATTGGTTACACTGGTACTTCAATGAAATACAAACTCAGAAAACATCTAAATCCATTGGGAAAATGTTTTGTTTTATGTTACCTGCAGCTGCATCAGTTCACACACAAGGCTCAGATCAGCTATAGATGGTTGGTTGCCTCCGAGCAAGAACTTGCCATTTCCCTTAAGCCAAAAAGTCTCTAGAGTGGATAGAGACTTCGTTAGTAACTTCTCAGCTTCAGCAGCTTTTTCCGGATTCAGAGGAAGACCGAGAGCTGGAGCTAGTACACTATACAGAACATATCCAGCTGAAACAGTAATCAAAAACATGAAGCTGACCATTCTATTTGAATCTAAAACTTCTCAACATCGATATGAATAAAACCGTGTAGTACCTGCGCCAGGGCGTAAACTGGTGTGATGCCAATCTAAAACTGAGTGAATCTTGGCTCTTTGGGAAAGATCATTTGGGTACCTATAAGTAAAATGATTACACTTTGCAATCCATCAAGAACATGTGTCAAATAAAGTACAAACTTACCAATGATCAACTACACTAGGAAATGCTGAGGAAAGATATATCAAGATAGCGTGACTGCAAATATAACAAACGGTTAAGATTCATAAAACAATGGTTTCTATACAAAGCCAAGCAAGAATCAAAAAATTTATGTAAAAACCTCTCAAAGAGTTTAAGTCTACCATCAACAATAGCTGGAACTTTCCCAATTGGGTTAATATCTGAGAAACAAAGACACACACTTTATGATAAAATCTCACTGTAATGACCAAATAAAGCCAGACACTTTATGATCAAATCTTACTGTAAAGACCAAATAAAGTTTCAACCTTTTTGTTTGATTATGTATACGAACCTTTGAATTCAGAGGTTAGTTGCTGACGCTTCGCCAAAGAAATCAAAGTCTCATCGAACTGGATTCCATTAACCCTTCAAACAAAAAAGCAGTTCATCATGTATCTGAGAACAAAATTAAAAACGCTGAATCGAAAATTAACAAAGGAAGAACAAACGAGATGTACTTGCAGAATATGATGACAGCACGAGATGGCTGTGACATCCGATCGACATACACTTTGAGCTTCATCTTCTTCTGATTTTGTGGATCAGAAAAGTTTCAGAACACTGATGAATTTGGAGAAGAAGATGAGAATTGAGAAGTGTCTCTTTCACCACAATAGAGATTAAAACACCGTGCCGTTGCTACAATAGAAAATAAAACACCATGCCGTTCTTTTCTCTCTCCGTTTTGACTTTTGACCAAAGACTTCTCTAAACCGGCTGGTTAGGCAATTTGCTCCTTCTTTAGTCTCTTTACCATCAAATTAATACAGTAACAAATCATAACCGGTTCTTAACCAGAACAGAGTCATCATATCAAAAGGGATATCATGAGAGCAAAACATTACAAAAAAAATCTTAGACCAATGAATTGATTTTCTCAAGTAAACTATCGAAAGTAATATCAAAAGCATCTCGAAACTTTTCAAACTTAGCATTAGAGTCTCCATAGACCAACCCAGGCAAAAGCTGATGAATAATGTAACTTCTCATTTCCTCTTTTTCTCTTACAGTCTTCGCCATCAACTTCTTTACCACGTTTACTCTCTTTCCCTTGACATCTTCTTGGCTTATGTACACTGAGTATTTCCGATGATTCTCCGGTAAGTGCCACGCGTACTGATAATAAGCTGTGTATGGATTAAAGATCACCGGAATGCAACCGGAGATTAGTGAATCGAAAACGGATTTTCTCGTTGGACTATCTCCCGACGGTTGCAGACAGAACTCTGAGTCTTGGAACAGCTCTATGACATTCTCAGGCTTGTTACAACTTCCGTTAGTACAATTTAAGAATCTGCATTGGTCAGAAAATGTTGTGCATTGTTCGATTAGCGTTGAACGTATGCTGTGAGGGTTACCGGGTCTTGCACCTCCGGCAAAACTTACAACATTCCTGCGAGGTTTGTTCATCATCTTGACCTGCCAGCTAGCGATGTCATAATCCGTTTTAGGGTGGAAATAGGTCGGATGCGGGACTGCGATGTCGTTGACTTCCCAGGGATGTCTTTCGATGAGAAGCTTTGTAGGGTTATTCATTCCTTGTAACTCAAGGAACCTTGAGCCCCAAGGAAGTTTACTTCTTCTAAAATCCCAAGAAATCTTTCCGAGCACAAACACATGATCTTTTCCGGCATTTCTCTTCCAAGATTCCTTCGATTCAAGCCATTTCAGAACCTCGATCCCCAACCGGTCCTTCACAACATTAGAAACATTCTTGAAATGCCATCTCAATACATCAAAACCGCCATAAAAGGGGACATAAAAGATCTTAGCTTGGCTTTCGTTGTAAACCCTACAAGGATGCTTCAAAACCCTAGAGTGGAAGATCGGTTCAAGAGCATACTGATGTGTCCTAAACCAACCTTGACCAAGATTCCCAATTGCTTCTCCAAAACCTTCATTCTTGAAATACTTACACATGTTAGTCCAAGGGACCATATCCACACAATCTACCAGTAAATCTCTGTTGAATTTAGACGGTAAGTCATAAACATAAACTCCTTTCCCTTCACAAGATCCCGGATTTTCGCCTTTTTTCCTGGCCGTCGGCAACCAAGATCTCTGTTCATGAATATACTTAATCACTGCCCTTAGCGCGTAGCCTTCTCCTTCACTCTTAGGTTTGATGTATTGGTATTGTTCTTCTTCCTCAGACTCGTTCTTGGCCTTATGATCAAGAACATGCTTAATATTCACACCAAAACGCTTCTTATCTTCACGGGAAAGAATTGCTCTGACAGATTTATCATTCTTTAGAGAATTTATTTTTCCATATCTACTAGGAACAACACTTGGATCTTTGAGTTCCCTTGAGGAGATGATTAAGGTCGAAGATAGCCAAAGATAAAGAACAAAGAACGGAGCAACCATGAGAATGGATTTGCAGAAAAAGAAGATACGAGGATTATAATCATCTCTTTTACTGGGTGTAGTCGGCTTTCTCTTTGAGACCAAGATAGCCATCTTTGTTTTATCTTCTTCTGTCACAATCTTTGTCATACCTTCTTTCGTGGTTTGGGAATATTTATTTTCTTAAATTTTATGATTTTTTTTTTTCCTTAGGCACCATATACGTACGTATCTCTTAACAAAACAAAAATCTACTTAATTAGTATTTATTTATATTGATATATTATATATACCAAGATATATTTCTTAGTATCCATTTGAATATAAATTAAGATTTTAGATATCAAAATGTTTGAATTATTTTGGAAACAAGTGTGTAGAAATTTAAGGAAATAGATCTTCTTGTATAACTTTTTATTTCGGGTCATGTTTATAAGTTAAAAAGATTATCGATGAACGCCAATATAGAAGATTTGAACAAAATCTATAGATTGGTTTTGTTGATTTTCTCAAGTTAACTATCAAAAGTAATATCAAAATTAAGCGTCTCAAAACTTTTTAAACTTAGCATTAGAGTCTCCATAGACCAAACCAGGCAAAAGCTGATGAATAATGTAACTTCTCATATCCTATTTCTCACTGATCATGTGTGCACTTTTCAATCTTCATCCTTGGACATTGAAAAGGCTAAAAACTTAGGGCCGACGCGAGCCCATTAAGATAAATATAACCCCTATCTCTTAAAAAAAGCCTAAAAAATTAGGTTCGGTTTGGTTCATTAAAGTAAATATAAACTATATTGCTTTAAAAAGTCTTAAAATTAATGGCCCGTGTCCATGAAACGACGTCGTAAGACTGTATTCTCTTTTCCTTCCTCGATCTCTTCTTCTTCTTCTTCAGTCAAAACCCTAACCCTCTTCTTTTTTGTCAATCCATTCCCTAACGCTTTTCTTCTTCAATTACTCTACTTCGATCCCTCCTTTGTCTTCTTCAATTGACTACTGACTAAGGGTTCGGAGAAAAAAGACTCCTTTTCACAAAAAAACAGAGAACACCACCATTAATGGCTTTCTTCACCGATACGAACAAGACAAGACACAACTCAACCATACCCCAGTCTCCTTTCCCAACAAACTCAAGATAAATACCAAGGTGCATACTCTCGTGATGATACGGTTCCTTTTTTTTTTGTAATGAAATTGCAGTTCATATATATGCCTTTGGAGCAGTTCTCTATTCGATTTGCTTTTGGTTAAGTTACATCAAAATGCGTCTGTTGCTTCCATTTGTTAGCTTTAGATGAATTTTCTATTAGTTGTTTTAGATGAATTTGCTGACGTTAGATCCTAATCTTCTCTTTGCAGATTAAAATCCCAAGTCATCACACTGCTCTGCTGTCATACTCTGTTCCCTCAGCCGTATTCTACCGGTAAAAGGATGGGAAAACGAGGAGCTAAGAAGCTTACAAACACTCAAGGAGGACCTAATCTCAAATCTGTACTTAGACATGAGCACTTGAAGAATCTCGCTCTCTGGTCTTCCGCCGGAGATACTCCGATACCATCTCTTGCTTCCTTGTTCGGTCGTTGTCTCGCTGCCGACATTGAAACCACTGGGATCGCTCCTGATCCTGATCTCGTCTCTTGTCAAAGGTACCTCTTCCTCCACCGTCGATTAGGTTGTTTTGCATAGAATCTTGAAAGGCCATTGTTCTGAGTTTTTCGATTCCTTAATGTTTTTACAAAGAGAGGATCTTTATTGCATTTTAATGTCAGGGTTTATCTTATATTGGATTATGTAATGATGATTCAAAAGTTTATCTCTGTAGGTGTGAGACCATTCTTAAGCCTGGCTTCAATTGTAATGTTAGAATCGAGAAAGTTTCCGCTAAGCAGAAGAAACGCACCAGGTGCAAGAAGTCTAACATCTGTTTACCTCAGAACAATGTTGTTTACCATTGCAATTTCTGTTCTCACCGTAACCTTAAGAGAGGTACTGCGAAAGGTCAGATGAAAGAGATTTACCCGTTCAAGCCGAAAGCTCCTCGTCCTACACGTCCTAAGATCAATAAAGAGACGACGACAGTGCCTCAGGAAATCCAAAGTAACATGCTTTCTTCACCTGTGAGAAGTGAGAAAGATCAGGTGGAGGAGGAGAATGGTGTTGCGAATACACCGAAGCCAATGATGCTTACTCTCGATAGGGGTAAGAGGATACGAAAATCAAAGAGTAAGAAACCGGTTGAGCCTGAAAGTGTTGCGGAGAAAACAGTTGGTGGATCAAATAAGAGGAAGAGAAACTCATGGACAAGTGTGAAAGAGATAGCTGAGACAAACAAGAGTTCTAGAACAAATTTCAAGATACCTTTTCTCTTGTGATTTGTTTGTTATATGTATTTGGGAAAGTAGAGTAAATATGGCCCTTTGGGGAAGTTTTCATACATTTTTATACTTTAAAATTTGGAAAAAAGATACCTACCTACATGAAGTATGCTACAATACATGGTCACACATCCGAAGTTTAAAAATGTATCTCTAACTACACAAATTATATGTATTGCATGCCCACATATATGAACTATATGTAGTCATGTCGCCAACATCACGAACATTTTTTCCGGTACACTTTTGGCCAGAATCCGGCATTGACCCGTTTGACCGGCATTGACCAATATAAATATTCAAAAAAAGATTTTTTTAAAGTTTTAATTATTTTAAAACATGTTTTTGAATCATTTATATTACTGTATAATTAAGAAAATATATACAATTTTTAATATAAAAATCTTTTGTATATATATATTTAATGCATTGATTTTTATAATTAGTTAGTTTCGATAATTTCAAAGCTAAACTAAAAAAAACTAATTAGGAATAATAATAATAAACAGAAAATTTTTCTATTTTTAAAAATATTCGGACATGAGTATCATTTGGTTTAATATTTGAATATTTAATATATAATATGTGAATTTTAAATATTAAAGCATTAGAATCAAACCAATTATGTGTGAATTTTATTCTACTAATTATAAAAATCGTTAGATCTTCTATCTTATAAATATTAAAAAGAAACATTGTGATTTTTTATTTATTTTTAAGTGTTATTTTTTATTATTATTTTATCTAATTGGTTTTTTACTTTAGTTTAGTTTTGAAATTATCGAAACTAACTAATTATAAAAAAACAATGCATTGAATATATATATAAAAAAAATTTATATTGAATATTGTATATATATATTTTTTCCGGTGAAAAGTGTACCGGAAAAAATGTTCGTGATGTTGGCGACATGACTACATATAGTTCGTATATGTGGACATGCAATACATATAGTTTGTTTAGTTAGGGATACATTTTTAAATTTCGGATGTGTGGCCATGTATTGTACCATAATTCATGTAGCTGCGTATCTTTTTTCCTTAAAATTTTGTAATGTTTTGATGAGAAGTGAAATAGTTCCCAACCAATCATCCATTGTTGTTAACTATTACATTCTCACAACTGGTCCACAAAACAACCTGCGTCAAGACCGCAAGAGGTTGCAAAAAATTGTTCAAACCATTGAGAAGAAATAGTTAGCTACTTCGATTGTATGGTTCCTTAGCCTTGTAGGCTTGTAGCATCTGAAAACCACTTCGATTGTATGGTTCCTTAGCCTTGTAGGCTTGTAGCATCTGAAAACCTGATGATCCAATAACGAAAATCTGATAGATCCATCCATCATGCATAATCATCACAATTATACAACTAACTTTACAAAATAGGCGTCCATCTACAGTTCTACATTTTTGAGCCATGTGTTCACAGCTAAATGGCTACAATAGAATACAATAATTAACATTCTATTGTCCATCACTTCACTTAGTAAATCGGTCACACTGTCTCTCTAGGCATTAAGATATTATTTACCATGACCAGATTGGTTTCATCTTTCCAAGAATCCTTTGCAAAAAGGAAAACACACCGAAGAAAGTTATCCAAACGATACTCATCCATGCTTCATGATGTAAGCCTTTCCATGTCAATCTGAAGTGTAGAAAGTGAATGGCTTCATCATCTATCGTCTCGCTGAACTAACTGCTTTCGAGACCAAAAAAACAACTACTATTAACTTTAACAAAGATAAAAAAAAAACACAAAGACCAGTTACTCATTGGGAGAATAGAATTATAAGAAGACCAAGTAGTAACAAATATAGTACTATTAACTTAAACAAAAAGCAAAGAAACACAAAGGCCAATTACTCATTTGGAGAATCTAATTATAAGATGACAAGTAGTAACAAATAGTACTATTAATTAACTTAAACAAAAACCAAGAAAACACAAAGACCAATTACTCATTTGGAAAATCTAATTAATAAAAAGACCAAGTAATAACAATAGTACTATTAATTAACTTTTAAAAAAACAAAGATTAACTCATTGGATAAACAACAAATTTATACAAATGAACTTGTTAAATCAACGACCTTCTCTATGTCTATAATCTCTATATAGAAGTCCTCTTCATTTATCTTATCTAGTAATATTATAATGGTTGGTAACTTGGTCTTAAAAGGTCATTTCATACACTTTCACATTGTTATTTTTTTTTTTTTTAATAATGAAAGAGGTTCTGGGTCAAAGCCCATAAATCTCCTCAGGTCCGAAACCAGACCATGTTATATGGTTTCGTCCCAAGCGGTACTCGAACCGGCAACCTCTGAGATTTTGCCAGAGATCTTTACCAATTGAGCTATTAGCACTTGGTTTTTTTGTTTTTTTTTTTTAAGTTTGAGTTGGTATACACTTTCGCATTGTTATCGATTTAACATTCTTTAATTAATTTGTCCCCTTAATTAATCGTCATTCGAATTATTTATTCTCACCCATTTTCGTCTCATTTTGGGAGAATTCGAATAAATAAAAGACCAAGTAGTAACAAATAGTGCCATTAACTTAAAACAAAGAACAAAAAAAATGCAAATTAAGGTCTTTGTTTAAACAATGTGAAAGACTCATTGGATAAAGAATAAACTAAGACAAAATGGACTAGTTAAAATAACGACCTTCTCTAATCTCTATATAGAAGTCTTCTTCTTCTTCCTCTTCATTTATCTCATAACCCCTAAAGAGTTTTAAATCATGGAAACAACAAAGAAACTCCTTGTTCTCTTCTGCCTCTTCTTCATCATTAACCAAGCTATCTCTGAATCCGAGCACATGGAAACTTTCTGCAACAAATCATCCACTAGCAACAACACAGCTTACAACACAAATCTCAACACTCTTCTCTCCACTCTTAGCAATCAATCATCATCCGCTAACTATTACAACCTCACGACCGGTCTAGCTTCAGACAAAGTCCATGGGATGTTCTTGTGCATAGGAGATGTCAACAGAACAACCTGCAACGCTTGTGTCAAGAAGGCAACAATCGAGATTGCCAAAAACTGTACCAACCATCGAGAAGCAATCATTTACTACTTCTCTTGCATGGTTCGATATTCAGATAAGTTCTTCCTCTCCACCTTAGAGACAAAGCCTAATACCTTTTGGTCTTCAACCGATCCAATACCTAAATCATTCGGTAAATTTAGGCAGAGGTTGTCTGACAAAATGGGAGAAGTTATTGTCAGATCATCTTTGCTATCTTCTTCTGTTACTCCATATTATCTTCAGGATACAACTAGGTTCGATGACCATTATGATCTTGAGTCTGTTGTCCAGTGTAGTCCTCATTTGGATCCAAGAAACTGCACCACATGTCTGAAACTTGCGTTCCAAGAACTCACTCACTGCTGTGGTGATCAGCTTTGGGCTTTCATCTTCACTCCCAAATGTTTAGTCAGTTTTGATACCTCAAATTCATCATCAAATATTATTTATTTTCAACGGCCAAAACGCAGTGGTTCCTGCTCGCTTAAAGGTTAGCATCTATACATCTATGAGAGTAATATATGAGATTTATGTTATATAAAAACTTATGTTCCAAAAGGCAATAAAGAACAAAAATAAGTGCAACATTAATTCTCTCTTGCATATTTCTTTTAGTATATCTGTATATGGTCAATGCTGTAACGTTAATTTGGATTTATTTTGTATTTTGTTATACAGGAAATAACAAAATACTAGGGGGAATGGTTCTTTCTGTGGCCGCTTCAGTGTTTTCACTTTTGAGCTTTTGATCAAATTTACATTTACGATATTGAGAAAAAGGTTTGGTTCGAGTTTCGATGGAATTTTGCTAAGAGCAATACTATTGTTTCCGTTAATAAAGCTTCATCATGCTTATGTTTGGTTACACATTATATATTGAGTTGTTATATTACTACAATCTTACGAAAACTGGTTCACAAAACACCCGAGATTGCAAATAATTGCTCAAACCAATGAGAAGAAATCATTTACTACGTACGTACTTGGATCGTATGGTTCCTTTAGTCATCAGATAAATTAAATTCTTCTTCTAAGTCCTTAGAGACACAGTCTTGTAGCATCTGAAAACCTAATGATCCAATAACGAAAACACTTTGGTCCGTTCAGAAAGAGATTTGTCAAAGAAGATTGACAGAGTTTATCGTAATGGGAAAATTTGATGTTTAGTACGTTTTGAAAACATAATATGCTATTTAGTACAAAGACTATTTAAAATTTGAGAAATAGGTGTTTGTGAGATAGAGAATGGTAGAGATAAGTAGGCATGACCAAAAGCTAACCTTAACCGTATTTTTAACCGTAACCGGACCGTTTATCAACCGTAACCAGACCGTAACCGTATAAAACGGTTAAAAATTGTAACCGTTAACCGTAAAAGTAAATTAGTTACGGTTAAAAAATAATAATAACCGTAACCGTTAATTAACCGTAACCATAATTAACCGTAATTAATCGTCGGTTAACCGTACGGTTAAACGCTCGGTTAACCGCATATTTAAATTTTTAAAATAAATTATATTATAACTGTATACAATACCCAGATTTAACTAATTCACTATAAATAATTGAAATCACATATATTTTTTACTTGTAAAATAAATAATATTTCATAAAATTTTATCTCCAATATTAATATTATAATAATCATCAAATAACCGTAACCGTATTTAACCGTAACCGTAATTAACCGTAACTGTATATAACCGTAACCGTCTTAACCGTATATATAATGATTAAGGTTATGGTTAAAAAAATTATAACCGTTAACCGGTGGTTAATTAACCATAACCGCATTAACCGTAACCGTGGTAATGCCTAGAGATAAGAAGGGATGTAGGGTAAGGGAGAGTTTGGAAAAAGACAAAAATGAGCTTATATCAATCGTTGAGACTTGAGAAGTTGAGAATGGGTGTGTGTGTCACTGTGTGGAAATGTTGGGAGAGAGTTTTTTTTTTTAATTATTTTTTTTCTTTTTATTATACCCTCTCATTCTAATAATTAAAATACTTGTCAATACAATTTTTTTTCCTCATATTTTTCACATACAAAAAATCTATATTTTTTTCTCTATAATTTGATATGCATTTTGTTTAATAATTTTAAACTTTGAATAATATTCTATATATACACAATTGTATTTGTACATATATGTTTGTGTACAGCTGTTATACAAACATTTTTCTGTACATATAGTTATATAGTTATATGTACAATCTGATTTATGTATGTACAATTGTATATATATATATACTATTATAGAAATATGAATACAGTTGTTTATTATCTGTACACTACATATGTACACTTAGTAGGTTGTACGGATTACTGTACACTTAGTATGTTGTACGGATTACTTATGTATATTACATTTGTACACTTTGTAAGTTGTACAGATCTAAAAAATTATTAAAATCGTTTTTCATTATCAAATAAAATCATCAAACAAAATGCATATCATACATTATTCTGTACGGTTGTACGCCTCTGTACAAATATTTTAACTGTACAATAGTTTATATTTCTATAATTATATATGTACATATATTTTTTTGTACATATATACATATTTTATTCGTATAACTTATATAATATAAAATAAATATGAGTGTAGAAATTAAAATTGTGTATATGTATATGTATCTGTACACTATAGTAAACGTACAGATCATATTATGTAACTATTGCTATGCAAATAATTAAAAATTTAATTGTATTATAACATTAATGGCATGCTTGTAATTATAACATTTAATTAAGGGTTTGAGAGTCACTTAAATAGTGTCTAATAGTAATCATTGTCTATTTCTCTAATTATAAATAGTCTTTGTACTATTTTGCCAATTACTTTCTCAAAATGTACTAAAACTCAAATTATTCCTATCGTAATTTACGCATCTTGCTCTTCTTTGATCGTTGCTTTCGTTTTCTGACTTCTCTCTTCTCTTTAAGCAATACTTTTAATGTTGGGCCTGTAGATTTGGGCTTGTAGATTTGGGCTTGTAGATTTGGGCTTAGATCTGTTTAAGCAATACTTTCCTAGCCCAAAACTCAAGCTTGTTTCGGTTTACCCAAATTTTTAACTCGTGAAGTAAAACCCTCAATTTTGTTTGTTTGCTGTCTTTCATGCCTTGTGGAAAACCTAAAAATTCAAGTCTTTCTTCATATCTCCGCTTGTAGAGCTAAAGAAACAAGCGATTAAGTAAATCTCAACTTTCTTTTTCACTAAAATCTTTTGTAACAAGGTAGGTCTTGGATGGAGCTGTATATAAGTTTCCCTTTATTAGAGAGTTCATGTTTACTAGGTTAACGTGTTTCTTCGCACTTGGTTGGATCTTACATGAATTGAATAATTAAACATATTGGAACTGTTTGGTAATTGTACGTGCAGAGAAGATAAGATGGATCTCATAAGCGATCTTCCAGACGGTGTTCTTTGTCATATACTGTCCTTCCTTACCACAAAGGAAGCTGCTTTGACTTCAGTTGTCTGCAAGAGTTGGCGCAATCTGTTTGCGTTTTCCCCTACTCTTCACATTGATTACTGTGATTTTGGACAGAGCTTCATGGAATTTGTGGATAGAGTAATGGCATTGCAGGGTGATTCTCCCATTAAGAAAGTCTACCTCGGTGGTAGGGGCTGTATTGATATGGATCGTGTGAATGGTTGGATACAGAACGTGATGGTGCGTGGTGTTTCGGAGATTGTTCTATCAATCGTTGATGTTAGGAGATCAGCAGATTACGACAATCATATGTTTCCGAAAGTTTTCAAGAACAAGAAACTAGTTAAGCTTGGGTTAGGTTATTGGTTTGATATTTGTTTGATGGACGAGAGCATTTTCTTACCGGCGCTCAAAACTCTCGTTCTTGAGTCAGTTAGGGTATCTGCTGATACGTTTGAGATTCTTCTTCATGCTTTGCCTGCGCTTGAGGAATTAGTCTTAAAATATGTTAACTGGAAGGATATGAATGTTACTGTGACTATATCAAGTGCAAGCCTCAAGTCCCTAACGATTGAGTTAAATCTTTATTTAATTACTTTTTCATTTGATACACCTAGTCTTGTTTACTTCTCTCACTTTGATTCTGCCGCGGAAGATTATTCCGTAGCTAAAATGGATAACTTGTTTGAGGCTCGAATCCGCCTTTCGGTAAATGATAAAGATATCGAGCGAGCAAGATTGCCACACAATATTTTGTTCGGTAATGATAATGTTATCATCCGATTTTCAAATGTGGGAAGCCTTATGAATGGCTTTCAACATGTCCGGTGTCTAGTTATGTGTCCTAATACTCTTGAGGTCAGGTTTCTCCTTCTTTGGGCCTCTATTGTAATATTTTTTCTTTTGTTCAGAATCTATGGAGCATGGTAGTCATGTTTGTTCTAAAACTGTGGCTTGTTTTGTTATTAAGGTGATTTCTGTCTGCTGTGAATCATTGCCGATGTTCAAAAACCTCAACTCATTAACTATTAAAAGCCACGATAGTCGAGGTTGGCAAGCAATGCCCGTTCTTCTAAGGAAATGTTCGCATTTAGAAACTCTAGTCCTTGAGGTAATAATTAAACAGCGCATGAATTTGCCAAACATGTACAAAGATAGAGTTCTCATATATATATACTTTGGATCCCTTATTGTCTCCTTTATATGCTTTCAGGGTCTCTTGCACCATGTTACAGATAAATGCGGGGATGCTTGTGACTGCATTTCTCGGGAGGAAAAGGGTCGTTCTCTCACATCTTGTCCAGTAAAAGTGTTAGAGATTAAAAGGTTTAAAGGAACAACCAAAGAGATGCACCTGATAAAACATTTCTTGGACTATTTTCCATGTTTGAAGGAGATGAATATCTATATGGAAGAGAATGATCAAAATTTCTTGGACGATTTTCATGTTTGGAGTTTGGAGAAGATGATCTTTATCGAAGAGGATGATTCTACACATATTAGAGTGCCTGAAGTGTCTCAAGTGTATGAAGTTTCTGAAGTGTCTGAAGTTATTGAGGAGATGATGATGGAACACTATAACAAGACGACATCGTGTTGCTGTTGCAGTGTCCAGCTTCTAGCGAGTGGTAACTTGTGTAAGAAGTGGACTCCATAAATGAAGCCTCTAAAGAACAAAAGTTGCTCATAGCTTTCCATGCAAATTAAAGTCCCTTTGGAATTTGATTCTCGTTTGCTTTTGGTTCATATCACCATTATTCCCAACCAAAAAAGTTATCAAGGAAACTAGTCTTACTCATTCTCATTGGTAGAGTCACTGATCCATTCACGAAAGTAACAAATTTACGATATGTCATTCGAACGAATTCAGAATCGTTTTAGTAAAACACAGTCATTTAGTTGTTTCACGTGGTATCAAGTGACAAATCATCTAAACCGCTGGAATCTATTAGGTTCTTGAGGCTTGCTTCTTGCACTTGATAAACACACGTTATATATATCAACCAAGTCTAATTCTTTAATGCCCGCACAGCCGTGGTCCAGTGGTAGGGAGAATTGGGGAAAGCTTGGAAGGAACTAACCCAGATTCGATCCACCATGGAAACAAAAATCATGGTTGTGTGGGAAGTCTGTCAATTGGGCCAAGGCCCAGTTGGTTTACCTGGTAGTCAGAAATGCAGACGGCCTGATTACCCCTGGCATTAGTCGGAAAGCATTCCAAACTCGGGATATACAGTATGGTGGCCCTTCGGGGAGAAGTCCACTCTGAAGCACTTCGGTGCGTTTCTACCGAAGCTGACCGGATCAGCCGATAGGGTTTATCAAAAAAAAAAAAATTCCTTAATGGCAGGCAAAAGCATGTAGAAGAAAATTCATCAACCTATGAACACTAAACTCTTAAGTGAAGAATGAGAGAGTTTTAAGCAACTATTACAATATATTGACATACGACCAACCAATGAATGGTTAGAAAATGTTCTCATCGATAAAAAAAAATCTACATAATAATAGCAAACTGAATAGATGCTAAAAAAAATATTCATTATTGGTTAATTTTTCGCAATTAAATTTTTACGTTTTTAGCAAATAAATTTTTACGTTTTTAGCAAAAAAATATCCATTATTGCATCTATTTTATCAAATAAAACTATTTTATTCAAATGTTCACTTCTTTCGAAATCCATTATTGCATCTATTTTATCAAATACGTATTTCGGTATTTGTTCTTCTTTTGAGAAACTTTCGAATTTTCTTTTGACACATATTTTTCCATGATATGAAGAATCGAAAGAGTTATTGAAATTTAATTTCATTCATCAGGAACAAAATAAATTTAATTTTATTTGACACATATATTACATTCATTTTCACATTGTTATCGATTTCACATTCTTTAACTAATCTGTCCCCTTTGATTAATCTCCCCACTTGAAATATTTATTCTCACCCATTGTCAACTCATTTTGGGAGAATCGAATTATAAAATGACCAAGTGGTACTATTAACTTAAACAAAGACCAAACTAAGCCAAATGAACTTGTTAAATCGAAGACCTTCTCAGCTGTCTCTAATCTCTAATATTTATATAGAAAGTCTTCTTCTTCTTCTTCAATGATCTCATAACCCCTAAAGGAAAATTAAATCATGGCAACAACAAAGAAAATATCTGCTCTCTTCTGCTTCTCTGCTCTCTTCTGTCTCTTCTTCACCATTAACCATGCTATCTCCGAATCCGACCACATGAAAACTTTCTGCGACGAATCATCCAAAAACACCACTCGCAACAACACAACTTATAACACAAATCTCAACACTCTTCTCTCCACTCTTAGCAACCAATCATCATTCGCTAACTACTACAACCTCACGACCGGTCTAGCTTCAGACACAGTTCATGGAATGTTCTTGTGCACAGGAGATGTCAACAGAACAACCTGCAACGCTTGTGTCAAGAAGGCAACTATCGAGATTGCCAAAAACTGCACTAACCATCGAGAAGCAATCATTTACTACGTAGATTGTATGGTTAGATACTCAGATAAGTTCTTTCTCTCGACCCTGGAGACGCATCCTAGTTATTGGTGGTCGTCTCATGATTTAATACCTAAATCATTTGGTAAATTTGGGCAGAGATTGTCCAACAAAATGGGAGAAGTTATCGTTAGGTCATCTTTGTTGTCTTCGTCGTTTACCCCGTATTATGTAATGGATACAACTAGGTTCGATGACAAGTATGATCTTGAGTCTATTGTTCAGTGTATTCCTTATTTAGATCCAAAAAACTGCACAACATGTCTGAAACTTGCGTTCCAAGAACTCACTGAGTGCTGTGGTGATCAGCTTTGGGCTTTCATCTTCACTCCCAAATGTATGGTGAGTTTTGATACCTACACTTCATCATTGCCGCCGCTCCCACCGCCAAGTCACAGCGGTACCTTCTGGATTAGAGGTTAGCATATAAATATCTATGAAAACTATAGTAATGGGTTATATACTATTATTTCATACTAGAGTAGAGTAGACGATATATACGTTACTACGTACGGTGTCTTTTTCTAGAAAACAAAATACTAGTAGAAGTTATATATATTATATTTATGTTATATATATATATAACTTTTTCATGTAATTTAGAAACGTAAGACAATATAGAAAAAAATAACTACAATATTTAATTATCTCTTGTATGTTTCTATAATTAATTAGCATTATGGTCAATGTTGTAAATGTTTGAATTATTTTGTTTTTGTTTTGCAGGAGATAACAAAATACTTGGGGGAATGGTTCTTGCTGTGGCCTTTTCGGTGTTTGCACTTTTGGGTTTATGATCAGATTTACAATTACTATAGTAAGAAAAAAGGATTGGTTTGAGTTTCGATTTAGAATTTTTTTAAGAGAAATACAAAATATATTGTTTTTGTTATATTAATTATGCTTCATGCTTATGTTTTATTGTCTTTTTTAATGTTGTTATACATTTACTTGTTGTAAGGATTTTCCCTTTTTTTTTTATAATGAATTTTGTGTTATATCGGTCAAATATGCTAATATCATGTTTTGGCTACATTATTTCATTACCATTTAATTGGACTCATTGTTGTCACATTAGAGGTCGAAAGCTAAGGTAGTGTTTGAAATAATTACGTACGTTACATTTTGTTTTAACTAAGGTGATATCATACATTATATTATTTTCACACTACTACTATGGGTTTCACATCTCATAGTTAATTTGTATATACATCCTTAATTAACCCCCACTTAAATTATATATCCTTACCCATTAGTCAACTCTTTTGGGAGAACTCAAGGAAACAAAACAAAGCTATAAGACACATATAGATCTTAATTAGAGAAACACCAAAAAAAGAGAGTATAAAACCTATTAACAAAGACCAGTTAAAGAACTTGCTAAACTAACCTCTCTATTTATGATTGCTAGTCTCATATACCACAAAAGAAATTTAGACATGTAAACATCAATGAAATCTCTCTTCTGCTTATCTTCACATTAATTGATTAATTTTTCACTTTAATTCCCCACTTGAAATATATAATCAAGTCCATTAGTCAACTCTTATTGGGAGAATATAAGTAAAAAACAAAGACCAAACACACAAAACCCTAAACAAAGACAACAAATCTGGAAAGCTAACAAAGACCAGTAAACTTGTTACTTGTTAAATCAACGACCTTCGCCATTCTCTTTTATCTCTTAACCTTTGAAACAAAAACTTAAAAAAAAAAAACTAAAAAAAAACATGGATACACCAAAGAAACTCTGTACGCTCTTCTGCTTCGCTGCTCTCTTCTGTCTCTTCTTCACCATTAACCAGACCATGTCCGAATCCGACCACATGGACACTTTCTGCATCAAATCATCCAGAAACATCACTCACAACAACACAAATCTCAACACCATGCTCTCTACTTTTCGCAACCAATCATCCACCGTTAACTATTACAACCTCACAACTGGTCTAGCTTCAGACACAGTCTATGGAATGTTCTTATGCACAGGAGACGTCAACATAACAACCTGCCACAACTGCGTCAAGGACGCAACAATCGAGATTGCCAAAAACTGTACTAACCATCGAGAAGCAATCATTTACTACATGGATTGTATGGTCCATTCAATCAAAAAGAGATTGTCTAAGACGATGGGAGAAGTCATCGTAAGATCGTCTATGTTGTCTTCAGCTTTCACGCCGTATTATTACATGGATGAGACTCGATTTGATGGCTCCTACGATATTGGCTCTCTTGTTTAGTGTAGTCTACATTTGGATTCTCAAAAGTGTACCAAGATTTGAATGTGAGTTTTACCTTCCTTAGTTCACCAATACCGTCTTCGGTCATCATCTGTTGAAACAAACATAAGAATAAAATGAAAAGAAGTTGATAATAATGCATATATAAGACTAGAATAACGAAAGTTGCGTTACCAAACTAAGACTTACTTTTCAACACCTCCACGAGATTTAGTTCTAGGTACATAAGATAGATGTCTCTTAATTGATCCTCTTCTGTTGCAGCTTCACGGTCATCCTTTATGACACACACAAAAGCAACATAAACATTGAAAGTTGAAAATAAAACGGAACAAGACAATATGACTGATAAAAATGTTTACCGTAGACATTATGCATTTGAGGTGAAAGAAGTCACGACAGTGTTTGCACGAGTAGTAAACATTGGAGCATTTGCTTGTGAAGTGACACTCACAACTGCTGAGATTCAATAATACTATTATCATAATGTGCAGAAATATCATATACGTTCAGCATACATATCTACAGGAGATGCCGAGATGCATCTATTTTATAGCATGAAAGAATTTATTATACTTAGAAACAGCAAAACAATCACCAAAGATAAAGCATAATGCAAATCGAATACTTACAAGATTCTAGGAAACTACAGTCATAATCTACAATCAAACGGTATATTTCTTAAGAAGACTTCTTAGTAATTATATTGGACTCATTTTGGGGTGAGAAATGAGAATCATCTTCTTGGAGAGAAACTTTGGGAAGAGAACAACGAGAGATTAAAATATTTCAAGTCATATCTACATCCTCCATGCATACTCATAATCAATCATAGACATTAGTACATATATAGTACCCTGGCCTTAATTTAAGATGGACATACGTTCAAATTGAATCAGTTTACCATGCTAAGTTGCTAACTATTCCAAGACGTAAGATACAAAAGTCGATTATGAATAATGAACGAAAAATTACCAGACTACCAACTAAAATGCAAGAAATGTGTACATGGAAAATACAGACTTTAAAAACTAACACAAGGCTAAAACTAAATACAGAAAATACTGTTTTTCAACAAAACTAACATTGAAATTCAAATTGTCCACTTCACACAAACAAACAACAATACAAATTATTGAATGAATAGTAAAGACTCAAACCAAGGTTACAATTTATAGAATCTACCACAGTTATCATTAGTTGACATTGCATATATAATTCCAAAATGTGGTTTCACATGCTTAGAACTAACACCAAGGGTTTAGAGCATAACACAGCATAACACAAAACAAATGAATTCGAGATTCAATAATACCATTACCATAATGTGCAGTAGCACATACATCTAAAAATATGTGTCTACATGAAACCTCAAAGATGCATCTATTTCAGAAAATAATTATATTTATCATTACATTCAAACAGAGACAATAAGTATTTTAAACACACAATGTAATGTTTCATAGTCAAAGTAAGTATTTTGAACACACAATGTAATGTTTCATAGTCAAAGAAAAATCTACCTTTTCTCAATGCATGATACAAAATTCTACGATGATATTCACATGTTTAAAACAATCAGCAGAAGTTTAGAGCCTAACACAGAACAAATACTTTCAAGATTTAAGGAAACAACAATCATAATCTATAGAAGTAACAAATATGTCAAAATAAATATCTATAAGAGACTCTAAGATGCATACATCATATAGGATAAAAGACCTTATGATACACAAGCATTCAAACTTAGAGAATAAAATAATCAAAACACACAATATGCTCATGTAGAAACGCAAACACTTTTTATGATCTTGAAACTGAATATACCTAGTCTCTCGAATTGGAATCTGTCCCAGAACACATCACATCATCTTTAAGGGTTGATACAGCTAAAGCACCATAAACTACCACTTTGGAGTTCGAGTTAATGTCACTATGACAGTGAGTCAATAATCATTTAGTTCAGCAGGGTGCCAGGGTTCAGTTATTATTAGATGGAATTTAGCTATATGGAACAATCTTTGTAACTACAACAAAATCTAGAAAACAATATGCATACCTCGTCCTCAGCGCATACTACACTTAACTGGAAAGCGTATCTGAAAGTAGAAAGCACAATGAATCATATTAAAAGAAAGTAATAATGATGAATAGTGTTCCTTTCTATACCTTAGAAAAACAGAATAACAGCCCAATAAAACAGACAAATGTTCTATCGTTTGTACAAAACTAGTCTACTTTGATTCCAAATTGGTGATGAGCACCTTAAGGGGATTAGACACCATCATGGTGTGAGGATTAGACACCATCATGGTGTGAGGATTAGACACCATCATGGTGTGAGTAGCTATTTTATTCAACTGCTATCTAATATGATGCTCAAGACGACTCACATGTATCATACTACCATCTCTTCAACATACAACAATAGAGAGCAAATATAATGAAGATAATTGACATATAACCAAACAAAGTATTATTCACAGTTAAAGTCACACCTCTTCCCATTCAAAGTCAATCAGCAAAAGAAAAGAAAAATGATACCACAACCAACATGAATTATTGCATAAAATGCTCGAAGTTGTCACATGCTAGTTGAGTATTTTACCTTACACGCGTAGAGTGTTAGTAGTATAAAGCACGCCAGGTTTCAAGAGCACATAGCTACAATTACGCAAATAAAAGAAAGATCAAAACCACAAAGATAGTTTTATTAGATACAGAAGGGATATTCTAATACTGAAAGTAAAATAGCGGGTCAAAAGCCAAAAGGACATACCGCATGCACTTACAAAAGGACATACCGCATGCACCAGTCACCAGCCTTAGGATGAGGGTTGAACTACAAAGCATATATATAAAAGATTCAGACACCAAAAGATAAGAGAGTCTATTTCTTATATGTAACCAGAGATGATTTTATCACTTGCCTCTCTGTTCAATAGCCAATAAGGTCATACATGTTAAAATTGTCACTCTGCATACCTTTCTTTATCCTTGCCTTTCCCTCCTATCTTTCCTTATCTCATTTCTTCAATAGGCAAGTCCCTCCAGGGCTGTTCATTTTCTTCTCTCTGTACTCTCTTATATCCTCGGCATCTGAAAGCATAAATAAGTTTCATGTGTGGAGTTAGTTGCACTAGTATAGCTAAAGAATGATAATTAACTGGAAAAAGAAACAAGAATCTATTTCTATCAGAAAGATTAAATTGATTTAACTTGAGATCAACATAAGCATGACCTCTCAGAATCAATTCCACTGACAAATTATACAATTCTTGGAAATGATATCTGGTGTATCTAGAAAAAAAATGACAATGGTAAAAGTCAGATGAATTCAAAAACACACTAGTTATAACATTGCAGTTACCAATGATTAATACACTCTTCCTTCTCTGCCTCACAGAAGTAATATCAACATTTTTTCTTATCAATGATACAATAAGTTTCTAGAATTTGACAGGATAGTTATGCTATTAAGACAACTAAGATAATAAGTTTTGCTACACTTACAAAATCTCCATGGCATCAATGAGAATATCAACATCTATCAAAGCACTTACCTGGAGCAAATCAAAATTAGTCAATACTATGGATTTCTCGAGAACAGACTTATAAGTGAGGAATAAAAATCCATCCATTAGAAACAGTATCTTCTCCATAATAAAAATTACATATATTGCTCACTTTGAATTGAGAACAGCCTAACATACCTTATCAACATAAAAGCAGATCTTTGTCAAGTGATGGCTCTGCCAAGTCAACTGAGTAAATACAAGAGAAAGATATGTAAGTCGATGCAAACACATCAATGTAAACGCAAGAAAGAAGCTGGTAACTTAACTTCAGAAAATACAACCCAGGAACTTCGAAGACAAAAGCTTTCCTAGAATCCTCGACAGTCAACCTCGCAAAAGTAGCCAACATATTCGCCTGATAAGAAGAAACAAAAGCCAGATAAAAAAGAGCTGACAAATCCATGAGACAGACTATCAACATCTTACCTGAGCATGTATGTGTCTCTCACTTGTGATTTTTCATAGTTATATCAACTAATTACGAACAAGTTTGTAAAGCACACACACAAAAAAACGTAAAGGTTTGAAAAGCATATACCTTTCAAGAAGTCTGCTACACTTGAAATCTACTCAAAGTCACATACCTGCAAAAATCAGAATCTGTTAGTTTTCATTTTACATGAATGTTATACTTACCTTGTTCGTGCATATTCTTTGTCTTACAACTTTACAATGTCGATGAGCTAAATATCTTTGATTTGCTAGTTGTTTTTACCATCCAACAAGGCAACAAGTCTAAACAGCCTGCTGTTGGTGTATTAGCTCTGCTGTCTTGTCTTAATATTGGGCTAGACATCATTGAGCAGTTGGTCTATTAGCTCTAAGTTCATTGTCTTGTTCTTTCATGTCTTTTGTCTAAAATCTCTTTCCCATTCTTTTTTCTTTTTACTCCCAAAGCCTTTCATGCTTATGTCTTAAATCTCATTCCCATTCTTTTCTCTTTTGACTCCCAAAGCCGAAGGTACCAAATTTGTAGCTCTACTTTCTTGTCTTAATACTTGGCTAGACTTCATTGAGCCGTTGGTCTATTAGCTCTAAGTTCACTGTCTTGTTCTTTCATGTCTTTTGTCTCAAATCTCTTTCCCATTCTTTTTTCTTTTCACTCCCAAAGCCTTTCATGTCTTATGTCTTAAATCTCATTCCCATTCTTTTGTCTTTTGACTCCCAAAGCCGAGGGTACCAAATTTGTAGCTCTACTTTCTTGTCTTAATACTTGGCTAGACTTCATTGAGCCGTTGGTCTATTAGCTCTAAGTTCACTGTCTTGTTCTGTCATGTCTATTGGTTCTTTCATGTTTTTCGTCTTAATCTCTTTCCCATTCTTTTTTCTTTTCACTCCCAAAGACTGTCTTGTTCTTTCATGTCTATTGGTTCTTTCATGTCTTTCGTCTTAAATCTCTTTCCCATTATATTGGATCTTTCATGTCTATTGGTTCTTTCATGTCTTTCATGTCTATTGGTTCTTTCATGTCTTTCGTCTTTCGTCTTAAATCTCTTTCCCATTCTTTTTTCTTTTTACTCCCAAAGCCTTTCATGTCTTATGTCTCAAGTCTGATTCCAATTCTTTAGTCTTTTGACTCCCAAAGCCAAGGGTACCAAATTTGTAGCTCTACTTTCTTGTCTTAATACTTGGCTAGACTTTATGAGCCGTTGGTCTATTAGCTTTAAGTTCACTGTCTTGTTCATTCATGTCTTATGTCTTAAACCTCTCTTTCCCATTCTTTTTCTTTTGACTCCCAAAGCCGAGGGTGCCAAATTTGTAGCTCTACTTTCTTGTCTTAATACTTGGCTAGACTTCATTGAGCCTTTGGTCTACTAGACCTAAGTTTAGTGTCTTGTTCTTTCATGTCTATTGGTTCTTTCATGTCTTATGTCTTAAACCTCTCATTCCCATTCTTTTGTCTTTTGACATCTAAAGCCGAGGGTACCAAACTTGAGAACTCTTTGGTTCTTTCATGTCTATTGGTTTTTTAATGTCTTATATGTCTTAATCTCTTTTCCATTCTTTTGTCTATTGACTTTCAAAGCCGAGGGTACCAAACTTTCCTGTCTCATATATTAAGCCTCTCATTCCCATTCTTTTGTCTTTTGACTTCCATAACTTCCATGCCTTTTGTTCTTTCATGTCTTTTGGTTCTTTTTTTGTCTTATGTCTTAATCTCTTTCCAACAAATCGACACCTCTTTTCCAACTCGCAACATGCATGCACTACCAAGCCCATAACTTTCATGCCTTTTGTTTTTTCATGTCTTTTGGTTCTTTATTGTCTTATGTCTTAATCTCTTTCCAACAAATCGAAACCTCTTTTCCAACTCGCAACATGCATGCACTACCAAGCCCATAACTTCCATTCCTTTTGTTCTTTCATGTCTTTTGGTTCTTTATTGTCTTATGTCTTAATCTCTTTCCAACTCGCAACATGCATGCACTACCAAGCCCATAACTTCCATTCCTTTTGTTCTTTCATGTCTTTTGGTTCTTTATTGTCTTATGTCTTAATCTCTTTTCCAACTCGCAACATGCATGCACTACCAAGCCCATAACTTCCATGCCTTTTGTTCTTTCATGTCTTTTGGTTCTTTTTTGTCTTATGTCTTAATCTCTTTCCAACAAACTGAAACCTCTTTTCTAACTCGCAACAACCATGCACTACCAAGCCCATATTATCTCTTGGGACAAATCGAAACCTCTATTCCAACTCGCAACAAGCATGCACTACCAAGCCCACAGTTCACAATTTCCCTTCGGACAATGTCCCCAAAATAGAATCTGACAGAACACTATTACATAAGTGTCTGCCTTTGATCTTTTTTGGGTTTTGAAAGAAAACAAAAACGAAAACATAAAAAAAACTAAAAGCTCCAACATAAGAATCCGTAGACCAAGTAACCAAAAACCAAAAACGGATCTGGATTCTTATTAAAGTGAATAATCACTTTTAGTTGTTGGATCAAGAAAACAAAAACGAAAACCTAAAAAAAAAAAACCTAAAAGCTCCAACATAAGAATCCGTAGACCAAGTAACCAAAAACCAAAAACGGATCTGGATTCTTATTAAAGTGAATAATCACTTTTTGATGTTGGATCAAGAAAACAAAAAAAAAACGAAAAAACAAAAAACAAAAAACGAAAAACAAAAACATAAAAATCTGATCATAAATGGACTGATCAAGGCAGAGAACACACAAAATACAAAACCAAAACATCATAAAGAAAAAGAAAAACGTGTAAAAGGCAGAAAAATACCTCTTCGAAGCTGAGACAATGTTCATGGGTTAGACTGAAACATAATCTCCCTGTAAACATAGTTAAAGTACAGAACAATAAGTATTGGGACAACGATCAGAGGAAGAAACACGAACAGGATCAGATGAAGAAAACTAACAATTGGATCAAGAACACACAAAAACAAGAATCTTAATTCCAAAATCACAATATACAGAAGTCAAATACTTAAAATAAGATCATTAATGGACTAATCAATTGTAAGGCAGAGAACACACAAAATACAAAACCAAAGCACATTGAAAAAAAAAACGGATAAGGCAGAGACATACCTCATCGCCAAGCTTCATGGGTTAGACTCGATTCCTTTAACAAAGTTTAATTACAGAACAATAAGTATCAGACAAGAATTAAAAACCCAGTCTTACGTTTGCACATCAAAGTGAAATAGAGAACTTCGGATCAGATGAAGAAACACGAAGAGGATAAAGATGAAGAAAACTAACCAATCAACACCGAAGGAGGAAGAAGAAGAAACCACGCCGTCGAATGTACCTCAAAAACCCTAGATCTGTACCATAACAAGAACGATTAGTCAATTTTTTAAAACCCTAGAATAAAAATAGAAAACACGAAGAGGATCCGAGGAAGAAACCTAACCATATCACCGCGAGGAAGAAGAACCCCAAAAGATTGTAACAGTTTCGTGCCTGAATCAACCCAAAATCAAAACCCTAGATCATCAATACAAACATATATAAGAACGAATTCACAAAAACTTGTATAATCGCGATACGAAGAAGTTGAAATTACATACCAGTCTTAAGATTGTTTAACATGAATCTCCTCAACCATCGTCGAAGCATTCTTCATTCGAAACACCACAAGAGAGAGAGAGAGAGAGAGAGGAGAAACAAAAGAAAAGGAAAATTTTGTTTCGTAACCAAAAAAAAAAAGTGATATTGCTTTCTAATATATAACGTTGCGTTTTGATATAACGCGTTTCAATAATGGCTATAATTAAACATATATTGGCCGTTGATTCATCGCGTTTCATTAACGGCTATAATTAAACATGGATTGACCGTTGATTCATTAGATACTTCAATCAGACGGTTCAGCATATTTTCGATGATTAACTTTTCTTTTCTTTTTTGAATTGGCAATATAATCAAACGCAGAAACAAAATAAAGTAACGTTTTCTCCTAAACGGTCATATTGTATATCTTGACGGTTTAGATGGGTTTCTTAATGGGCTTCTATTAATTTAAAATTCAAAGTTGAAAAAATCGTATGGCTCGTTCGCTGAAGAGAACACTTTAGGAAGAATTCAAAATTTTGACTCCGTTCCTCTCATTCTTTTTTTCATATATAAATTATGTGTTTGAATGTACTATCTATGTTCCATTAAAATTGTGATGAAAATAAACTTATCACATATAATAATACAAGCAAATTTTCAGCTCAAGGTTGCAGACGTGGTTGTAAAAAAGATGAATAAATTTAACATTCATTCCAAAAAAAAAACTTCTAAGGGATGTAGTCTAGCCAATCAGACTTTAAATGGTAACATTACAGAGGCAATGGCCCTGTTCTTTTGTGTAAATAACATTTTTTGATGCTAACATTAACATATGTTACACATATTTATGCCACGTTGAAGGTTGTTGCTGTTAGAATCTGCTTGTAAGAACACCAAAGGCATCATATAGCATAAGCATTTTCCATTCATAAATTGATCAAACAATGATTTACTCACTTTCGATTTTCGAATAAAAAACAGAACAAGTTTATGTGATAAAAAGATTTTGTTAAACTTACAATGCGTAATGTCATTGAAAAAATATTGTTCATTTCTTTCTGTTAAGAGGTTTTGCTGACGATGAGCCGGTGATCGGTCTTTTAGAACCTGAGATCAAAAGAGAAACGCCTTATACGATCATGTAAGCATCAAGCTTCTAGTATTAAACAAAATTTGATATAGTCTTTGATTAATTTACAAAATAGATCTAAGAGGTCTTAAGGAAAAATGTATTCAAAGAGTTGATAGCTAGTTAGAGTACTTGTTAAAGCCTTAGACGAGGTGTTGGAAATCGACAAACGAGAAGGTCTGGTTTGGTCTGGTTTTGGTGTATGCTTCAGCGGCTTTGATGATCCAACATTAGCTGATCTGAAATTAGTATACAAACAATGAACACTAAGCACAATACTTAACTCTTATTTAAAAATAGGTACAAAAGTGAAGTAATTATGAAATATATGAACTATACTCACTTGTCATTATGTTCAATTTGTTCAGAAATTTTAGTAGGACTTGAGGTTTCAGGGAAGAGAGCCAACTCCATCGCACCACTACCAATCGAGCCATCAGTTTCTGTTCCCATTGAAAGACAACTATCAGAGATATCACTCAATCTTTCCTCATTATCTGAATCTTCAATGCCTAATAGTTCAATATCCTCAATTATATTACTGTCTTTAGCCCCACCAGATAACTTAGACGGTGATCGGGGTTCATTCTGATGTCGTCGTTCATCTGCTGAATCTGAAGTTGTTCTGCCAAGTAAACCAGATCCTTGTCTTTTTCTTGGAGAATTTGTTAAATCTCCTCCTAAAGAATGTCTTCTAGGAGGAGAGCCAATTCTTAGTTTGCTTAATCCACGTTTTGGCATTCCCATACTTTGAAACTTCAAAAGTTCTTCGTCTTTCTTGGCTATCATATCTTTCAAGTTTGATACCTACATGCCATGTCAAGATTCAAAGATTATCAAAACTAAACTATATCTCCTTTTGAGGGTATGGATTTAGTTTTAATCAAAACATAAATAATGTAATCACCTGTTCCATGAGTTGTCTAACATCTCGTCCCTCCTTATAGCTTCTAGCTGCACCTAACTCGACACCAGAGACTCTTTCCGCGAATTTCAAAGTACTTACAGTCTCAGCATATGAATCTTCATCAGGATTGATCTGCACAAACATAAGAGTTTTTGCTTGTCCTCCTAAAATAAAAATAAACAAAGAAGTAAATTAAATGAAGCAAGCAAACAACATTGTCTAATAATATAACTTATGAAAAGCCAAAGCACACATAAACATAGTACCTAAAGAATTCTGGAGGACTTGTGTTAGCTTGCTGTTTCTATAAGGTACATGAGGATTCTTATGTGCTAGAGCGAATATAACATCTCCAAGAGCAGACAGTGATTTGTTTATATGTAGAGCTTCTTTAAGTCTATCTCCGGTTACTTCAGAGCGACCAACTCTCTCACTTCCAGCAAGATCAACCAAATGTAAACTTCCACGAAAGACGGATTCGGTTTTGACATCAACACCGCGTACATGAACAGAGACAACACTGCCAAAAAAAAATAGGACAAAAGAAATGTCATAGCTTATTGTAGAAGAAACATGTTAAACCACAATTTTTTTTGTTCATACCTGTGTGATCTACTGCTCTTTTCATTAAGGGTTGTGGAACTAACAGCTCTATTCATCAACCCAACATTCATCAGTTCAAGAACATCTTCAGTTGAATTTACAGAATGCATGCTTGCATCAGGAACTGCTAGGCCATTTGGTAAAGTAGTATTCCAAATCTCAAGTGTATGCAAGTTAAGGAAATTTCTACACTTGTAACATAGAAAGATATGATATCGCGAAAATATCAAATACTATATGAGACTAGAGAAGGATATCTTTTGTTTGGACCATCTTGAGAAAGCAAGTCACGAACTTGCTCATTGTAAATCTCAACCATTTGAACACCAACTTCATATTCCACTGAGTTTTGTCTACTTTGAGTTAAGTGGAACAAGTCATTCAAAGCTCGGTAGTTAACTCCCCAATCTTCTTCTGAAGTTATGCTTGGTCCACTCTGTTTGAACAAAATCAAAATACTGACATCAAATATTAGTAATCCACATCTAAAATAAGATGTGAACTAAAGAGTATATAAGAGATATGAGTCAATTTATTAATTGGAAACTCATCAAAGTTAAGATACAATTACAAACATAAAGATATAAAGCACGAAAGTCTAAGCATGTTTGCTTACCATTGTATAAGTCTTTCCAGAACCTGTCTGACCATAAGCAAATATACACACATTGTAGCCATCAAGAATGGATCGGATCAAAGGTCGAGTATCTAAGAAAACTTCTTCTGCATGTAGATAATATATACAGATTCAGAGACAATTAATTAGTCCTAATTAAACTAAATATTTTTCATAATTGAAAAAATGGAAGAGGCTTAAAACCTTGAGTTGATGCAGGGCCAAAGACTTTGTTGAATTTAAACAACCGATGTGTATCTTTGCCTTGCTTTAAGGGACTTGCAACTACAAGTTCACCATTCTCACCTGTGTACTGTATTGACGTTTGTTTCTTGTTTTGCCCTTGTAGGAATGGTCTTATCCGACAATACACTCTGATATTTCCTTTATTCATGCAAGTAACACAAAAGTTTTAGATAATAGCAACAATCATACAAACAAATTATACTATAGCTAGTGTAACAACATTTTATTTCTAGTTTTGATTCTTTATCTCCAAAACATGATTTCACAATTCATACCTTTTAATTCTTGTACTTCATTGTAAAGTCTTCTATTCTCTTCAACGACTAACTGGTAATTTTTTGCTGCATGAGCCACTCCTCTGAGCTTTACACCTAAGAGGTCAATTCCAAGTACAAATCAAAAACATGAAAGCCAAATTTTAGTTGACAAATATATAACAAAGCACTAAAGCAAAAATGAAGAAAAAAAATGTTACCATAGTAATTTAGATCCTGGAAGTAGTTCTCTCCTGTCTTTAGAACTTCACGTTTTAAAGACATAGAAGTAGCTTTCAACTCCTACAGAGTTCACTCAATGATATAGTTATAAGATTTACAAGAGCTTATATCATGTTTACAAAACTATCAATATAGTCAATTCACCTGCAAAGCCTCTGTCTGGTAGTTTATAAAGCTCTTGTATGTTTCCTCTTTCTTCTCCCATCTTTTAGTTTCTGTTTCACATAACTTCTCAAGTTCTTTTGCTTCTACTACACGTAACTCTGAATCCTTCAATTGTTTCTCCAACTCAACTCTAGCTTTTTGAGCATTTAGTTTTAGTTCCAAAAACTGTTTTTCTTGTGTCTCTATCACATTTTCAAGTTCTCGCTTCAAGTTAGAAACTTCAGCGTCACTACGTTGTTTTTGCTTTTTCAGCTGCATGACATCTTGATCCTCTGACATTAGCTAAAGAGCACAAAATAGTAAAAAACTTTGAATTTTTTTACAAAAATGGCAGCAAAAATAAAAAGATATTTACAACTAGGGGACATGCATGAAATTGATAATAAGTACCTCATTCTTATCTGATGTACCAGATGCCAAAGTTTCTAATACATTTATTCTTGATCTATATTTTTCCTCACGGACCCTAAAGAGTATATTTTGCTGCACCACCAAAAAAACATCAATTGTGTCAAGAAGTATGATAATGTATAAACTGAAAACAAAAATAAGAAAAGCCTGAATATATTAATCGTACGTTCTTTAAATTTTCAGCTTGATTTGAGATCCGTTGCTCCACAACTTGCACAATGCCTCTCAAAATAGATGCAAAAGCCTGAGAAATAAAGACTGAGAAAAAAGAAAAAAAAAATCTTGAACTAACATTGCAAAATCCTTTCCTTACATGAGTTACATTCATCTTCTGTGGGCTCTCATCAAGAAGCTTATCGAGCATATCGAACAACGACCTGGTAGAAGTATTCTACAAAGCAAAAGGAAAACATATTACGAATTTAAGGAAATGGAAACTTGAATCATCAAAGTTGAAACAAATATTGATGACTAAAATTGATGTTATAAAATTTTACTTGTAAACTATTTGATTTTAGTAAGTCTGAAATTTGAGCATGAGATTTATTGATCTGATCAGATGCTTCCTTAAACTGTGATGCATCATTAAAGTTAGTATCAACTCCCTTTGAATGATCCTCAGGCAAACTCCATCTTCTTCTTGCAAAAAGTGTATTCTTATCATCAGAGAAGCTTGCTTTAAGCGCCTTAAGAGACTGTAAAACTGGTATCATATCGCCCTGCACATCGATATCCGAATTTCTAATTAAAAGAAGAAACAAAATACACAAACTTACCAAAAATATAGAAAATACACAAACTTACAACCTGTTCTAAGTCTGAAACCTCAAATCTTGGCAGTGCCATTTCATCCATAGCTGCCAAAAACCTCTCAATATTTACACAACCAGGCTCAAAGCTACCTCCCTAGAGGATCATTCCAAAGAGAGTAAAAACAAAATCACAGAAACTAGAAGATTGACATATAGGAAACAAAGGAAAAAATTATGTATACAAGTTACTCAAGATCAAGTACCATTCGCATTGAACCGGGACTAAGCTGGTTTAAGAGATTGCACAAGACAGTACCATCCATCAAACATGCTCTCAATTCTTCTTCTGAAGCCTCCCATGGTAAATTCAAATAAGGAAGTGTCTCATTTAACCACTCTACTAAACTCTGATGACCTAGAAACCAAATTAAAAAAAGTAATGGATAAGAACAAAGATTTCAAAAATATCATCGTCATATGCAAAAGAGAAAATTAAAACTCAAAGAAAACAGTTTAAGAACATTTGCCTTGCTTAGTTTGATCTGTACTTTGACGACTAATGTCTGATCCATTAAATGAAAGAATGCTGCTTGATCCATCTGATCGTCGATAAACACCAATCATACTGGATCCATCTTCGCTTCGATTTTTCATCTCTGGACATGTAAAAGCAAGTGCATCACTTCATGAGCTTTACCAACTTTCCTAAGATAAATTTTTAAAATGTTGTTGTTACATGATTGGGTAACCACACCAAATTGAATGTTATAATCTAACTATTTCGATTCAAACGCCAAATTTATAAACCTTATAGGCGAAAAACCCAAACGCTAGATATATGATGTTTCCTATACGTTTTATAAATATAGGGTTTTAGATTGTTTGTTTTTTACTCATCCTAAAAGCATTCAAATGATCAAAAGTTTTTTACAACTAAACTATTTTATATAGGTTTGAATTGAAAATATAGATTGCCTAGAAATCTGCAAACATCAATTTATAAAAGAAACCAAGGCCTAAAACAGAGGCAATAATGTTTTGAAAGAATTCTAATTTACATGCAAAAATTCAGTTTAAAATGCTGAACAAATCAACCCAAAAAAAATCAGCTCAAATTCACAAATATGATACCAAAATTTCGTTGAGACGCGATGGCAAACGTCGAGGGAGACTTCTAGAAAGGCCAACGATATTGTTGAATGGTCTTCAAGAAATTCAACAGAGGAATTCATACGGTTGATCTTTTGCCAGAAAATAATTCATCAACATTTCCAGTTTTTGTTTCTTATTAATTTTTTTTTTGGGTTCTTGAGAAATTGGAATTGAAAAAGGCTAATTACGGGGAACGCTTTAAGATCATTTTTTACATATTTAGAAGAAGAAGAAAAAAACACACAATAATTTACTGGAAACTAAAAATAAATGGAAATTATACTAATATTTTACGTTTGAGTTTGCTTTAAGCAAATATGTTTCAGGTTGGCCCGACAGTAGTTCTACAAAGACATTCCTGCTTTGTGTTTGTTTGTGTCTTTGTGGTATTTTGATCTGTGTTTTGCCCTTTTAAAATAAAAATTAAAATTCCGAAAAAGCATGAGAAGAAAAAGAGAGAAATATACATATCAGGTAGAGTAATGAGCCCAAATATCACTACAAAATTTACACGTTTACGGGCTAAAGGCCCATGTGCCAAAAAATTTATTTTTGACAAACTACTAGTTCATGTCTTCCAAGAGTTCATGTCTTCCAAGAGTTCATTACAAACATGAGAGATTTTTTCTTAAATTTGAGAGTTCAGAGTTTCGATTCGTAGTTCATAATGATGTTGTTCCACAAAGGGAGAAAAAAAAAAACCAAAATGATTTATACTAGTTCATAATTTTGTGGACCGGCAGCTATATATATACCGGGATTAACTTGTTGTAATACTTGAAAATATGTAAACCATCATATTCAATAGAATTTTTCTCTCAACCAAACGACATATCTGCACTTTATAGTTATAGTTATACACAACAAAAATGAACATTTGTTATAGCCTATGACACTGTTCAAAGGTACCCATAGTCATTGATTCTAGTGGTTGAGCCTATGTAAACCCAATAATGAAAGGCAAAAAGTCTTAAAAAACACAGTGACGAAAACAATTACATTTAATTTATTTACTCTTTTTCTAATTTTTGGCTTGAGGACACTTACATATGTATTTCCAACATTTATTTTTATTGGTTTAGAAAAAAGATAATAGTATGTTCTAAGTGACATTTAATTTGTGTATGAATAAACAAATCATTAACTGTAGTTTGTAAGTTCAAAAAAAATGAAATTTTACCAAGAGAACTGCAAGTATTTTTCATTGTAATTCACAAACAACAGCTTTGTTTATTCCTTAGAAGTTTAGACTGTAAATAACAAAAGAATATTTTCTTAATTATTCCTGAGTTAGACTGTATAAAACACTGCTAATTGATTATTCCGTTCAGAAACTGTTAGTATAAACACTGATTTCATTTAATAGTTTGATGTAAGTATATATTCAGAGAGATATACTACTATTGTTATTTGTTTTTCTCAGTGAATCAAATCAATCCGTTAGTATTTATTTATGAATTCTTAAAACAATTGATTTGGTGTGTATATATATATATTTGTTGATTTTTGTAAGTCGTGGCGCCACGCAGATCATCCATAGATCGTGGAAAGAAGTGGTGGAGTAAAATAGCTCTATTTTATCAAAATATCAAATATTAAATGTTGAAAAAAGTGAGAGAATGTGCTTTCGCATTAACTACACGATAATAATAATACTAATTTTTTTATACTACTGTGTATTATAAGAAGACATAATTCAGAATTCTTTTATTACCAATCACGTGGCTGTCAAAACCGAAACATAAAAAAAAAACAAAACAAAAAGTTTGTCTTAAACTTCCTCTAAATTCTAAACTAAACTGACGGAGGATAATCTCTCAAATTACAGAAATAAATCACTCATAATTACTGTTTATAACAAATTTTTATCTTTAGCCAAACGAAAATGGCGATTAGTGTTTTTTACTCCAAATAATTCGATTTTTGGCCTAGACTAACATAAATAACTCTTTCATTACTAGACCAAAATTACATGGTTTTAAACTGTTACATTTATTCGTTATAGCCTAAAAGTATTAGGGTTCCCATCGTAACGTAATTACATAACCTAAAAATAGTTGTACCAAGTATGGATTTGAAATTGAATTGAGTTCTAATAAGAAAAATAAACTCAAAGGGGATCAAGAGTCACGAGGCTCACAGCCCACACCAAGCATAAACATGTGTATATATATATATAGCTAGAGATAAATATATTTATGATCTACGACGTACGCGTAAGAGTGTTTTTGAGTACGTATACAAATACAATACAAACACATGATGAGGGACAAAGTAACTTAAATGAGACAATGACATGCATTATCTCCAATCCATGCACAGTACTTCTATGTATATATATATATATATATATATATATATATAGGTAGCTAGGAGACAACTATTTGGTTTTTTTCCACTAGAAGAGACAAATTAATTTAGCTTTCGTAAAATACAATTAATCTAAAAACACCATTATAATTAGAATATATGTCCACAGTCCACACTAGTTCTTTTTCTTCTTTAGCCTCATGATGTCCACACTAGTTATACCTGAACATCATGTCGAGATTAGTTCTTTTTTTATCGGTCTTACTCTTTTAATGTTGTTGAGTTATCAATTCTGGCTCTTTTATATGTAACTCTTCCTCCTTCTCTAATGGGATGGGACGACATTATATTGTATATATGTTTATGCATCTCTTTTTTTTTTTATAGACTTTACTTTATACATTCAATGTACGTTTTTATTGTTATAACTAATGTTATTTGATGAACAAAATAATTGAGATTGGCTCGACCTGACACATGTTATTAATGCTAATTAAACTAGTGGACCATGAAAACTGCGGACTGTTCCATTGAATTTATTAATTGGATCACTCTATATTTGTCAATGTTCATCTCTCGATATTACACCATTTTATATATATCATACTATTAATTCTTAGTTAATTGGATTGATAGCAATAGAAAGCATGAAATTTTGACTAATGCATGTCATTGAGTTAAATAATTAGTTATTTATCATCTTACCATTGTTTACTCCTTTTGTATCAAAATAAAAGATATATTATTTTATATTACACACAAGTATTTCTATTTTTTCTTTTTTGAAAATTAAAAACTAATTTATTATTTAAAGATAATTTAATCAATGATTCAAAAATATGCAGTATACAAATGGTCACAAACATTAAGCAAAAAAAAAAAATTGTAAACATACAACAGTTGCATAAAAAATTACCATCACTTATAGGGGATTATTGGTTACCATTTTTATGGTTGTGAAATTTAAAAACTTAAATGACTGCGACTTTAATTAGCCCCTTAATATGATACATAGAGGACTATATATAATTAAATTTATTTATAACAAGATTATTTTTACGTGTTAGGTTCTTACAGAAACATAAAATTCCAGTACATATGTCATTTTAATACTATTATTATTTATATGTTTATGATCATAAATTAGTTATACCAATAACAATGATTTGCATGTTACGTGTTTTTTACATGTTATTACACCATTCAAAAACCAAATAGATTAAAGCGAGAAGTATATTATTAGCTTAATTTTTATTTGTATGCATGTGTTTGTTACAAGAATGTGATTATATTGTCATGTTTTTTTTTTCTTTTCTTTCTTTTTCTGTCAAAAACTGAGTTGATTGATAAACCGTCATAAAGAGAAAGAAAAATTACATATCACGAGCTGAAACTGGCCAAAAAGTACGTATCTTAAAACATTGGTTAATTAAACACAGATCAATTAAAAGTTAGTCAAGTTGTTCAACTGGCCGCTACTTTTTTTTGGTTTTAAATTGTGACAGTATTTTGAAGTTGTTAACTGTTATCTGTTAAACGAAAAAAAAAAAATAGAAAAAAGAGGTTCGATCTTCCCAACATGATTGCTAAGAAAGGAGAAAAATAAACGATGCGGAGAGAAGATACATATACGAAGATTGTATTTATAAAAAGATTGTAAGGATTGTATTTATAAAAAAATTGTATAAAGTAAAGTACTGAAATAGGTGCAAATGGTAGATAAACATAGGTAACTAAATTTCAGTTTAGTTTAATACTAGAGTCTAAGTCAAATAATGCTAAAAAAGCAGGATAAAACAAAAGATGATACGGGCTTAATAATAAAATTAAATAAACAAGGTCTAAAGTTCATTATGATTCTCATGGAGACGCAACAAGTATTAATGACAATTTAGGGTAATGACAAGTTCATCTTATGTATAGTTGAGGGTTTAATTAACATAGTCAGTAGTGGCAATAATGACTCTTGGTTTCTTCTTTATTAATTGTCTCATCAAACCAATATAAAATTATACTAATCAAGTAATGTAGTTATATAATTTTTTGAACTCCCATCTAAATTCATGTGATTCTCTACCTCTTAATATCCGCCATGATCTTTGAATCAACTCATAAACAAAACAAAAAATAAAATCACTTACATTGTTTGACTTCCACTGACAAAGATTACTTCGACTCAATGAAAATTTCTATCGTTATTTACTTGATTTGGTTCAGATAAACTTATACTGTTTAATTTCTTCATTGGTCCAATGACCTTGGACTTTCATTTTGAAAGATAATGATCCAATTCAATGGAACCACTAACCCACATAGGTTTACATGTGTTACAACAACTTTACAACCATGAGGATATAGAGAGGTTACTAAATAGTAAGTTCCAAATTCGTTAATCGGATGTTCAAGGTGAATCTTATACTAATTTAAAACCTTTAAATAATAGATATTTATAGGTGATATTTTTGTATTACTATTTAAGTATATATTGTCTATATTTTGTCTCTTCTTTCTTCAATAATTCATTATTAAAAACGATAGAAAAGTATTTGCATATAAAATATCATAATCAAACAACTAAATTTTGTTTTGTTTATTTTCGTTGTTCAACTTTGTGACCATTTGTGGTAAGAAGATCGAAACCGAATGGGGTTTAGTCCTTACGTGTAGAAGCCTAGACGAGTAGAAGATTCATTGAACAATAGTTGAATCCTAACATAAAAAGAGATGGATATATATAGACCAGTTACTTTTGCAAATCAGTGTCATGCTTCCACTGTCAGCTACACAATCTATAGCTAGCTAGCATTCAATCTCATCTTCTCGTATATGCCCATGAATTTATGATTTTAGTGGCCATGTTTATGTAGGTTTGTTTCATCGTGCCGTCTATGTCACAATAATATATATATACTGTATTTATATATTAATTAGTATTTTCAAAATTACCTCATCAACAAATTTGAATGAGACTTGAAAGTTATATTTTTCGTGTACATATTCACAAATGGTAAAACACTAAGCAATAACTTGATATGCACTAAACCACTGCTCTAGAAACTGTTATGCATAGACTTTTTTTTCTTTTTTTTTGATAATCTATTAATTGTCCAAATCATTGTATATTTTGAAACAGATGGAGTAACATTTATAAATAGTATGATGATAACATACTTCTAAATTCTACTATCAGTGTAATCTGCCATCTTTTTTTTGTGGAACTTATAATTTGTCAACCAACTAAAATATATTAGATCAGTTCCAATTTTAATGCTAATTAAAAGATCTCTTGATATTTTCCTCAAACAATCTACACAACCGACTATAATTTACCAAAACCTACGATCAACAACACCAAACTACCAATGTTTTAAAGTTTTTGATTTTGTTTCCACCAAAATTAAACCCAAAAAAAAAAGATTTTGATTTTGTAGGGAACCAAACGTGTAGATATATATACTATATATATTTCAATGTTTTTGACGTCAACGTCTCTCTCTTTTCTAGATGTCAGGAAAGAAAACTAATATATAATGGTCCATTAACAGTGATTTATTAACTTAAAAAAGAAAAAGAAAAATAGTTGCATAAATCTTTTGAATTTTTGGCTATAATACAAAAGAAATTCAAAAAAATATTACTATAGCATTAGCAGGGTTTTATGACTATATGGACTAGGGAGAATCACCATAGAAAAATGTCATTATATTAAACAAATATAATAAAATGTTAACAGATTTTAAAGATGTGATTTCAAAAATTAAGATTGTCTGTCTGTATCGGGGGAACTCCTCGAGGCAAAACATTAATTTCGTGTCTTTCTTTGTGTTTCCCAGTTTTAGTTTTTTTTTTTCTTTCCTCAAATTTCTATTTTTGTGACTAAATTTATTTTAGAATCATAGTAACAATAGTTACTGATTAGCGTTTGCTTTGTCGTCACTGAGTAAAAATAGTAGTAGTTTGATTCGACTACTGTATTGTGTAATTTGCTAATCATATGTTCTGACTTAAGACATGATGATATGATGGTGATGATGATGATACTCTGCGCTCGTTTTGGAAAAACAATTTATAACACAATATATGTTACTCACCGACAATAACAAACTGTATGCATTTAGTAATCGAGACACAAATTAATGTTCGATCACTTAAACAGTAGTAGAAAACTCTGTTTGTGGTTTGCTTTGCTTTGCCATATCTATTATTAGTACTATATATCCAACACTTTATGAATTATTACTGAACACTTTATCTATTTTAACATTTTTGAAGTATATTTTGTACTAAAATCTAATTTGGATTATAACCTTTTATTTTGTATTATTTACATAATCAAACCCTTGCCATTTGAATAAATAACAAAACTTAAAAGTAAATTTTGTAATTAACTCACAAGCAAATCGCAAAAATAGAAACAAATATTTATTACATCAAATTTTTTTCCTAAACTCTCTCTTTAATCGTTTACAAAAAAAAAACTCTCTCTTTAATAAATCGAATCTCTCTCCAATATATTTATATAATCTTATTTGTTTTTAATTTATATTATTACATAAAATAAATTTATAATAAAAATACAAAAAAATTTCCACACATTTTGCAATTTAAATTTTAGAAAACGGACGCATATATATAACTCAATCGATAAAGGAAAAAATATATGTACAACGTCTACATAAAGTATAAAATTTTAGATTATAGTTCAAACCATTATAAATACGACTAATATGTTCACCACTACAAATGAACATGACTTTGATTTCTCAGGTATCCAAATTAAAAATTTTATTCAGTTTAATATGGTTCCTTATTTAAGAGAAATAAAATTTTTAAAAGGTTTCAAAATATTATAAATTTTATTTTAATTTTTTAAATTTGAAAGTATTCTAAATATTAAAACTTTTAAAAGCTGAAAATTATAATATTTAATTTAAGTTTTATAGAATATTTAAAATATTAAAAAATTGAACTCTACAAAATTTTAAAGTATCATTAATATTTGAACTCTAAAAATATAACAAAATTGTACGTAGATATGATTGAACGGGTTTGAGTATACATAAATATGATTATATTTTTTATTACGGATTGTCTATATTTAAAATCTTTTACGGGTTAAGTTAAAATAAAAAATTTTATTTACAACAAAATTGTCTCGCGGTATATCGCGGGTTGACCATATATATCTATGAATCTACTTATAATATAAATTCAAAACATTATATAAAATTAAAATAAAATACACCTTTATAAAACTAGAATATATATACAAACTACGAAAATGATCAACCAAACAAATATATCAAGTTATGGACCCGTGGTATACCACGGGGTATATCCTAGTAATTCATAAAAATCGGCAACATCTTTATTTTATTTTATGATTGACTATTTTGGAATATCCGAATTTTATATGCCTCCGGTTACTAAATAATGTTGTGAGTAATATACATATTAAATATAAAAAATAATCATACAATGATAAATTACATTGAGATGGTATGCTCAGATCGATCACATGCCCATTCTTGTCAACAACATTGGTTCAAAGATATATAAAGTCAAGAAAACAATTTCTTTTTTCGACAAAGATAGTTTGAGAACATTACTCAAAACATGTTTTGATATATGGAAGAGTAGAGAGAACAGTCGTTTTCATATATACAACATCAAAACCTATTTGTATAATATATGTCTCCTCGAACTTGGCCGTAAATGCTTATTTCATTTGGTAGATTGTTTGAGATGTTTTGCAAGGGTAACGAGTAGGTATATATAGCTAGGACATTTTCTAAAAAATGACCCCAACAATTACTTTCTATAACAAAATGTATTTTTCCAAAAAGAGAAACTAATCAAATCAACTTCAAGATAAAAAGAGGAACAATCAATCAACTTCAAGATCGACAATACTCACCGTTTTGCTATTTTTTTTCCTCTACTTTTGTTTCCTTTTTTCTCATAAATCATTAAAAATATATATACTTTTCTTTTCTTGGTCATAAATGTCTGTGTTTTGTTCTGTACACAACTAAGCTGATACCGTCGATCGTAACGATATTAAAAGGAAAAAAGAAAGGATTCATAGACAGTTCTTCTAGTCTTTCGAGTTCAAAGCTCAAACAACAACAAAACTAATATTTTCAAAACAATATTATTATAAGAGGAAGAGAGAAAAAAAAAAGTATGGAGTGACCAAAGAAAAAAGAAAACCTCAAAAACATTTCTGTGTTTGTTGTCTTTTGCCGGCGAAAACGGAAACTGTTTCATCTCCTGTAAATGACAAACACAAAAACCTTAACATCTCTCTGATACTTCAAAGAAAATGTAAAGAGTTGCATATTTTTCCTTTTCTTTCTTTTTTGGGATATAGCTTTAACACAAAGTATATTGTTTATTTCTAAATCAGGACAAAACAAAAAGTCTTTGAGTTAATTTTTTGTTTTCTTTTTCTTCTCTCTTTTCGGGATCTAGGGATGAAGAAACAATGGCTACCGGACAAAACAGAACAAGTGTGCCAGAGAATCTCAAGAAACAGCTCGCAATTTCAGTTAGAAGTATTCAATGGAGTTACGGTATCTTTTGGTCTGTCTCTGCTTCTCAGTCTGGGTAAGTTTCATAATCATATTCTTCGAAAACCAGAATCTTGAGATTTTAAAACATATTTTGATGAAAAATCAGACAAACACTTATGTGTTTAATTCAACACTGGTTCTTTCTTTTTATAAAGATTCAATAGTGGTTTTATTTTCATTTTTCTCTTTATCAAGTTCTTTTCTTGATAAATTCTTTATGAAGTTCTTGATTAGTTCAAGAAAATGTTCTGTTTTTTTCTTTCTTTTCTTTTTCTTCCTGATCCATTCTAAAAAATTTGTTGGTTTAATTCTTCAACATTGGTTCTTTAATAAAGATTCAATACTGGTTTTCATTTTATTTTTCTCTTTTTGATGAAGTTCTTGATTAGTTCAAGAAATGTTCTGTCTTGTTCCTGATGATTTGTTTATGTTCTGGTTTGTTTTGTGTTGAATCAAAAGAGTATTAGAATGGGGAGATGGATATTACAATGGAGATATAAAAACGAGAAAGACGATTCAAGCTTCGGAGATCAAAGCTGATCAGCTAGGCTTAAGGAGGAGCGAGCAGCTTAGCGAGCTTTACGAGTCGCTCTCTGTAGCTGAATCTTCTTCTTCCGGCGCAGCCGCTGGATCTCAGGTAACTAGAAGAGCTTCAGCCGCCGCACTCTCGCCGGAAGATCTAGCCGACACCGAGTGGTACTTCTTGGTTTGTATGTCTTTCGTCTTCAACATCGGTGAAGGGTAAACTCGTCTTTTCCTAATCTGCAATATATATTGGACATTGATTATGTGTCGTGTTCGGATTTGATCTTGTGCCAGTTTTAAAGATAAAGACAAAACACACTTTTAATACTCGTAGGTCCAGGTATTTCGACTTTTATGGTTCAGTTTTAGGTTTGTTGGATTTTCAGGGTTTTGCAGGAACCACTATTTTAGTTTCAGTTTCGTTTAAAATTGTAATGTTGGGATTTGGTCAGTTTAAGAAAAACAAAAGCTAAAACATGATTAGTTTTAAATAAAAAAATATGTTTCATATATCTAATAACTTTTGATTTATTCGGTTTAATTTTTGTTACTGTCAAAATTAATGTATAAATTTGTATTGTTTTGATGGTTTATGAAAAAAATTTAAGAAAAATTATGAAAAACCTAATATTCATTTACGTTTTTTTAAAGACTAATAGTTTTTTTTTTTTTTGGGGTAGAATGCCTGGACGGACGTTTGCGAACGGTGAACCGATATGGTTGTGCAACGCACATACGGCGGATAGTAAAGTCTTTAGCCGATCCCTTCTGGCAAAAGTAAGTGGCCCTTTAGTATTATTAATGCACCTTTGTTACTTAACTTCTGATGAGTGAAAAATGCTAAAAATCGTACATTTTGTTAATTATGTGTGTGTGTTTTGTTTAGAGTGCTTCGGTTAAAACAGTGGTTTGCTTCCCTTTTCTTGGAGGAGTCGTTGAGATTGGTACCACCGAACATGTAAGCCCATATTTATGTTTTTCTGCCTCTGAATGTTTATAAATTACCACAAAGTATTTTAATATTTTCAAGTTATAATTAACCATTAGTCTGTCGAATAATACATCAAAAAACACTTGATTTAACATTTTGGTAGCCCCAGTATACATATTTCCAAGTTTTGATTTATGATGTGTGGACTTTTCCAATCATTGGAATTTTCTCCCCAATATAAATCATTGATTTTTGTTTTCTTCCTATATTTTCGTTTTTTCGTCAAGTCATTAATATTATTTTAGTTTATATGGTTTATGAAGTAGGAAAAAAACTTTATTTAATAATTCTATCTTTTTATGTATAATATCATCATATGGGTTTTCTACTTTCTAGTATCAACTATTCAATCAAAATTAATCCTATGTGTGAATTTTCTTGATGTGTTTCATTGGTAGATATCAGAAGACATGAACGTAATACAATGCGTCAAGACATCATTCCTAGAAGCCCCTGATCCTTACGCTACAATATTACCAACAAGATCTGATTATCACATCGACAACGTTCTTGATCAGCAACATATTCTAGGCGACGAGATTTACGCGCCTATGTTCGGTACGGAGCCTTTCCCGGCGGCTTCTCCGAGCAGAACTACCAACGGGTTCGATCCGGAATACGAACAAGTAGCAGAAGATCATGATTCGTTTATGACCGAGAGAATCACCGGAGGAGCTTCTCAGGTGCAAAGCTGGCAGCTCATGGACGACGAGCTTAGTAACTGCGTTCACCAGTCGCTGAATTCTAGCGATTGCGTCTCTCAAACGTTTGTTGAAGGAGCGGGAGGACGGGTTTCTTACGGCGCAAGAAAGGGTAGGGTTCAAAGACTAGGGCAAATTCAAGAGCAGCAGAGGAATGTTAAGACATTATCATTCGATCCAAAATCAGACGACGTTCATTACCAGAGTGTGATCTCAACGATTTTTAAGACCAACCATCAGTTAATTCTCGGACCGCAGTTTCGAAACTGCGATAAGCAGTCAAGCTTCACGAGGTGGAAGAAATCGTCTTCATCATCATCAGGAACCGCCACGGTCACAGCACCATCACAAGCAATGTTAAAGAAGATTATTTTCGAGGTTCCACGAGTGCACCAGAAAGAGAAGTTATTGTTGGACTCACCAGAGGCCAGAGATGATAACGCAAACCACGCAGTTTTAGAGAAGAAACGGCGCGAGAAACTGAACGAACGGTTCATGATCTTGAGATCAATCATTCCTTCAGTCAACAAGGTATATATATATCTAAATGAATCTTTAAAAGTTCATTTTCATGTACATCGCGAGGAAACTAATCTTAAGGTCTAACATTTTCGATAGATCGACAAAGTATCGATTCTTGACGATACAATAGAGTACCTTCAAGAACTCGAGAGGCGGGTTCAAGAACTAGAATCTTGCAAAGAATCAACGGATACAGATACCCGTGGGACGATGACGATGAAGAGGAAGAAACCATGCGATGCAGGAGAAAGAACATCAGCTAATTGCACAAACCATGAAACCGGAAATGGGAAGAAGGTTTCGGTTAACAATGTTGGTGAAGCCGAGCCAGCAGATACTGGTTTTACCGGTTTGACCGATAACTTAAGGATCGGTTCGTTTGGTAATGAGGTGGTCATTGAGCTTAGATGTGCTTGGAGAGAAGGTGTGTTGCTTGAGATTATGGATGTGATAAGTGATCTCAACTTGGATTCTCATTCGGTTCAATCCTCGACCGGAGACGGTTTACTCTGCTTAACCGTCAATTGCAAGGTATATATATATACACTCTAACCTAATTAATTATTGCTTAACCGGGATTTGGTTAATTAACATGAATTTGACATATTGTGAAATGTGTTGGTTTCAGCACAAGGGGTCAAAAATAGCGACACCAGGAATGATCAAAGAGGCACTTCAAAGGGTTGCATGGATCTGTTGAAGACTCTAGTTGGTTTGAATTAGAAAATTAAAGTTCCCCGGTTTGGTTCTCTAGTGTTTGGTATTAATCTAATTAACCGGGTTTTAGGAATTCGTATAAAGACCTTGGTTATTTTGTGTTGTTGCTTAACGTCGTAGGTGAAGAGGAAAAAAAAAAAAGAACAAAAGCGTACGAGTATTTTGTTTGAGGGTAGATTATTTTAGTTAACGGATGAATTAAAAAAAATAGTAGTAGCTAGTTTAGATAATTTAAAAAGCTATTTTTGTAGTTAATCTCATTTTGAATATTCTTATGATATTTTTAGTTTTTCTAAGCACAAGATTATAATGTGAAGTGGAGAAAACAAACATAAATGTGAAAATGAAATTAGTGGTAAAAAGCTTTCACACGAAACATAAAGTTATCTCCATACTAAATGTGAAGATTCTTACAACATAAAGTTTATGATAAGAATAACCAAGATTAATTTCCATACTAAATTGATTCCATTGAATAACAGTGGAAAATCAACAAAAAATAAATGCTGCAATATCTTACTTTCACAAATTATAAACGCGTTGACCAAATTACTTTCTAATTTTATTTTAATTTACCTATCTAATCATGTCTTTTTAATGAAATAAGGACCAACCTTTGTTACTTAAAAAATATATATAGGAACATCAATATATCTTATCATTTGAATTATTTATACTAACAAAAAAAATTACTTAAATAGCAAAAGAAGTCAAATCTTATTCGTCCAACCCATATTTACTTTGTAGTTTGTGTAAACTGTATTTTTTTTTAAATGTTTATTAAGAAAGAAATCTAAATTAAAAAAATCAAAATATTATTATTTAAGAAGTTGGAACCAAAATAGTAATGACTACAATTATTTTTTTTCATTGAAAAAAATATACATCACATAGCAAATAATATACATACCTCTTATAGCCAATATTTTTTCAGACAAAAACATAACTTCTTTCCTTTTGAACTGCAAAACCGAAAACATAAATTCAAAGATACGTCTGTGTTAGTGTACATACAAAAGTGAGAGAGATCAGAAAAAGAGAGAGATAGATGGTGAAGCTGCTTCTGGCCTGAAGATTCTTCTCTCCGGTTAGAACTTGCACTTTAACATGTTTATATATTTCTTGACATCTTATTCTTATATCTATTGTCTATACCTTCTTCTCTTTTTTGACACTAGGTGCCCGACTCATCTACTGTCTTTTCCTTTAACACCATTTTGAAAACATTAACCCTTGTATCTTCGGTTTGCATATGATCTTGTAGTCCTTTTCGATCCACTACAGCAACAGACTTTGTGTTGTTTATAATTTGTCCTGGTTGGATTTTTTATACTTGCAGCTGTCTGAATAAGTTTGAAAGAACGTAGCAATCGTCAAGAATGGGAGATGAGCCAAAATTCAGAGAGAAATGGGATTTCAGAAGGAAAGAGAACGACTTTGAAGATTCTTCAAGCGATGATCCAGATTCAAACTCTACCCAGGATCCTATTATTCATAATCCAAATGTTCTTCTTGATTCGAGTCAGATCGATAATGGACCAAAACCAGTGACTAGAGACGAACCCGTGAAAACCCGGAAGAGGAGAAGCAAGAAAGATGAGAGTAAACCTGAGAAAGCTAAGCAAGTACGAAGAAGGAAACCAAAAATTGTTTCTGCAGAGGAGACGAAGAAGAAAGAAGGTTTAGGAACGGGGATGGATGATGTTGGAATCTTTATGGAGACATTGCTTGACGATCTTACAGCTTCTCGAGAGCGTTTAATGGATTGGATGAAGACTGAATTGTATGGAGCATCGGTTGAAAATGTTGCATCTCGGCCGCCTTTGAAGAAGGGAGGGGTTGCTGCGGTAGGAGCACAGAGACCAGTGAAGAAGAGGATGACGAAAAAAAAAAAGGAAGAGGAGGAGAAGATGAAAAAGAAGGAAGAAGAGGCGAAGGAGAGTGAAAAGCAGAGCAACCCGAGGGAGAGCAGTCACGCGATGAACACACCTGACGAGAAAATTTCAGAGATTGATCCAAGCGGTCGAAATCTTGAACGTATTGCTAGACCATTGGATAGGTTTGTAGTGGGCGGTCAAGGGATGAACACTCCTAAAGCGAAAACTTTAGAGATAGCGCAAAAGGGTGGACACTGTGATTCTAATGCTGGACTGTTGGATAGGTTTCTTAAGGGCGGTCAAGGTGGTTTAGGAAGAAATTACTTTCCACAACTACAAGAAGATCAAGGAGCGCTTGTTATGCAAACAGAGATGGAGAATTCGAAAAACGAGACCATGAAGAGTCAGAAGAGCATTGTTTTGGCCATTCAAGCTCCAAATCTGAGTAAGAAACAAAAGAAGACAAGTGAAGCTAACACCAACAAGAACAGGTCATCAACAGTGGAGAGAACAGAACCAGAAACGCAGAAAGATCATAACTTTGGGACACCCTTTGCGTCACAACTTTCTTCATCATCATCATTGCAGAGTTTTCCGGTATCTTCTTCGTTGTTTCCAAAACTGTCTTCACAATCGTTGTTGCCAAGTTTTCCAGTACCTTCTTCATTGTTTCCTTTTTCAAGCCAAGGGATCAGTCCATTAGTAAGTAACGCCAACTTTGAACTGAGACAACCAGTAGTTCAGACTCCTGATCTTTCAGAATTTCAGACAGGAGTCACAGGAGTACAAGAATTTGAGAATTCTCTGTTTCACAACAATGGCTACTTTTCTGGTTATCCAGCAGCTTTCCAGCCTAATCTGTTATCCGGCGGTTATAATTTTCCACAACAACTGAATTCTGTGACTTCGTCACAGCAGAGAGATGACAACAATATGCTCGAAGGTCTGAGAATGGCAGGTGGAGCCATAAGATATTCTGGTAACAGAGTTCCCGAAACCGAAGTTGGAGACTATACTAACGGCCTCTCTGACTACAGAACTAGCTCTGGTAGATAAAGACCTGTTCCAGAGACAACATCAACAATGAATGATCAATTTGTTCCTTGATTAGATTGAAATTTTGAGCAGTAAAAAATATAGATTGAAAAACCAGATTGTCATCAAATAAAATAATAATGTATTTGTCCTCACATAGATGTGTCTTCTGTAACAAACCGTTTTGGTTGTAAGTCGCTAACTAGTTTTGGTTGGATTCAATTCTAACCAACTAGTGATCACTGGAACCAGAGCTTGGTACTTGCTCATTAGATCGATATTCCACGACTAGGACTTTGCCAAACCTCAATAGACTGATGATCCTTTCGGGTCACAAACATTCTATTTCCTCCAAACGCCAATCCGGTTATCTTGTTTTCTCCTGAATCCGCTAATTTCTCGAATGAATTCTTCCTAAAAACCCTCCCTTCTGGAACATCCCGGCTTGCATTCCCTACCAAACCCGTGATCACTTCAGACCAAAGCTCGATCCCACTTCCTTTACTACAAAACACATGATTTCCATAGCTCTCAATCTTACACCCAACTCCTTCTCTTCTCTCATTCAAGCTTCTCTTCTTCTCTTCCCCAAGACAAACCCATGGATTCTTATCTCCTAACCTCCTGAGATCAGCGTAGAAAACTTCTCCTGAAGCCACACCGACCTTGAAAACTGCTGAGAGATTATCCGAGACAGTAACATCAGAGAAACAATCTTGTGTCTCCTTAATTTCCCAAACCATATTCCTTGATCTAACATCCCAAAACCTAATGTGGCCATTCACACCAGATGGACTAGTATGAGAACCAGAAACCATCAACAAATTACAACTCTCAATCCACCTCAACTTAGTCGATGGAATCGCAGAACCAATATCAGGGCCATAGATATCACAATGATCAATCTCAGACACAGGCATCAACGTAGAAAGATCATACACCATAATCGAATTCGAGTTCCTTCTGCTAGATTCAAAGCTAGTGAACAGAAACTCAGAGGAAGAACCTATGGCTTGAACCGTAGAGCTAGACCTAGTCACGTTTTCCCAATTCAAAGTCGTACGGACGAATCCACCGTTTTCAATATCGATGATTTGCAAACCTTGGAAATCGGTGGCTCCGGCAGCTAAAACTCCCGGAGAGATCTCAAGAAGAGAATCCACGGCGGAGAAATTCGTCAACACAGTCGATTTTTGCCTCAACGACCAATCGAAGGAAGTGATTTTGCTACCGTGCGTGACGTGTAGACCTCCGCCGTTAACCGTCGGCGAAATCGTCGACGGAGAATCTCGACCGTTCAATTGAAGAATCCTAGATCTACGGAGATCGAACGGCTCGAACTGCGACGAATTCGAGAGAGAATCGATTAAGAAAGACTCAATCCCGTAGTATCTAGATTCATCGATGAGATCTCGAACATCGAAGGAGCGTGATGATCTCGCGGGTAGGTTCCCTGTACGGAGGATATAGAGTAAAACGGAGAACAAATCGGGATCTCGATCGACGAAAGGAGGAGTCGACTCAGTGACGACGAGTCGAGATAGAAGAGAATCGGAGCCAGCTAAGGTTAAGGTTTGTTTCGTCGTTTGGAAGATTCGGCCTCCGACGTTGATGGAGACAACGTTCGATTCATGAGGGATCGTCGGAAAATTCATACGGAGGAGCAAATCAGAAGACCTTCGCTTTGTTTTTTTGCAGAGGAAAAGATGATAAACAGAGAAATCTTAATATATATATACCATATTAATAAATGAAGTACATCAAATAAACCATATATTATATACTTATCATTAAGACTTAGCTTATTAGTAATTAGACTCTCAAAATATGATAAAAGTGGGAACAATATAAGACAAAAAAAAAACCGAATATTCACATAAAAATAGTTATTATTGATATATATTATATTATATACTCTCTCTCCTTTATTAAATTTACTTTATTTATGTTATAAATTGTAAGGATTTTTTTCAATGATTCTCTCGAGAGAGAAGGGTGATTTTTTAGGCGATTTTTTTCTTCTTCCGATTTGGTCTTCTCCTTCTCTGCTTAGGAGTGTTTTTCCGACAGAATTCAGTAGTTTTGTTAGTTTCTGGTCTGACGGTTTCTCTCTGAATCAGTTTTCTGATTTCAGTTTCTTTTCTCTTTCTTTTTCGAAGAGTAACCGTCTGAAACCGCTATGGAAAAACTTATATATACCTGTCGGATTTTCTTCATCTTTCTTCACTTTCTTCCTACCATTCTATCTCTGCTACTGTAACATAATGAGTGATTACGTTCGTAAGTCGTTACAAAATCTGGATTTGGGAATCAATGACGAACCGGTGCCTCTACCATCGGTTCTGTGTGGAAACGCTGCAAACGCGAATCGATTCTCTTTGATCGTTTCGGTGGTTAACCCAAAGAAGCAAAACCTGCGTGCTATTGTGAATCAAATGCCGAAGATTTGGGGTTTCATGAATGAGTGTAGAGGTCGGATTCTGGGAAATGGCAAGGTTCTGTTCATCTTCAAAACAGAGGAATCAATGAACCTGGTGCTTCGCCGTGGGCCTTGGGCATTCAATGAATGGATGTTATCTGTTCATCGCTGGTACCCGAACATTGGTGAGGAGGAGATGAAGATTATTCCTTTTTGGATCCAAATCAAGGGTATTCCAATCGTGTATCTCACTATTGCGATGGTTAAGTACATTGGAGACAATTTGGGTCCTGTAGTTAGTGTTGATTTTGACGAGAATGTCAATTGGGTGGAGTTTGTTCGGGTTTGTGTCAATTGGAGTATCGACACGCCCCTTCGTTTCCAAAGGAACTTTCAATTTACTGCTGATGAGAATACGGTTTTAAAATTTCGGTTTGAGCGACTCAGAAACTTTTGTTCTCGCTGTGGTTCATTGAAACATGATGCAAAAGAATGTGAATTGGTTTTTGAAGATCAGCCTCTCGACGATGACGACAATGGAGAACCAGAAGACAATCCGAATGCAGGCAATGATGATGCAGTCGAAGATGAGTTCAACCCTGGAGATGAGCCTGCTGGTCCAGATTTCGCCATGGAAGGCCCTGCTGATAATCATGATGTGCATGTGTATAACCCCATGGAACCTGCTAATCTCCCGGAGGGTGCTGATTATGACACAGTTTCACTGGAAACTGTTGACCCTGTTGACCTTATTCCTGGACTGAGATTGGTTCACAATTCCAGAAGGCACCAAGAGTTCATTATTACAGAATCTGATGACTCTTCCATTCCAAGTGCATTTGAGGACACAGAGTTAACTGCAGAGAGATTGCGCTTTCTGCATACTAAGTTTGCAAAGGAACAACACCTTGAAGACCACACTTGGACTGATTCGACTACAAAGGTTTGCTTCTCTCCAGCTTCAGCTTCAACCTGCAAGAAGAGGAAGAGTATGGAATTCTTATACCAGCGTCGTGAAGAAGAAGAGGATATGGCGGTCCTGAGCCATATACATAAGAAAGAGAAGACGGAGTCTATGGGATCCAGTAGCGGTCCAGCTATGCACGGAGGCGCGGGAGGCCCGGTACTCCCATTGTTCCCCCCATGAGAGTTGTCTCCTGGAACTGTCAGGGCCTATGTTCGCCGCTGACTCAATCTCGTCTGAAACGTTTATGTCGTATTTTAAAACCTCATCTTTTATTTCTGTGTGAAACTCTAAATACTTCTTCTGTTGTGTGTGATTTTGCTTCAGTTTTAGGATTTGATAATGTTATTACTGAACCCCCTCATGGAAGGAGTGGTGGTTTAGCTATGATGTGGATGAATTCTATCTCTTTATCCAGATTGTATCAGGATGAAATAATCATTGATGTTCACATTGATTTTAATAATATAAGTTTCTATTTGTCTGGTGTGTATGGTCATCCTGTTCCAAGTCAGAGACATGTTTTGTGGGATAAACTTCATCATATTAATCGAACAAGACATGGTCCTTGGATGATTATGGGAGACTTTAATGAAATCTTAAGTAATAATGAAAAAATTGGAGGGCCCTTGAGAGAAGAGTGGACATTTAGACAATTCAGAAATTTATTCTCCTCTTGTGATCTATCTGATCTTCGTTCTAAAGGAGATAGATTTTCTTGGGTTGGGGAGAGAAGGAACTATACAGTGAAATGTTGTTTAGACAGAGTTGTCACCAATTCTGAATGGTTAGCTTGCTTTCCTACTGCAGAAGCTGAATTTTTGGAGTTTAACGGCTCAGATCACAAACCTGTCCTCACGAATTTTACTCCTCGGACTTATGGCCATCATAAACTTTTTCGGTTTGATAAACGATTAACACATATTGACAATTTTAATCAGATTGTGGAACAAGGATGGAATTCCTGCAAAAATCTAAACTACTATTCTATATGTGATCAAATTGAAAACTGTCGTAAAGCCATGTCAAGAGAAAAACATCATTCGAATTTGAATGCAGCTAAACGTATTGATCACTTTCAAGCTGCTTTGAATACAGCCATGGAGAGTGTGAACTGGCGTCATCGACGTGAGATTCCATATTTACAGGGCGAACTAACCAAAGCTTTTAGAGATGAAGAGTATTATTGGCAAAATAAAAGCCGGAACAATTGGATGACTCTGGGTGACCGAAACACTTCTTACTTCCATGCATGTACAAAAAAACGATATGCAAGAAACTACATTACAACAATAAAAGATTCGGCCAATGTAGTACATGTTGGTGATCAAGAGATTGGTAACCATGCCCAGGACTATTTTACAGAGGTTTACAAGTCAAGTCATCATCCTGTTTCTCCGATAGATTTCGGTGACTTTATCCCGAAGGTTACGTCTGAAATTAATGCCGATTTAACAAGAGATTTTACAAACGAGGAGATCTTTGAGGCCATTTCAGCCATTGGAGATGACAGAGCTCCTGGACCAGATGGACTAACAGCAAGGTTTTATAAACATTATTGGCATATCATAGGATCAGATGTCACCCAAGAGATTCAAGATTTTTTTGCAACTTCCTATATGAAGTCAGGTATAAATCATACTAACATTTGCATGATACCAAAAATTAATAATCCTTCAACCCTATCTGAATATAGACCTATAGCTCTGTGTAATGTTTTATACAAAATAATCTCAAAATGTTTGGTTAATCGTCTCAAAAATCATTTAAATTCCATTGTCTCGGACACACAAGCTGCCTTTATTCCTGGACGCTTAGTAACTGATAATGTCATGATCGCTCATGAAGTTATGCATGCCCTAAAGTCAAGAAAGAGAGTTTCCCAAAATTACATGGCCATAAAAACTGATGTTACAAAAGCTTATGATAGGGTTGAGTGGACTTTTCTAGAGGTTACTATGCAATTGTTTGGTTTCTCAAAAAAATGGATTGATTGGATCATGGCTTCAGTTCGTTCTGTAAGCTATTCTATTCTTATTAATGGTTCACCCCATGGTCTGGTTATTCCTGAAAGAGGAATTCGACAAGGAGATCCTTTATCGCCCTATTTATTTATACTTTGCGCGGATATTATGAGTCATCTTATTAAAACTCGTGTTCTTTCTGGTGATATTCGTGGTGTCCGGATTGGTAATGGAGCCCCAGCCATCACTCATCTACAATTTGCAGATGATTCTTTGTTTTTCTGCCAAGCTAATGCTCGAAATTGTAAAGCTATTAAAGAAGCTTTTGAAGTTTATGAATATTACTCAGGCCAAAAAATTAATACATCCAAATCATTAATAACCTTTGGTGCTAAAGTACATGGACAACTTCAAAATAGACTAAAAAATATCTTAGAAATACCAAATCATGGTGGAGGTGGTAAATATCTCGGATTACCAGAACAATTTGGCCGCAAAAAGAAAGATATGTTCAACTATATTTTAGAAAAGGTGAAACAACGAACTGCATCATGGAGTGCATCCAGACTTTCTCCAGCTGGGAAAGAAATAATGTTAAAGTCTGTTGCCCTCGCAATGCCAGTTTATACAATGTCCTGTTTCAAAATTCCGGCGAGTATCATAAAGGATATAGATTCTGAACTTCAACGATTCTGGTGGGAGAAAGGAAATTCTGAGAGGGGAATACCTTGGATAGCTTGGAAGCGTCTTCAATTTTCAAAAAAAGAAGGTGGTTTGGGTTTTAAGGATCTATCAAAGTTCAATGATGCTCTTTTGGCTAAGCTTGCTTGGAGAATTTATAAACATCCAGATACTCTTTTTGCTCGCTTAATGAAAGCAAGATACTTTCGTGATGATTCTATTTTGGAAGGCAAAAAACGTGTAAATCAATCTTATGGTTGGGCATCTATTTTAGAAGGGATTAAAATCGTTAAGATGGGTACTAGATTTATTATAGGGGATGGGGTCTCAGCTAGAGTACATAATGACAATGTTACCATTACCCATTCGCCTAAACCAGTACGCACATTGACAAATGATCCTATTCTTTATAAGGATCTTATTTCTTCTATTGGTAACCATAGATTTTGGGATAATGATAAAATTTCTAACTATGTACATCCCTTGGATCACCATCATATTTTTCAAATGCATTTACCCCGGTCTAGTACTCCTGATAGATTAATTTGGCATTACAATAAATCTGGTGAATATTCTGTTCGTTCGGGTTATTGGCTAATTATGCATGAACCCCATACAATGATTGCGAATCATTCGGTTCCCTCTGGTTCTTTAGTGTTAAAAAATCAAATTTGGAAATTGAAAGTTATTCCAAAAATTAAACACTTTCTGTGGCGAATTCTTACAAAAGCTTTACCTACCATTACTCGTCTTAATTCTCGTGGAATGAATTTGGATCCTATTTGTCCGAGATGTTTCCGAGCTGATGAGACTATTGAACATATTTTTTTCCAATGCCCTACTGCCATTACAATTTGGGAATGTTCGCATATTCCTAGTCATGTTCAGTTTTGCTCATCTTCAACCTTTGAATTTGTTCTTGAACAAATATTTTCTATGCAATCTGATAACAATATCCCTCAAGCGACCAAATTACTTCCATTTTGGGTTCGTTGGCATATTTGGAAAACCAGGAATAATTTTATCTTTAACGGCATTCAAGATATACCGATAAACTCTGTCTTACGTGCACAAGGGGACGTCCGTGAATGGTTAACTTACAGTCATAATACTTCTCACAATCATCAAGTCACTCAACCTATTCAACAAAGTTCATGGACTCGTCCTCCGACTAACATGATTAAGTGTAATTATGATGCGGCTTTTGATTATAATACACACCAAGTTAAAGGTGGTTGGATTCTTCGCGACGAAAATGGAGGCTCGAACGGATGGGGAAGTTCTGTTCTCGGCTATGCGATTTCCCCTTTGGAAGCAGAAGCGAAAGCTCTTTTGGCGGCAATGCAACAAAGTTGGATTAGAGGCATCACGAAGATTTGTTTTGAAGGCGATAGTGAAGTTTTGAATAAGATTCTAAATCATCAATTCTATGATATTGCTATTGATCGGGTGCAACATGATATCTCAATGTGGGCTTCTTTATTTCATACTATTCAATTTGTATTTACTCGTAGATCTTGTAATAATGCTGCTCACTTGTTGGCAAAGTATGGTTGTTCTTCTGTTAGTTTTTACTCTGATTCGTTTCATTCGCCTCAATGGCTAACTGACCAGTTGTATTATGATTTCATTCATTCATTAATATAATTTACATTTTGACGAAAAAAAAAAAAGATGATAAATTGTAAATCTTATAAACACTATAAATTAATAAACACTATAAATCATTAAATGTTGCTGGTCCCAAGTCAGGTCAGTGTAAAAATTGACCAAATTCGATAAGGTAGTAAGATAATATTTTTTTAAATCCCCATGTAAAATAT